ACAAGAGAATTCCCAAATAATATAATTATGTATTCTAAACTCCTTGATAGTACCAACTTTTGTATTTTCGTAATAATTATGCATTTTTTTATTAGTAATTATTAGGTAATTAATATTATTACGCAAATTTTGTCCATTTTCATAATTTTAAATTCCATTAACAAACTTTGTACATTTGTGAATGCATTTCTGGTAACTCGTCCGGCCATGGCCTCTCATTGTCTTACTTCCCTGCAAAATTTTTAATTTCTTTGCCTTACTCCAACGTTATTATCATCTTAGCAGGTAAAATTTAATTTGTTTGGCTTTTATTTGAAAAGACATTTATTCGAAGAGTTCTGAGCATATGTATGTATATAAAGACATGTGATATGCATTTTCTGCTGCCAAATTTGAAGTCAAACATCTTGAATTCTGAAAATTTTTCTTCCCTTATCCCTAATGCATTCTTGAATTCTGAAATTTTTTCTTCCCTTATCCCTAATGCATTCACAATAGGAAGTTGACTCGTGAAAAAGAAAGCAAAGAATTTTTTTTTTTTAACAACTATATATGCATGCATATATAATTAATTTGTGTTTTAGGTTAGTAATAACATGAGATAATCTCTATTTGAAACATGAACTTGTGTTTGAATTTTTTGAGAATAGTCTAATTTTTGATGAAGCAAATGCTCAAAAAAAAAAAGGGTTGTTCATTGATTGTTGCGAGTGTTATTTAAAGCGGATTACTCATAGTCTACGATGTTAATCTAGTTATGAAACTTCTAATGAATTACGTAAACAAAAATATTTTAGTTATATGAAACATTTTTATATTAGGAAAACATTGCCTTTCCATCCATATTTTATGTATGGATGTACGAAACGCCAACTGTTAATATTGAATATTTAACTAGTTCATTATCAAACTTAATTAATTGAATTAAATATCGATGAAATACATAGAGTCGTCTTTAATTGCTTTAAAAATTTTGTGGTACTTTAAATTTTGTGAGAGATTTATTTCACATTAAAATTTTTAATTTTAATAACAGTTGTGTTCGGCAACAGCTTTTTAAGTATTTTTCAGTTAAAACGCTAAACGCTTAATATCTAATTTTGCGAACAAACCCAACATTGCACACCTTTCACCTCTCCATATTAACAACAATTAGTTTTAAACGTTTTGACTTTGATGTGTAAAAAATTAATTTACTAAAATAACTTGTAAAATAATAATTTTACATTTTTAAGTATCTAATAAATATTTAATTGATCAACAAAACATTTTGTAGGTTGAAATGTTCAATAAATCAAAATCCAAGTTGAGGGTGTGATAAATTTTTTTAAGATAAATACAAAAGCGAATTTATGCATATGGACATTAAATATTTGTTTTTAAGGAAATATTTCCTTTTGCATCCATATTATATGTGTACATGCACGAAATGCCAATTCCTATCATATTTAATATTTGTGTTCAAGGAAATATTTTCTTTGCACTCGTACATTTGTGGGTACATGAGTGGCTCACCATAATGGAACTCTATCATTAGATCATCATGTATTTGAAGACTCTCCCTAATAAAGAATAAGTAGTTTTCTTTCATGATATTTATAGGTTCCTATCTCAGTCTATGTCTAAATTAATATATATATATATATATTTTTCTTCCTTTTTTCCAAAATAAAAATAACAATTAAATCGAAATAATATAAATATATATTTATATTGTACATATTGGACTATTTCCCTTTCATTCACTCTAAATTATAAAATAAGTATGAAAAATTACGTAGGAGAAGCAAACTTTGCTAATATATATAATATTAGTTCCTTGCACAAAATATCATGTTAACCTTACATTCTTTTTATATCAATCATTTTATAAATTACACATCACAAATTACGATCAAGATACAAGAATACAGCAAATCTAGATTGATTGCAACTAAAATTAAAATATAATTAATAATATGCTCTCTGTTCTTTATGGTTATGGAAATAATCAACTATATTAAACCATACTAATATATACATTAACTGAAAAGTCGAGAGTTTAAAATTTAAAATCATCAATATTAAAAAACTTTATTCTAAGAATTACGTCGCGTTTGCAAATTAATATATACATAGAGAGACACAAATTTACCGACCTTCTAACCATCTAATTAATTTTAGTAATAGTACAATTTATTTTCCCTCATATATAACGATACAAGAATACCAGCAAATTCTAGATTGAATTGCAAATAAAATTAAAATATACATTAAAATATGCTCTTTTGTTCTTTCATGGTTAATGGAATATCAAACTATATTAAACCATAACTAATTATATACAATTAACTGAAAAGCTCGAAGAGTTTAAAATTTAAAATCATGCAATATTAAAAAACTTTATTTTCTACAGAATTACGTCGCGTTTAGCAAATTAATATATAACATAGAGAAGACACAAAATTTGACCCGACCTTTCTACCAGTCTAGATTATATTTTTAGTATAGTAGCACATTATTTTTCCCTATATATATATAATAATATAACTAGTATAAATATATATATATTGATGGAAAACATGTTATATTTCCAAGACACAATTGGTCCACATAGAATATATTAAGGTTTAGTTCACGATGTTGTTAAATAGTACTGTAAATTGTCCCCGAAACAACAAAAAGAAATGGAAAGGATTGTGTTTAATTAAAATATAATGTGTATAAGAATGTAAATTGGTTTGATTCTTTTACCTATCAACATAAAATGACAAGATTATTTTTTGGTAGGGTTCATATTTCACATATATATATATGATAAAACATGTTATAAAGACACATTGGTCCACATAAATAATTAAGGTTTAGTTCACATGTGAAATAGTACTTAAATTGTCCACCGAACAACAAAAAGAAATGGAAGATTGTGTTTAATTAAAATATAATGTGTATAAAATGTAAATTGGTTGATTCTTTTCCTATCAACATAAATGACAAGATATTTTTGGTAGGTTCAGTATTCCCTTTCATGTAAAGTACTATATATTATAAAATTAATTAAGATCCCCAATGGTTGAACAATTGCTTGCCTAATTTCTAAATTGTATAAGCGTTGTATAATATTATTTTTTATAACAAAGTATCAAATTAATAAGTTGTATCTACTTAAGAAGTGCAAACATCTTTGAATTTCATGTGCATAATTAGGTATTCGCATGAACATGGACCGTGATGGTAAACTACTAGTGGGTGTGTCAAAAAGTTATAGTTTGACTCCTTTTAGATTTTTGTTCATGATCCTTCTTCACATATATATATTTTTTTTTCAATTGAGTGAACGGTTAATTAAATGAGCCGAAATAATATTATGAACTATATAATAAAAGTAATTTTTCTTTTTTTTTATACTTACACGAGTTGTTTAAATCCGTCCCTGCTCGTCCATAGAGACAAAGGGAATGGCCAGGAGGAGTTACAAATGCTCTTTATTATTGAGCTACCTTCATTCGAGTTTTAGAGTAATTATTCTTTTTAATCACTAAACTAATAAAAATTTATAGTCGAGATATCTTGAATCTCTATATAAATGATAAAACCAACAAAACTGCATTTGATTGAAGTTTTTTCACATATTGAAATAGCTTTAAAAAAATTAAACAACTTAAAAATCTAAATTAATATTTTGGTTGGATCCAATATTATAATATTTAGTTCAAAAGATCAGAATTGGAAGGTCAAAAAAACAGTTGTTACCCTACATAACCATAGACTCATAGTGCATTAATTAAATTAATACCCTAATCGATAAATAAGATCACTTAAAGAACTATGTCGTTACACGTGTGCTAAGGGATTAAATAAAATAAAATTTTATTTGTTGCAACTAAATACATATAGCACTATAGTCCTCCCTTGTCCTATAAAAAATAGATTCATTTTCTTATTATATTTGTCCAAAATATAACGCTATTTTTTATTTTTAAATATTTATAATTTACTATTTTTACTTATTTAATGTGTATTATTACAACTAATCAAATATTGAAATAATTAAATAGTTGTCACCTGTAAATTTCAATAACTTTGATTATAATTATGATTCTTTCATTAGAAAATTTATATCTCGATTAGCTTTAAAAATAATTTAATAAGAGTTGGATTATCTAATATTAGTATAGTTTATATTAGGATAAAACTAAATGAAAATTAAAACTTAATCATGTTACCTATGTTAAAATATTAAGAAAAAATTAAGAAAAGTCAAATTCATTAATATAATTTTTGATTTGTGTGGAAGTTGAAGTAGTGCTAGTATCTGCATTCCATAATATTTGTTTAAAAAAATAGTTTGTTTCAAAATATTTATTACATTTGCAGCTTTAATGAGTAATAAATCTATTTTTCATGTTTACCCTTATATATGGCCTATAATTATTTAGTGTTTATATATAGGAGTATTAAAATAAGGGTAATATAGTCGATTTACTCAATAATTTATTGTAATTTAGTTAAATTTAATGATTTTCTTAAGGTTTTTTTTTTCTAGTATCGAGAAGAGGAAATTTGAATCTGAATCCATTATCATGTCATGTATGCACTCACTACCAGTGCAATGTAGTATTTTAAGAAAGTAATCCTTTTTTAAGATTGCTATTATGTGAAAGAAAGCAGTTGTAGCATACCATAAATAGAAAATTGAGGCATTAACAACTGTATCTAAGATTTATTAGTTTATGCACAAACAAGGAAATAAGAAAGGCTTATATGCTTTATTACCTTTATAATATATTTTAATTTGGCAGGAATTTTGATGCTTCAATCTTCATCTTTTGCCTTCTTTTGGGTAAAACCCATCTTTCTTAACTAACAGACCTCTCTGAAAGAACCTTTCTTTTTTTCTTCTAATAACATTAATATTTTCATATTGAGAGATTGGAGTGCCCAAGAAAATTACAATTTTTCATAAATATAATAAAATCCAATGAGATCAGAAATTAAATGATAAAATCCTAGTGATAAATTAAAAGCCTATAATAAAAGTCATTTTTCTAATGGGTCCATACCATTCTTTGTCTTAAGTTTGCACCTTCCCCTTTAAATCCCTCCGTCAGTCATCACTCTTTCTTTATAATCTTCACTCTCTCTACGAGTCCAAGAAAGAGAGAGCAGAGAGAGATGGTGGGTTCCTCTTCTTTCTTGCTTTCTTTCTTTCTTTATTTCTTTCTTTCTTTGTTTCTTTCTTTCTTTCTTCATTAACCTGTCTTATTCTTGATTAAATATTGTTTATATCTTATTATTATTGGCTTTAATTTATACAATTAGGACCAAGAACAAGAACTTGTCAGATGGGAAGGGTATGTAGACTGGAGAAACAGGCCAGCACTGAGAGGCAGCCATGGAGGAATGCTTGCTGCCTCTTTCGTATTGGGTAAGTACAGAGATATAATTTCTTTGTTCGTGCATGAAAATGGGTTTTTCTTTTCTTTTTTTTTTTTTCTTGGAAGATGAAGATGAAAATGAAATGGTAAATTTGATTGCAGTGGTGGAAGTATTAGAGAACCTGGCATATCTGGCAAATGCAAGCAACTTGGTTTTGTATTTATCAGAATACATGCACTTATCTCCTTCTAGATCTGCTAATAATGTCACGAATTTCATGGGAACTGCTTTTCTTTTAGCCCTTCTCGGTGGGTTTCTTTCTGATGCTCTTTTCACTACTTATCGCATCTACCTGATAAGTGCTGCCATTGAATTTCTGGTAATTAAACCTTCCCTCTCTCTTTTAACTTACAGCTCAATTATTTACATTTTACCTTTTCAATTCTTGGAATTTGATATTTTTCCCAAAATGGAAATTTTGATTCTCAAAATGAGGGATTTGAAGTACACCCACCTATAGGGACCATATTTGAGTTGAGCAAAGTGTATAAAGTTTAAGATTGTCTGAAAATCTGGAATTTGCTTCCCATTATAATGATATAATATTGCCAAGAAAAGTGACATTTGGTTAGTTATGTGCAAAATATTTTAAATTTTGCATATTTTAAGAGGAAACAAATAGCAAGCTTATCCTAAAACTTGCACTTGAAGGCACAATTAACAAGGCACCGCTGTGATTGGGTGACCCATAATGCAATCTGCTTACCCTTTTATAGCAACTTGCTTCTTACCAAATCTGAGCCCCAATCAAGGGGAACCTTTTCTAAAGTTAAACATGCTCTTCATGAATAAAAAATTTCCATTTTCAATTATTAATAATTAAATAGTAGGAGTAGTATACATATTCAAAGGGATAAAAAAGAAAAGAAGAAGAAAAAAAAAAAAAAAAAACTAATCAATTGGTCAAACGAAATTTGACCAAAGTTAATGATGATTAGTATTTGTAATCTGGCTTTTCTAATAAGTACCCAGTTAATCATTTATTTACCTTAAAATAGGCATAGGTCCCACTCATAATACATTGCTGTGAATCCAATTATAGTGAGTCCTTTGAGGACGAATAGAAGCTTCTCTTTTTTATTTTTTATCAATATTTATATGCATTTGTCCTTTTTGATTCACAATATTTTGTCTCTAGTACCCGACGAGACCTCTAAGGTCACCGAATGCTGTGTGACAGACGACCTGTCCCTGTGCCATATAGTTTTTGCTTGCCACGTGTACCTCGCCATCTGATAGTGGCCCCAAGTGTGGTCTCTGTCTTAGATACGGTCACCATGGTCTGCCGTTCGGTATGCAATTAGTGGATAAACAATCCTCTTTTGTAGCTTCTTTTTTATTTTTTTTTAATTTATTTTATTTTTTCTGACAAATTTTCATAGCCATATACCGTAAAAGAAATAACAACAAAAAACATTTTGCAGGTTCAATGAACCTTTTGTAAAGCTGTCACGTGGATACCTCATTCACTCATATGTCCTCTCACAAATTAGTGAATTCCACGATTGAAAATTAATGTAAATTTGAGAAATATAATTTGATTTTTTTATTTATTTAAAACTCAAATTAAACTTTAATCATTTACTAAATTCTCATAAAAAGTCAAAATTTGTTATTAAATTAAAGAAAATTTTTGTAATAATTTACATTAGTTTATAATTGAATATATAAATGTAGCTAACAATTAAAAACCACATAAAAATTGTAAGTCTTCCCCTTGTACAGAGTAACAAGTTTTAAAGAATCCCACGTAACCGGATTCTTAATTTTTGGACTGCCAAAATAATTTTTGTGCATTACATGAAATTCTGGCGGCGACTTCCTATGTCATGTGTACATTTCCCGTCACTTTCTTTTGCTATATAAGTCCAATAGCTGAGGTTTGGATCAACACGTGGCGAAGGGACCCACATTGACTTATTTCAGCTAACTGTCAAAATTAGTTACGAGCTTTCAGTTTTAGTGGGAATAAATTGTTTGTATTGCAACAGGGACTAGTGATACTGACGGTGCAAGCACGATCATCGTCGTTGAAGCCGTCGGCGTGTGACCCAGAAAATGCCACCGCACCGTGCGAAGAAGTAAATGGCGCGAAAGCTGCAATGTTGTTTATCGGACTGTATCTGGTGGCTCTTGGTGTTGGAGGGATAAAAGGGTCATTGCCTGCACACGGAGCAGAGCAATTCGATGAGAGCACACCACAGGGAAGAAAGCAGAGATCAAGTTTCTTCAATTACTTCGTCTTCTGTTTATCTTGTGGAGCCTTAATTGCAGTCACATTTGTTGTTTGGATTGAAGACAACAAAGGCTGGGAATGGGGATTTGGAGTCTCTACAATTGCTATACTTTTGTCTATCCCTATCTTCCTTGCTGGCTCACCCACTTACAGAAACAAGATTCCTTCTGGAAGTCCTCTTACTACCATTTTCAAGGTACGTTATTACTCGTTCAAAAAAAGTAAATGTTCCAAATTGATGAAACTGGTGAATTTTTTAAATACCAAAATGATGGGGTTTTTTGCCCTTTTACGAACAGGTTTTGGTCGCTGCTTCAATTAACACCTGCAAGAGCAGAAGTCCAAGCAATGTTGTAGCTAACCTGAATACAAGCCCTTTCAATCAAACTGCAGACATTCAAAGCCTGGAATCCAAAGGGACTTCGAGTGAAATAATACCGATTGAAACTTCAACAGAAAGCTTAAGCTGTCTTAACAGAGCAGTAATGAAAAGACCAGTCCATTCTAAACTAGAATGCACAATACAAGAAGTAGAAGAAGTCAAAATTGTTATTAAAATCCTCCCAATATTTGCTTGCACTATAATGCTGAATTGCTGCCTAGCTCAACTCTCCACATTTTCTGTACAGCAAGCAGCAACCATGAACACCAAACTCGGTTCATTAAAAGTCCCTCCTGCTTCCCTTCCGATCTTCCCTGTAATCTTTATCATTATCCTAGCACCGATTTACGACCATTTTATTATTCCATTTGCAAGAAAAATAACCAAATCTGAAATGGGTATTACCCATTTGCAAAGAATTGGGATAGGTTTAGTTCTGTCTTCAATAGCAATGGCAATAGCAGCTCCAGTCGAAATCAAGCGAAAAAGAGTTGCTACAGATTCAGGACTATCACATGACTCAACAACTCCTTTGCCAATAACATTCTTTTGGATAGCATTTCAGTACTTGTTCTTGGGATCAGCAGATCTTTTCACTTTGGCAGGACTTTTAGAATTTTTCTTCACAGAAGCACCTACAAGCATGAGATCGTTAGCTACTTCGCTTTCTTGGGCTTCACTGGCCATGGGATATTACCTCAGCTCAGTAATTGTATCGGTAGTAAACAATATTACAGGTAACTCCACGCATAGACCATGGCTATCAGGCAGCAACATAAATGAATATCATCTCGAAAGATTCTACTGGCTCATGTGTGCGCTTAGTGCTGTCAATTTCTTGCATTACCTTTATTGGGCTAACTGGTATAAGTACAGATCAATAAGAGTTTCTTAATTAGGCAAAAATTATCAATTTGTATGTATAGATATAGCTGAAAAGCAAACCCTTGGGTGATGTTTATAAGTCCAGTTGATGGATCTTAAATTTTCCCATTAGACATAGGAGATAAAATCAAGTGCCAGGGGCAGAGCAAGGAGATCAGAGTTATTTCCATCTTGTAATCCAATATTTTCTACGTTGTAATAGCTAGAAAGTAGTTTGTTCATTTTATCCAAGGAAAATTGATTAACTAATTCTTGTTTCACTAACAACTAATTTCAAAATTTACAATTTTCACAATTTTCTTGGAAAAGTAGAAAACTGCAATTATCATAATTTCCACTAAATAATAAATTCACTATACACTTCAGCTTAACCCGAACAGCATGGCTACCTAAACTTACTAATCAAATCAAGAACCAAAATTTCTTCAGACCCTGAAATACAGTTTATCACTTTTGATAAGTGGATTTTGCTTGATCAAACAATCTCGATCTGCTTTCTTGAAGTCAAACGTGCACGAATGTTCTTTGGGGTACCGGTGAGAACCACACAAGACCTTTCCGCAACGGCATGCGAATCCTGTCAAACCAACCTTCTTGTTGCAACTTTCACATCGATTCTTCACAGTAGAACCGGCAGAAGTAATTGTCAATGTCGTTTCTCCAGTATTGGTAGGTAAAGATAGCTGCTTGTCTATCGTAAGAGCTGTCGTTTTAGTAGAAGCTATTGTCTCTAGTCTTGGTAGGTAAAGGTAGCTGCGTATCTATCGATCCATCTGTCGTTTTGCCATATTTAGCTTCAGAAAGTAATTTCTCTTTCAAATAATCCTTGTAGCACTTGGAGCACAGGCCATGATTCTGTGGTGATCCAAAGAAGCCACAGCCCCTCTTGCAAGGAGAACTACTCGAGTTGTTTTGAGAATCCATCTTCTTATATTCTTGAAAATAAGAGAGACCTGCAAACTCTTCTCTGCTTCTTCCTACGTCTTGTGTTGATTGCTTATGATCAATTGATAAGTAAACATTGAAGAGGTTATTGTGATATATATAGAGAGACTGACTTTTATCTCCGAATTGGGTCGGCAGAGGAAAACAATTTCTGATAAGGAAAAGAATCACAGAAATTAGTACGTTGCTGAACCTTCTCTGGAGGCTGTTTTGGTTTTCCTATTTCAATAGGAAAAGTTTTTTTTAAATAAAATTGATTTTGTTTATGAGGAGAAGAATTAGGATCAAGAATCTCAAGTGAATAAATATTAAATTCACAAAAAAACAAATAAGGATTTCAAACTAACTGCTAATTGGTAAAGCCAAATCAGTTCACATGATACTGTGAAACCAAAAGTTTTGACATTATTAATCTCTTTAATTTTGAGATTTACGATTTAAATTTTAATTTTAAATCTCATTCCTTAAAATTGACATTCAAATTGATGGCTAATGCTATAGCTTACGGTTTACATGAGATTCATATTACACTTTCTTTCTATTCTCAAACAAAAATTACATTTTCACAATTTTCTTGGAAAAGGAAAAACCAGCAATTATCATAATTTCCACTAAATAGTAAATTCACTATTCACTTCAGCTTAGCCCAAACAGCATGGCTAGGAACGCCGGCGTTGACCAAGAACAACATATAATACCCAGGTGGGACCACGTTAACATTTGTGGGCCCAATCACGTTGACCTTATATCCAAATGCTGATAGCTGTTCCACACTGATCGTTTTCAACACCACCATCCTCTGATTCATAGCAAACGAATGCGTAGTAAACGACGGCGCAATCAGCACTACAGAAATCCCCAAATCTGAACGATAAACTTTCAACACGAACGTTACCGAGAACATCTCGTTGTACGACACCGTTCCCTCCACTGACTCCACTGTCAAAATCGAAGGTCTGAAAACGGTGTACATTGGGTCAAGATAAGGCGGGTAAAACGCTTCCAAACTAAGTTCAGTCTTGTACGGATATGCTGTGAAGTTGTACCTTGCGTGTGGATTGCTTCCACCCACTAATATCCTGCCATCTGGCAAAAGCGCTGCTGTTGAGTGGTACATTCTTGGAATATTTGTCGGGTTCATCACCACGAATCTCCGGGTCGGAACTTCTTTTGGAAGGTATAGAACCGGAAAGAGAACCGGATTCACTGCAACATCCCAACCTGCGGTCCCATTAGCGGCACCGTTGATGATAATAACATCACCAGTAGGTAATAGTAACATATCGTTCATGACCCGAGGCATTGGCATAAGCTCCATGATCCATTCGGGTTTCGGATCCGAAACTTTTAATCTACCACAAGTCCTCGTTGCTTCCACGTAAACATGCTCCGTATAAGCCTTAGTGTAAGCACCGGGCCGGGACCCGCCGCATATCATAATCTCTGTTTCCGGTATTTTATTAACATCAATTCCTCCGGTTAACCGGAGTGGAAGCAACACGGAAGAGCCAGTACAGGGGAAGTTTCTAGAACCACCAGGCAAAACTGGATATTCTTTAAGAACCTCGTTTCTTGTATAATCAAACAAAATGGATCGATTATTAGCAAAGATGAAAAGATTCCCGTCTGGTAAAAGATGCAAGAAGGGATAAAGATTGTTTTCTTCTTTTGGGTCTCTGGTTTGGACCAAGAAAGGGAAAAGTACATTGTCACTTATTTCAGACTCCTTTGGATAAAACTCGTACGTAAAAACCCTTCTACCTCCAACAATGATAATTCTTCCATCAGGAAGTATCTGATTACTCGCATACCATCTTCGGCTTAAAAGAGGAATAGAAAGCTCGACCCAGTCGCAAGAATCATCATCACAAGGAGTAAATGAACGAATCACTTTCTCACCGCCACTGCTGCCGCCGGTTTGGATAAGAGTGCCTTGTGCGTCGACGGAGCCAGAAGAGCACCAGGTATTTGTTAAAATCATTAAAGGACGAACACTGTTTGTAGCAATGTCGTATAAGACAGAATGTGCACTGCAATCTTTAGGTTTTACGTATTTGTCGTTGTAACGGCACTTGCCATTTGGTAGAGAGATGTTAGAGATGCCAAAATCGGTTCTGTCGAATATGATTATCTTGTTGTTTTTGAGGACTTGAATGTGCATGGCCGAGACGCCTATGCTTTCTTGAAGAAGAACCCAAGAACCGCCGGTTATGGTGGAAAAGTACTGTGCTTGGTGGGCAAGATTTTGCGAGCATAGTGTAAAGAAAGTGAAAAGAAGAAAGATAAGAAAAGTTTGGTTCTTGATCCCCATTGATGGTTTCTTGATAGTTGTTAATGGAGAAACAAGATTTAGGGTTTATTTATTGGAGAAGATAACTGGTGTTCGAAAAAACAGCAAGTTTTACATGGGATTATTTCCTCGCAGTATTAGCAACGAATTTACGTATCCTTAGAAGCTAGAAAGTCATTCTGAGGGCATGTAAGCAGAAAATAAGTCAATATCATATACGTAAGGTTGTTGGGTAGATTGCATTTCATTTCCAGAAACCGCATGAATAAATTATAATATATAATGAATTTAAAAACTAAATTAATTCTACTAAGTACGTATCAATTGCCATCAATTGATCAAAGGGTTTAGATTTCTGTTTTAGGTTTTTTTTTAACCACATTGAAACTCAAACGTTCAGTTCCGAAACAAAAAATGTTAAACCATCTATCGCCTCACATTCAGAGTAGAAATTTGTTTAAGCAAGTTGTTAAGTCTAAATAAATTGCCTACTTATAAAATTAGTGTTCATTAGCCGGAGTTGGGTTGCCTTGGACTTTTAAGTTTTCACCTGATAGCATATTAATTTACCTGAATTTGTATGAGCAAAAATCAAACAGAATACCCAAAGTCCCAATTGGCATATTGAACAACTCTATCTATACAAACAACTGAAAAACAAATGATTTTTCAGCCTATTTTTATGTATGAACAATGTCAATATCACAATAATTCATCACCGGAACAGACTATTTTCTCAAATTTCAACCTTTACAAGACCAGATTAATTTGCAAAACCGGTAATCAGCATCAAAGAATATTATCGACGATGTATGCTATGATTTAGAGGAGCCAGCACCAATTGATGAACACCTTACAGCTACTCTCACTGCACCTACGCAACTAAGCTGCCTCATTTCAGGGCTTAATACATGCCTGTCCTGGCTCTTACACCCTTCTTCCATCTGAACACCCAGAAAGTATGCTATCTGAACAGCCAGAGACACTTGTAAGAAAAATAAGAATTGCATAAGCCGTTGATTGTTCTTTGTTTGCCTTCCAAAGATTAGAAATTTAGGATCCAATAACTGTAAGATGCTGAACCAAAATAAATAATTTGGCAAAGAAGAGTCAATATTGACCTACACAAAGTGACTATTGCCGGTTCATAATCATTAACAAAAGACAATAATAATGCCTACAATGTCAGTGAGTTCATAAAAATGCTAAGAAGAAACCATAAATCTAGTGAAAAAACAAAGGAACCTAACCAAATAATTCTATATTTTCTTCTAAAATAAGCAAGCATTAAAATTTCCAACAGGTAGGCTTACATTAATATTATGCCTGGAATAGAATACCAACAAGCTTAGTACTAAAGATTCCCACTCCTGTTGGCATCTGCAGGATTACACAGGCATCTGGATTGGTAAACAACAATCTAAGTTCAACAAAAACGCAGAAGAAAAGAAATTCTCACAAGAACAAAAGGGCACATAAAAACTTGAAAATTACGCAATAAACATAAGTGATAGCTCATCACAATAAGACCACAGTGACACCCACAAATATAGAGGTCATTTCTGACACCTTGGAATTCCAGAAATGAACACAATTGTGAAACTGTTACTCTGTGCTAATAAAGAAGGATTTCAGAAGATGGGTAATCCTATCTTTTCTTTTTCTTCTAAACTTCAAAATACAAGAACTGTCAACCATCCTAAATGATAAATTTTTTCAATGAAGTGTATAGTACATCAGCATGATGGCATTGCTGATTCTGACACAGCTCATAAAATATTAAATACTACTTAAACAAGCATAAAAAATGGGGGACCATGGAACACTGCTACATATAACAGCCAAATTTTGATGGAGTATCCATAAGTTTATGAACAATGGGCTACCTGCCGCACTTGCTCGCCAGCCTGAGAAATACTGTAATTGCTGACACTGACAACTGATGGATGAAACATTATTATCATTAGCATTAGCCTTTCCATTCATTGCAGCCCATGAAACAGATAAAGCTGGTCTTATCTACTTCCATATACCATTGTTGAAGGCATCTTTCATCTCTTCATAAAGTTTAAGATTGGGCCAAAATGTATTTATCACATGAAGGAAGATCAGCTTTAGGGCAAAAAAGTGAGTCTGAACCTCCATTTGATGTCCTAGGTTGAACAGTTATAGAGACTATGATAATTAAGAGCCAGTACCATGCACATATTAACAGAGCTATATTTCAATGGAAAATATAAAAGCCCGCAGGAATATCAAATGAAAAAGAGATTCAAGAATTGTGGCACTACAACTACACGTGACAAATTTCAAGCCTGTTCCGTCATTCCAGTACTGTGAATCCAACCCTAATCAGCCACATTTGTGCTTTTCTTTCAATGATGACTAAACAGCAAATCATTGGATGATCAGATGGTGAATCAAGAGTTAAAGAATAATCGGTTGATGCAGGGTCAAAAGAGTGGTTTATAATAAAACCTGATTTACTATCATGAGAAGTCATGTTTATCACGCGACCGGGAGGCGATTGACACAGTCGCCTGCCCAATTGAAGAAAGAAAATATGATAGGATACCTTTGTTGGTACCAGGGGAAAAAAAAGAACTGGCTTCAATAGAGAAACTGAAAGATAGAGATAGGAAGACGTTAAAAGTAATATTTGATTGAGATGGTGATTTTTAAGTGCCATATAAGAGAGAGAGAGAGAGAGAGAGAGAGAGAGAGAGAGAGAGAAGAGAATGAGGAGGAGCAACAGAATTTAGAGAGGAGGGAGACCCCCACAAAAAAAAAAAAAGCACTTTGGTTCAATTCAATAATGAGGTTGTGGAAAGAGCCCCAACTGCATAGAAAATGAACACTGGTATCACCCAATTACCATTTCTGCCTGTTAAAAAGAAGCCTTAGTGCAAATTGATCTTCTATTCATTGCATACAACCAACAATAGGAATAGATTGTGCATGGAGAACAAAGAAAAAGGATCATAATTAAATTCCAGTAACAAGTAGGTGGAAAGAAACGTCAAGCATGAAACGCAGATTAATCATGTATGGCATTGCCAATCCTCTACTCAAACTATTTGATTAAACAAATCTTTTTAGGTTCCTTAAGAATTCATTTGGTTTAATGGTATTTGCACTGCCTGAAAACCTGGCAATATGTAAGCAGTTCTCTCTGAATATGAAGGGCTACAGCAGAAGAGATTTACTTCTAGTCGAAAATCATATCAAAGTCAAAATAAGATGCACAAGAAAGTTTATTTGAGTAAAATATATGAGTAGAACAACTATTTTTAATTGCTCTGATCAAGCTAAATACTTGTTTAACTGCAAAAAGGTTTTAAATCTATGCTAATGTCAACAATGGAACATATGAAAGATAGATAGTAAGAGAAGTTTAAGCATGCAAAGCACCTTGCCAGTAGCATTACGAACAGGTGATATGTGAAGAAGATTCCAAAATGTACTCTTGTTCTTCCTAATACAAGTGTAAAAGCCATTATTTAGAACAAAAAAACAGAATATTTCTCTCAAAAACATTGGAAGAACAGTGAAAGTATCAACCTGTAATTTAAGATACGTACTGTGCATGCTTTTTCAGCTTGAATGCTTTCTTTTATCTGAAAAATATACAGCAGCAACATGAATTTCCAGTCAGCCGAACCTCCATTCGAGTTACAACAAATGTCAAAGTAAATAAACAAAAGGAAAAATAGGAAATAAGTACCTGCTTGAGAGTTAAGCAATCTGTTTCAACTCCATTTAAAAATCTACAATTGTGCCCCAAAACTTCATGCCTAGCATAACCTAGGTAAATGACAAAATGACACAAGTAGCTAAGCAATTTTCACATTGTTCAGATATTCATACACCATATGCCATGGATCAATCTATGGCAATTCAGCAACCCATAAAAGTTAGATAAATATGCACAATTGCATAGCATAAAAAGCTATGAGCACCTGTTAATTTCAAGAAGGCATCACTGGCATAAACTATAGGCATATCTGGCAAGTGTGGATCCGTCCTGCAAATGCATAAAAAAAAAATAAATAAATAAATAAACAAAACGAATTTGTGCCAAAAACACAAAGCAGAGGCATTAGCAATCTTATAAAGAGAAAATCTTTTATGCTGAAAAGAAACAATTATTGGAATCTGAAACAACTCACAATACAAAGCTTTGTTTGATTCTACCAAGAGATATACATAAAGATGAGCTGATAAGGTCCGCTCCAGGTATGCTGCATCTTTTTCCACACACCAATTTGCCAGTTGACTCGCTATAGTGAGTTAGCACAGACAATATACTGTCAATGGCACTCGCTGCTTTGAGCTTCTCTACCTCACTCGCCTCACATGGCTCATCAATATTTAATGCTGTAATAAGAAACAAACCCATTAATAAATGAAATGCACCAATTCCAACTTCCGGTTCAATGAAGGCCAATAATCATACCTCTAATATCCGAATCCAATGCCAAAACCGGACCCAAATCCACCAAAGAATCCGAACAGACCTCTCTTCTACACGAGCCAAACAGAATCTCCTCGCCCAAAGTCGTTCCGTTCAACCCCTGTCTCCGCATAATCGGCACTTGAACCGCTACGAAGTGGATCACTCTCCCATCGTCCTTACCAAAAACAGGACTCATGTGAAACAGCATCCAAAACGGAGTGCCATCTTTCCGATAATTCAACAAAATGATTTGCAAAGCCCTTTCCTCCCTAATCGCCTCGCGAATTTCCATCACGGATCTCCGGTTCGTCTTAGGCCCTTGAAATATCCTTCCATTTCGGCCAATAACTTCGTCTTTTGAATAACCCGTCATCTTCAAAAACCCACTGCTGGCAAACACAATCGGGTGGCCGGAGATACAAGGATCAGTGATAGTAAAACAGTCCGGCAATCCATTCAGAGCTTCTCCGGCCCAAAGAGAATAACGGGTATTGAAGGATTGTTCAATTAGAGCCAAGTGTGATTCCATTTAGATTGGTCCCCTTTGAAATTTTGTATCCTCGCTTTGCAAATCAGACCCAATCCCATGTGTCACAGCTAAGCCAAATTAATATGCGAAGCTTGAAAAGAGTAGAAATTGAAGTGAACAAGGAAGCCAATCAAAGAATTAGAGAGTTTTTGCCCATGGAAATTCTTCAAAGAATCGTTTTCAAGCTACATAAATGGGAGAGAGAAAGAGAGTGAGGCATAGAGAAAAAGAAATGAAGAAAATATCTTTGTAAAGCAATACAGAATTGAATGAACATAGATGAGTGGGAGATACACATCACTCGTTGTTGTTGTTATTTGTGCATGCAAATTGTAGAAAAGAAATCTCTCTCTTTCTTTTCAGTAGATGACAATTAAGAGAAGCTGAGGAGGAGCAAGAAGCAAGTACACAATTATGCAGAGTCACACGTTGAGAACACAATTTTAAGATTAAATAAATCCTGATTTTTATGCATTTATCCCTTGTTTTTATATATGACACGTAATCTACAACCTGTGTTGTGCACGAAAAAAAAAATTTTTAAAAAAAAAAAAAAAAATTTTTAAAAAAAAAAATAATATATATTATTATATATTATAAATTAATTAAAATTTTAAAATGTTATTTAATGCTGTAATAAACATTCAGTACCCTCTTATCAATTATAAATAGTATATTAATTAAAATTTTAAAATTGTTATTTAATGCTGTAATAACATTACAGTACCCTCGTATCAATTATAAATAGTATTTTAATTTAAATATTTTTAACATATATTGAGAAGAAAAGTAAAAAAAATAAAAATAGTATTCTTCTCGTTTCACTTTAATGGCAACATTTGATGTTTTCTTAGAGATTAAAAAAATAATTGGAATACATTAATTTTCTATGAAAGTATAATATTACGTCTGTTTCATAATACTTGTCACGTTTAAAATTCTACGTCCTTAAAAAAATTATTAAATTAGTTTAAGTAATTATAAATTATTAAGTAAATTGACTGTATTACCTTAATTTAATACTAATTATCTAAAAAATTATTAAATTAAAATAATAATTATTGGTCAAATATAAATGGTAAACATGAAAAAAAAAATTGCCTATTGAAACAAACTATTTTTTGAAATGTAATAAGTATTATAGAACAGAGGTAGTAGTAAAAAGTCTAAATTGTCTTTCTTAAAATTAAAAGCTCCTCTTCAATAATATTTCCTCTTTTCATGTCAAAAAAAGCTCCTCAATTTGCTATAAAGCACATAATAAATATGGATAAATTTGAAAAAAAATAATTAATGTGCTCTCAAAATCCTAACTATCTGTATTGATGGGGTGAGAGAAGGGTAATTAATGGAAGGTTAAGGGAGGTAAGGAGGGGAGAGGGTAGGGAGAGTTATAATAAAATAATGTGATGTTTGAAAATGGATGAATTAGTGAAAAAATAAAGGGGATAATGCATGTTCTTTGTATTTAGAAAGAAGAAAAGAGAGGGATAAATAATTAAAATAGTACAAAAAAAAAAACCTTAATAACCTCCCCCTATTCTTGCTTACACCCTAAATTAGAGTGTAGTTAAATTTAAGATTTGAGAGGTAAAGGAGGTTAAGTCTTACCCTTATTTACCATCGTCCTTCCTTAACTCACTTTTTTTCAAACGAGGATAAATATTTTAGATACATTTCATTCCTCTCGTATATGTCTTTTTGAGCATTTAAATTTATAATTATTAAAGTGGAAGAGAGGGAATAACATTATTTTAAAAACTCACAATGTATGATGACATCCACTTGGACTATACATGCTTTGTGTAAAAATAAATGGATAAGCATATTTTATTAAATGCGATGTCTTGCTGTTATTAGGATAATAAGTTATCTAAATTTTATAAGAACATGGAAAAACATGTGAGAAAAACTCCTACATTCATCTCTTAATTTAAATAAAAGAAAAAAGAACTACTACCTTGCTTCTTTTTTTCAGGCAAGAGTTGTAATTTTTCTGCTTTTTTCTTTTTTAGGGGAAACAATTTTTCTGGTTTTTGGTTTTAGCTTTCTATAATTTTAATGAAAACTATCTTACTCCGTCTCATGAGGCGAGCGGCAATAAAAAAATTAAAAAAAAAAAAAAAAAAAGATGAATTTTAACAATGACAACGTCCTTTCCTATTTTGGGCTTTGAAGTGTGGGTCCTAACGCAATTATGCAAATCCAAACAAATAGTAGAATCCAATTATACTGCACACAGTTGTATGGTCAGGGTTGTTTTTTTATTTTTTTAATTATAATTTTCCTTTTTTTTTTTTAATGTCTAGTACGAGTTGTAACAAAAGTGGTCATCGTAACCCTTCACCTGTTATATGAGATCTGGTGGAGGAGGTACATTATTACGTACAATGCAGCTGCATAATAGCTAATTAGGAAATCAAGATATGGAAAATCGCAAAGTACCATGGGTAATGGGTGAATTAGGGTTAACTAATTTAAATTTGGTCCTATTCTATTTAAGTCAAGATGGACTAAACTCAGAATGTTGATTGGGCCTTTTTTATTTTTTCGGTTTACACTACCATATCCAGGTAAGATTAGAAGTGAATTTTAAATAAAATTCTTTTAATAATAGCCATTTGAAATTTTCAATATGTTAATTCTTTTATTAGTTAATTATTTTGTAAATTTACGAATTAAAATATGTTATATATTTATATACCAAGTTATCTATCAAGTAGTGACATTACATTACAAATTGTAAAATAATAGTAAATCTAATTTATTTTTAATAAATATTTTTCACAATTTATTTTTTATTATTTGATTCAAGTATTAAAAATTAGTTTAAAATATCAAAAGTTGTCATTTAAATAGCAAAATAAAGATTGGCTATGAATACTAAAAAAGAAATTTTAAAATAATTTTATAGCGAATTTAGAAATTTGTTTATTGCGAAATTTAAATAAAATTTTAATTGCAGAAAAAAATTATTTAAATAAATAAATTTTATAGCTATTTTTTCTACAGAGAAAGTAAACATATACATGGTGGTACAATAAGATAAATTTTGACGGTAAAATTATAATTTCTAAGTAAAATTGGATAAAACGCCTCAATTTTAAAATTGATAAAATATACTGAAACATAAATTAATTTTCTTTAGCAGTAAACTTAGGAGGCAGAAATCAGAATCATCTGAAAGCAACCAGCGGGAAACAAACAGAAAAATCGACGCTGCTTCTTATCCATCCGCGTCAGCATGTTGTGTGTTGTCCAGTTTTATAATCAACGCCACGCGGCAATATTTCCTTGCTCATAGCTATTTCAACTATTTTGTGCTTAGAGCATCTTTAATGCTACGTGGCTTGTGACCTGTGAGTGTCATGTGAAATATGAGATATGAATGAATTTTAAAAAATGACAAAATAATGTATTTTTCAAATAAAAGCCAAAGCATGTATTTCAATGGCGATGAGGATAAAATAGTCATTTTCCATTTACAAAAACCATTCATCATCCGCCTTGAGAGGAAGGATTTGCACAATTTTAGCTGATTCGCATTTATCTAGATAGAAAATTCAAAATTGTCATTCATCATTGCTTCATTTTTGCACAGCCTGACGCTTTGAAAAGTGAGGGAAAAGCTTCTTCTCTAACTCCAGTAAGCTGAAATTCATATAAATAGCTAGTGAAAAAAAATCTAAATATGAGAGACGAAATTAATAACAAAGAAAAAATACTTGTTGACTTACATCTGATATCTACGAAGAGCCTCGTTTCGTTTGACCAAGTACAAGTCGCTATCCTTGGGTATATTGTTCAAAGGATTACCTGCGACGCAAATTTAAAAAAAAAAAAAAAAAAAAAAAAAAAAAAAAAAAAAAAAAATCCAAAGGATTAACGCTTGCGACGCAAATTTAAAAAAAAAAAAAAAAAAAAAAAAAAAAAAAAAAAAAAAAAAAAAAAAAAAAAAAAATTCATCCATTATGCTGTATCTAATTGTTTAAGATTACATCATCTTTTGCAATTCAAGTGTTCTGTCTTTGTGCTCTACTCGAGTCAGCCGTCAACCCCAAAGCTAACAATGACAAACCCCACGAGTCATCCTCCTTGTCAATTATCAAGAGTTTATGACGGACTTGCAAGAGAACTTCGCTTAAATGGTTAAAAAAAAAAAAAAAAAAAAAAAAAAAAAAAAAAAAAAAAAAAAATCATCATTATGCTGTATCTAATTGTAAGATACATCATCTTTGCAATTCAAGTGTTCATGTCTTTGTGCTCTACTCGAGTCAGCTCAACCCCAAAGCTAACAATGACAAACACGAGTCATCCTCCTTGTCAATATCAAGAGTTTATGACGACTTCAAAGAACTTCGCTTAAATGGTTTTCAGCTGCTATTATAAGATGGGCCAATTTTCTGTAAGCGCCCTTTTCATGAGATGGAATTGTGCCCTCAGAGAAAGAGAGGAAAATGCAAGATCTTCCATTTCATAAATATAAAGACAATCTGCAGAAATATTAAGGATCATACTTGGAAGTGGTACTACTTCTTTGGTTTCCACAATCTTGTGAACTTTTGGAGAAGTTGGTTTGTTAGTCTGATGTAATCCCTGTTCAAGACATAAACCTCATATGGTTAGTCTGATGTAATCTCTGTTTACCTCATATGGTCGACGTGAACAGAAGTAACATAATCGAGCGACAATTTGATGCGAGTAATTTAGCATAGAGATAAGAGATTAAGAAAAATAAAAAATAAAAAAAAAACATCTTAGACTCCCTTACTTTAAATAATTGAAAACAATATTTGATGATACAAACTAAATAACTTGAGCCCCTCACAAAGTCACAAATCACAATACATAAAGGCATTTCTTTATTTTCTTCCTTAACTTTTTTTTCTTTTTTTTTCCAAAAAAAAAAAAAAAAACCCTCAAAATTGCATCTACTCAACCAACACAAGGTGAACTGCTTTTTGTTGAGCTACCTTTTTCCCCTCTTCAAGTGAAACTACTAAACTTTAAACAATAAATTATCATGCTTTGGACAGTTTTACCATCATTACCAAACTTGGGTTTGATTGGATGAGTTAGAAATTCAGGACCTCATTTAACTAATAAAATGATAAACAGATTAATACAAGCATTTTACTTATAGCTTTGAGATGGAGGAAGCATCCGCAAGTTTCTGACAATATGTGTTTCCATCTATCAGGCAATGGCTATGATTCTGATGGGTTCTTAAAACAGAGAAAGCAAAGATGAGAAATATCCGTACCTTCTTCCTTTCCCTCCTCTTTAGAATCTTCAAATGACACTTTTTAATGTAGTGCATCAAATGGTATCGAGAATGTCTGGAGCATAATTGGTCTCTGACCTCTGGGTTCTCAGTTAGCCAATCAGAAATATCTTTAGATTTGACAACTTCATCTTTATCTAAAGATTCCAACCAGGAATAAACTGGTAGCCATTGATCTGTTCGTTGAAAGCGAGCTTGTGGAAGATCAACCTGATTCATTTCTGTTGCCTGCTAAAGGAAAGATGGCAACTACTCAGTTCTTAATACAATACAGGAAGCAAGGGGATATATGCAGAAAGAGAAGAAAGGCAGCACAGCTTTGAGGAGGAGGAGAGGTGGAAATAGAAGAAGAAATGAAGACAAGAGGTTGTTAAATAATTTGACTGATATTTCATATGACACGCTTAGGATATCTAAAATTTTCAATTTCATACGGAATAAAGATGCCATTCAAGAGAATGTTGTAAAAACATGTAAAACACAATGCAAGGCTACTGTTATGGTCCTCTAGCATCCAAAAGAAGGAAATCTAGCTTCATTGACATGGGAAAATTGCAGATAAACAAAAAATAGTATGCTCTAAGCTTAAGCATATAGAACAAGTGTTAACAATATAATGCAACTATCTACAGCAAATACATAATGAAGATCAATGTTGACCTCAGAATACCATATGTTCAAATTCAATAACTTTCTAAACCCAGAAGTACTGAGCAAAGGCAATGTTTTCCACCTTGATCTTTATACTTTCCTACCCTTCTCATTTTCACACACAGCACTTCCAGCTTTGAACCAGAACAATTGCCTAAAACCCCGACTGCAGCATCATAATATTCTCCTCGCATATCTCTAGCAGTAACTTTGCTGAGACAATGTTTTACTTTGATAACTTAATACTTTACAGCATAAAGTCATCATTTGGCATGTAACAAACCCTAGCCCTCATCATTCCCATTCTCTAGCACTAGAGAAGCTCGTCCTAATTCAATTGTTATAGCAAATTATCTATACCGCATAACATTTATCCCATAGGTGCGACCAAAATCAATGCCAATTGCCCATCATCAAAGTAAGTTCTTAAAGAATTCAATGCTTCTAAATAAGGGTAGCTGCATACGCGACAAGTGCAGGTAATATCACTGCAAAGTGATTTACTTGCTCCAAACAAATTTTTGCAGTGAATTGTCTCTAATATGTAAAATTAAAAGCACTCTTATTGTGCTATTAAAAGCAACGTATCAAAGTCAAAATTGTTTATTTATTCTAAAACTACACCTACACAAACAATCTAAGTCGTTCCTCAATTGTATGCCAACACTCAACAGAAATACAGCTTTTGATCGTTTTCCAAAATACTTGCACATAAAAGGCGACAATTACAGTGACTTGAGCTCCCAAAACAAGTAATATCTCCAATGGATCAATTTTTTTAATACCTCAAAAAAAAAACTGATGAAACCATAGTTACAAATAGCAGTAAAGTACCTGATTGGGCAACCTCATGTAATTTTGAATTGCTAGGAGGCGATCAATGAGATCGGTTCGAGGCATGGACTGGAGGTCAGCCGGTAAGGAGCCGCGATTGGAGTCTATCCAAGCCTCGACCTCGGTGATGGTAACGGCTTTAGCTTCGGGGAATGCGCTGAGCCAAGCTCGAGCCATTGTTTCCCATTCTTGCGATTGGTTAGGGTTCTGATCGCTAGGTCTGGGGTTTTCAGCTAGGGTTTGTACATTTGAATTCGACATTTTAATTACTTTCCTTTTGTGTGCCGCGAAGATTGTATTGTACTTTTGTTTATCTTTTTTTTTTTTTTCCCCGAGGCCAGATGTTGTTCGCGCTGCGGTTTGGTAGAGAAACGTTGCCGTTATTTCTTTTTTTTTTTTTTAATTTCTATTTTTGCACTATAAAGGGGTAAGTTCGGAACTTTACACAGGTGGGACAAAATATAACTGACTAAAATAATGAACTGTTCTTTCCTTTTTTTCTTTTGAAAATTATGAATTATTCTTATCGAGTCACAATAAAAATCTCCTATGATTTGGGTCTCTAATCTATACCATTAAACAAATTTTTTAGTATTTGAAAGAGGATTTGAACTTAATCTATTATTAGATTGTATGTATATTTATCATTATTTATTTAATGATGTGTGTCAAAGTATGTTGGCCATGAGACCTACACATTCTTGAAAATAAATGAAATAAAGAAAGTAAGTCAACAAATGAAGGAAGAAAAATAAATAAACATATGAAATTTATGCAAATGGAGTTGTACACGGTATTTCTATGCGTAGTCAAAAATGGAAGGCAATGAAGTTGTACACGGCATTCCTATGCATTCACCTCTTCTATAAATAGAGGCAGCAAAACCTCAAGTTACACACCAACAAGAAGAATAGAGTGAGTGAGAGCAATTGTGAGAGAGAAAAGTAGAGAGATTATTTAAGAAGAAAAATTAAACTTAATTTTTCGGGTATTCTTGAATAGAAAGCTGTGAGTGTATGTAAACAATTTATTTATTTTTCTATAAAAGATTTGTGGCGGTCCGGAGACGTAGGCAATATTAGCCGAACCCCGTTATCAAATTGTGTGTATTATTATTTTGCTCCCTCATAAATCTGACTTATTGGGGATTTTGCGTAATTTTTTCCCAACAATGTGTAGTATTAAACAATTAATGGCATGGGATTAAAGTTATAAGCTTGTTATTAAAATGTCTAAATTTATTGAACATAATTATAATATTTCTCTATTTTTAATGTAAAGTCAATTATTTACTTTCGATTGCATTCGATGATTATCTTCGGTATATATATTTTTGTATTTTTCATATTATTAATATATCACTTATTTTGAGCATAATGGTTGAACTGGGTTCGAACAACTCTCATCCTTGTCATTTTTCAGTAACTATACAAAAAGAACTCAAAAAAAAGAAAAATACCAGAGAAGTAAAATAACAGGATTTCATTCAACTACATGAAAATAACACACGCCATGTGTTTCTCTATATAACTTTATTTTAAAAACACACATAATATATGTTATGACTCATTAAAATGAGATATATCCTTAAAAAAAAAAAAAAAAGAGATATAAACACTGCTTAAAGATTACTTACTATGAAATCCTATATACAATCTCATGACTTAATTTAATATGAATTGAGTATTATATAATTAAGGATATCAATTTTGTTTTCTTTCTAAAATTTTATATTTTTTTATAGGAATTCAATTTTCCACTATGTAGATGCATAGGAAAATCGGGATGGATCTTATATATTCAAGAATTTGATATTTTGATTACTTTGATATTACTAATTTCATTGATGGCCATTATCTCCATTATATTAAAAATATTAAATTCAATAAGCAAGCATTAATTATTTAAAGAATTGATAAAAAAATAACTTAATAATCACAATTACTTCCTCCGTCCTATGGATTGTAGGAATTTTAACTGGATGGAGGTAGTAAAAGAAAAAGAATTTAAATATTAATTATTTCAGCCTCAATTTTTAAAAATATTTAATGAATTAGTATTTGGCACTTAACATATTATTAATGATATCAATTTTATGTATAATAATATTTTAAATTAAAAGAAAATAAAAAGTTTTTATACATATAATCATGTAACCTCTCTCTATTGGGCTTGGAATTGGAAATTTTTATTAGTGAGAGTTTTAATTTATAAGCCCGAAAGGCGTCTCTGCACCAACTCGCCTCTCTCTGCCCTGGGAAGGGGATCTATCTCATTTCCAAGGCCACTTTCCGGTTTGATCTCCGATCAGGTAACGCTAACACTACCATTTCAGCTAAAATCTACAATCATCACCTCCTATCGGAACCAAAACATGTCTAATCACTAATCATGGATCTCCAAGTGTGCCTGATACTGATTTGCTTTCTTATTTTCCTTGGACTTGCTAAATTGGCTTCAATGAGCGGTTTGATAGTTCACGAGTTAACCGATTTTGCCACATTATACTTTTATCTGTGCTTTTGGTTTGCTTGTGCGTCTGTCCTCTTTTCAATTCAATTCCATATTGTTTTGGAAGTTAAAAGGATTCTGGGCTCTCAAATTGTAGTTCAATGGTTTTGTGCTTTTTGATTCTTGTTTTTTGAACTCGTTAAAGTAAAATTTCCTACTATTTTTTGTTTTCCCATCAGGAGCAGGGTGCCAGTTATATCTTGTTTTGGTTTGGAGTTGCATGAGGAGGAGGAAGTTAAGGATCCTGTTTTAAATTGTGATTTAGATGGTTTTTTTTATCACTTTTTACTATATTGATTTTGCATAGTTGTTTAGTAACAAGCGAGTTGTGGGCATTGATTTTTCCTCCCCTTCCCTTTCATCCAACACGGCATACGCATCAACTTTATTCAGTGACGTGATAGTTCAATTACACTTACAATGGCATACTTCTAATACGCAGATAAATTTTCCTGGGGACAATGAATTTCCTGCAGCGGTATACTACCCAGAATGTAGTGACAGAACAGGTTCCTGTACAAGAACCTCCAGCAGACACACGTCAGACATCAAAACCATCAGGAACTTTGGAGGGTCTTATAGCTGAAGACCCATTTCCCCAATCTCCTACAGCACAGGCTCGTGATGGAGAGGCTCAGGGAAGTGGAGATGAAAATGGCACTGTTGGTGGTGCGAGTGCTAAGAATGACTCTCATGTGGTGGCAAACCACCAAGATGTTTCTGAGGAAGAAGGATGGATTACTATTCCTCAAGGTATTGTTTGACCGTTTTAGTTAGCTTAGCTGTATTGATTCATTGAATAATTAGTACAGCGATATGCACACTTTGGTCACCTTCCTTTGCTTTGATCTATAAGTGTTTTGAGCATTGGAAGATTGCTAACCCACTTTTATACTCTGGTTAAGGTAGAACTATCATAATTTGAACTTCTTTTGGTGTTTATATTATACATAATTTGACCATACTGTTGAGCATCTACACTTCTTTATACTAGGAAGATGTCTTTAGTTGGAGCATAGTTATTGTTCTAAATCCAAGTGTCTGTATTAGGTAAAAACCTGTGGTAATTTCCTAATTGAGTGTGCATCATCAAGCATGGATAACTCAATAAGAGGTCAGTGAGGCTGATGCTAAGTATGCATCTTGTTTTTCCTCAAGAAAAAAAAATAAAATAAAAAGCTCGCACCTTGCGGCTATTGTGGATAGAGATGTGATATTGATGGCAGATTTCTCCACTGTTACTTCAAAAATGGAGTATAGTAATTTGGTACTGCTAGGATGCTTAAATTTTGAATGTTCTCCGAGCTGGATTTGATGCTTACACATGTCCTTGGTGATCCCCACTGTTATCGTTAAATGGGGATGCTGATCTGAAATGAGTTAGGTTGTGAAGCCTTTTCTCTATTCTCCTTGGTTATCATTGTTGAGGTACATATTTGATAATATTGTTCCAAACTGAAACCTTATTTTTGTTGTTATTTTATGGTTGTTTATCTTGAAAAATGTTATTTTGCTTAAATTTAGTATAAGTTCTCTCTCTTTATCTCTCTCCTTTGAGCAATAAAGGAATTTGTTTTTCTTAGGAACTTCAAAATGATTCCTGCTCTAATATCAATATGAAAAATTTTCTTTAGAAGATGTATGTGAACGGTAAGCATCAGTGTCTGTGTATGATGTGGATTTAGTTGGTGTAAATCTTCTACATTTGGCCATAACTGAGCCAAGTCGAACCGATATTTGGCTAAACAATCAAGCCTGGCTCATTTATAAGTAAGCTAAGTATCACGCAACTTATAGAGCTTGCGAGTCTAAACAAGCCAAACTGAGCTTAAGTTTTCTTAATAAATTTGAGTTATAAAAAATAATTTTTATGTTTATCCACAAAATTTAACTATAGTTCCATGATATTTTTACTTTTAATAATTTTTATGATAAAGGCATGAACTTTAAGAGGCTGGTTTTAGTATATTTGGTACTCCACTTGTGACCTAAAGGTCATGAATTTGAGTCGTGGAAACAATCTTTTTACAAAAAGCATGGGGGAGGTTATGTACATCACTGTGAACTGGATCATCATTTCTTTTAAAGGTGTGAACTTTAACTATTCTAAGTATGCACTATAGAATTTAATTTTTTTTTTTATTATTGCTCAATGCATAATTTTAAATAAGTATATCTTTTCATAAAATTATAAATAAAAATGTACATGTATATATAAAATTAAATTATATACGAGTGAGCTCATGAGCCTACAAACAAGTATCTCATGAGTTTAAATATTTTGAGCTTTGTTAAACTGAGGTTTAGCTCATGTATTAAAAAAGCTTCAAAAAGTGAGCTTGAATGAGTTTCTGTCAAGTTGAGCTCAAAGTAGGTCATGAACGGCGTCTTATTAGCAGCTTTACTTCTACTAGGCCTTAACTCACTGACCTTTGATTGGGGTTCTGATTATCTAAATTCAACTACATACTTGATGAGTACAGATTTTTGTTTTGTTTAACTTCGGTCTTAGTATATTTATCAAGCATCCTTGATTCCTTTCCTTTAAAATAATTTCTTTGAGAATGCTGCTGAAGGATGGAATACCAGAAATTCTGTGATTTCCTTTTGCCTCGGCTTCTGCTTTCTTATCGTATTTAGTTTTGTAGGAGGTAGGTCAGAGGGGAATGGATTGGATTGATTTTCTCACTGGAAACACTGAGGATGATTGGTGTGTTATTTGGATTAGACAATGCAATCTTGCCAAATTTTCCCTTATTGGAAGTGATTGTCAGAGCTACAGGAAGGTTTAATAAATAATTCAAGAATAGAAGTGCATGAAAATGAATCAGATGCACATATTCCTTAAGCAAATAACATCATTTGCTAACATTTTCTATTTTCTTGGTACATGGTTCCTCCAATTTCTGTGATTATTGAAATCTTAGTACATTAGAAATATGAATTATGGATATCCTTTTCACATCTTATTGGAGACCTAGATGCTTGGTTGTTTTGCTTGCTTCTAGGTTATTACTCTTGAAACAAATGATGTGTTTAGCCGCAATTCTGTTTTTATGTGACCTTAAAAGAGTGCTCTATAGGTTAAGGCGTTTTCTCAATTATTGGCTCCCATGCTAAATTTTTGTTTACACTGTATGCATTTTCCCTATGAATTCACAATTGAAATCTTTCTTTGCTTCATAATGGACTCTTCCATATATTCAAATAATCAAGCCAACAAAATTGTGAAGGTTCCTTCCTGATCACATGTGATTTTTAATCATATAGGGAAGGCATGTGAAAATTTTTTGGGCTTGGCTGGTATCTGGTGGCCTGCTGTTTTGGTTGTTCATAGTTATTTTAAGGGTTTTATTTATTGTCAACAGTTACCTGTCAAATATATTGTACAATGTGCCTCCGTTTACTCTCCTGACTCATTCATGAAAGTTGTGTTCTTAAACTTCTTCATAAAGTGTGATATTACTGTTCATTTTATTTATTTCTATTTTGAAATTTTGCTATGTACTTTCCGAAATTAGTTTCCCCAAGTTTTTCCCTGTTTATGTGGTTTCCATGGGATTGATGGGTGTTTCATGATTCCTACGTTTTTGTAGGGGAACTTCCTGATGATTGGAATAATGCAACAGATATACATTCATTGCGCTCCCTGGATCGGTCATTTGTTTTTCCTGGTGCCTATCTTTCATTGTCTCTTGGTTCTTCCAGTTTTGACATGTCTCAGTTATTATATGTGCCAGAGACATTGTGTTCATTATATGATACCTGGACTCTATTTTATTCCAGGTGAGCAAGTTCATGTCCTGGCATGCTTGTCAGCATATAAGCAGGATACAGAAATTATTACTCCATTTAAAGTAGCTGCAGTGATGTCCAAGAATGGTATTGGACAAAGCCCTGAAAAACAAAATGGGAGTGTGAAAGAAGGAACAAGAGTGAGTCCTGGAGAAGGGGAAGTCAGTTCTGATGGCCAAGCTGTAGACCAAAATGGGAAGGAACCATCAAAACAAGACATTGATCCACAAAAGTACATTTCTGCCAGTGAATCGTTTCTCAGAATGGAAGATCAGAAAAGACAAACTGAAACATTGTTGCAAAAATTTCGGAACTCTCACTTTTTTGTTAGGATTGCAGAAGCAGGGGAGTCACTTTGGTCAAAGAAAGGTGCTTCTGGTCCAAAATCTTCTGAGATAGAAGGTCAGAACTACACTGTAAATGAAGCCAAAACATCTGCAAATAACAAATCCCGACTTGGTGCTCTTATTGATAGAGGCAACTTTGATGCTAATCTCTCTGGTGGAGCTGCAAGAAATAGTGTTTCATGTTGCTCTCTCCCTAATGGAGACATAGTGGTATGTGTCTGAGAACCTCTACATTTGTCATAATGAGCTTTTTGTTTGATGGATCTTCATGAAAATAGTGCATCTTCTACTTTGTACTTTTGTAACATTCTTGTCATAATAACTACTATCTGCATTTTGTAAGTTATTGTTTTTTGTTGCGCATATATGACATGCAGTTTTAGTGTTTGATATGCATGTTGTGTTTGATATTTCTCCATGGTATGGTGGATGTGGTGACCAACCATTAAAAATAGTTCTTCATGGTTTTCAAACTGGATGGTCTATAGGTTGAGCTACAGAACATGTAATCCTTGTTTCTGCCCTTTGAAGTTGTCAATTTGTGCGTAAGATATGCAGATTCCCAGCTTTGCTTTCTGTTTTATGTGAATCCTAGCAGAATTCTTGTTACACCTATAGTTGGCGGTGACATATTATTTTTTGTAAAACTCCTGCATTTCACAATTCTAATAAAACTTGTGTCTTTTTGTTGTCACTTTGATATATGATTGGAAGGCTGTCTTGTATATGGGTCTTGTTTACTACACAGGAGGGTGCCTTATTCTTTCAATTGTAATCCCTCCCTGTCTCTGTTTTCTTAGGTTCTATTAGAGGTTAATCACATAAAAGGTCTGAATCTTTTCCCATTTCAATCTTAGCCCTAAACTTTGAAAATGGTCAGTTATAAACTATGCTCATTCTTTGCTTTGGCCTTGTGTTCTAATTCTATTTAGTTACATGTAAAGTAACTTTTAAATCAAGGAATTAAATGGACAGACTGATATGTTTAGCAGCCTAATATCAGTTACTGTCTTATTTTGATGTATCCCTCTTCAAATCCCAGATTAGTGACTGATTTTATATGTCATTAAATAGATTCAGGTGCCTTGGCCATAATTTCCACAATAACAAATTGGGCTATAATTTGTTATTTTCTATAGTCCATGCTGTAATTGCAACATCAAAAAAAGTCAATCAACATTTTGTGTATTGCGTTTAGGGCTATGGCTTGCATTTTTGAGACAAAAAATTCGAGAAAAGTTCCTATCTTATGAAGTATCAATAAAGATTTTTAACTAAAAGACATGTTTTATGACCTAGGGATCACAGCAAAATTTGTAAGTTACATGCAATTGCACACTTTCCTGGACTATGTATTTATATCCATGTTGACTCTCAAACATGTAATGGTTTTAGGAGTTTCTTGATGGGCAACTGCATGTTATGGAATCATGTAGTTACCCCTTTTTTAGTTAAGAAACCATGAATATGTGCGATATATAATATAAAGTCATGCCATTTGATAATGTATGCGAGTAGTTATTGTTTGACAACATGTATGGCAGGGGTGTTCAGTTTAGATCCTTGCTGCAATATATATCATTACACCAATATGATGCTTATTATGTAAATTTTTAAGCAGTTGGTCAGGCTACTGATTCTCACTTGTTTATTTGTTTGGAAGGATGCAGGTTCTTTTACAAGTTAATATTGGTGTCAATTTTTTGAGAGACCCTGTTATTGAGATTCTTCAATTTGAGAAATATCAAGAGACAAATTTTTTCCCCAAGAAACAGGGCAACTTAAATGGTGCAGATTATGACCCATGTGGTGAATTGTTAAAATGGTTGCTTCCTTTGGATAACACTCTTCCTCCTCCAGCTCGTTCTTTTTCTCCTCCTCGTTTAAGTTCTGCTTCTGGAATTAGTGGTACTTCTCAAAAGCCTACAGCTTCTGGTTCTCAGCTCTTCTCTCATTTGAGAAGTTACTCCATGTCATCATTGCCTCAAAATACTACACCACCTCCTCAGCCTGTTAAAGCCAAAAGTTATAAGCCCAACTTTGACATTGGAGACTGGAATCAGTACTCATCTCAGAAATTATTGAAAGGCCAAAAAATGGGAGGTGAAGGTCTTTTGTCTTTCCGAGGTGTATCATTAGAGCGAGAAAGATTTTCTGTTCGTTGCGGGTTGGAAGGCATCTATATTCCAGGAAGGAGGTGGAGGAGGAAACTTGAAATAATTCAACCTGTAGAGATCCATTCTTTTGCAGCTGACTGCAATACAGAGGACCTTCTCTGTGTTCAGATAAAGGTGTGGATTAAGATTTTTTTTTAGTTGAGTTAGGAGACATATGTATGCTCTTCCCCTCTGCATATCATATAATATATCCAATTCAGGTGCTCATTGGAATTTGCAATGCTTTTAATTTTTTGCAAATTCCATAATTTATCAAGTTCTTTTGCAGAATGTTTGTCCAACAAATAATCCGGATATTGTGGTATACATAGATGCTATAACAATTGTTTTCGAAGAGGCTTCAAAGGGTGGGTCACCTTCATCATTACCAATTGCATGCATTGAAGCTGGAAATGACCACTGTTTACCAAATCTAGCCCTCAGGTTGTTGTTCACTCTAGGTATCTTAATATACTCTCATTTATTGGTTGTCAGCTGCATTTTGTGTACCATGGTTAATCCAGTTGTCCTATGTTTGTTGGTTATTCATCCCTTTTTCCTATTATGAGCACAAGTGTATAATACAATACCTCTTTAGGTGATCCCAACACACCTAGTGGAAGTAAGGTTAAGATGATGAAACAGTTCATTCATCTAGGAAACCTCCATAATGCTTTCCATTTTCTTCTTTCTCATTGTGTTTAAGTGATTTAATGATAGTTTTTGGTGCATGTAGAAACTTACAAATTATACTTGTTCCACTCTCTTCTTACATGAAGAAATAGTGGAATGATGTAATGGAGTTTCTTTGTTGGCCTTCGTGGTTCGTGAAATTGACCTGTTTGTCATTTGTGGAATCCTACGAGTTGTGTAGATGCACAACAAAAATTTTTCTCTATGCAACTAAAAATTTTCATTGTTGCATAAATTGGTCATTGTCAAAAGAATCTCTATTCTCAATCAAAATAAATAAATAAATAAAATAAAATAAAATAAAAGGAAAAATACTATAATCAATGCTACATATCAGTTCGTTGTGAACAGAAGGAAATCTCTATTCAGTTATTGATTACTGAATGGAGAAGTATTACCATGAGCTTACTGTTTGTTTCCCCATGGCAGGAGAGGTGAAGAGCACTCTTTTATTCTTAAACCAGCATGCCCCCTGCTAAAGAATCTTAAAGTTCACAGTGAAAGACTTTCCCCATCACCAAGTTCACGACTTGCATCAAGTAACGCTGAAGGAAAGAGTGTTTCAAATATCGATCAATATGCAATTATGGTATCTTGCCGATGCAATGACACTGGTAAGCATCCTGTTCTCAGTTGAGTTCATCGTCTATACTAAATTTAACTCTTTCTATTCTCATTTTTCTTGTTTCATGGTTTGTATTTGAATGAAGAGTCAAGGTTGTTTTTCAAGCAGCCAACTACATGGCGACCACGTATCTCAAGGGACCTTATGATCTCTGTTGCATCTGAGATGTCAGGACAATGTTCTGGAGCTAATGAAAGAGCCTCTCAGCTTCCGGTTCAGGTTTCACTTATGCTGAGTTTTTCTTATTTATGTTTTTATTTATTTTTTTAAGGTCATTAACCTTTGCTTTGGTGAAATTGCCAGGTCCTAACACTTCAGGCATCAAATTTGACATCTGAAGATCTAACTATGACAGTTCTTGCTCCTGCTTCATTTACTTCTCCTCCTTCAGTCGGGTCCTTGGGTTCACCAACAACATCAATGAGTGCACTTGTTGATTCTTCCGAGTACTCAGGTAGAATAAGTGGAGAGAGAAGTGGCGCAGCAGTACAGAGGGCGAGCTCTGTGCCTCCACCAGAGAATCCAAAACAGAGTGGTATTGGTGGAGTTCACTCTGTTTCTTTTAATGGACAGTCATCTCCGATAACTGATGTCATTCCAAGTAGTGATTTGGGTTGCACGCATCTATGGCTCCAGAGTCGAATTCCATTAGGGTAATGCAACGCTTCCTTCTTCTGTCCTTTTCTTTTACAGATTGTGTTTGGACTGCAAATTACAACAATCTGTGATTGCATCAGCTGCATCCCTGCTCAATCAACAGCTACCATCAAGCTGGAGCTACTTCCCTTGACTGATGGCATAATTACACTGGACACATTACAGATTGATGTTAAGGAGAAAGGTATTATCTTCAACTATCCATTTCTTTATTTTTTCTTTATATGAAAAAGCTATATTTTGTTGACAAGCTAGGTTTTGTTCTTCTCATAGGACCGAAAGCCTAGCTTTCTCATGAATTATTGAATTCTGGTGAATTCTCACTTACTCATGTTCTGTTAATGCCCTTTTCCATAATCATAAACACAGTAGAATATCTCACTCAGAAAGACAAAAGAAAAACACTGTTTTCTGATATTTCCCTCTGAGAATCAATTTTATTGTTCAGACTACATGCACCAGATGCTGGTTAAATTCTAATGTCATCATATTCGGCCCATTAATTCACCATATTATTTTTTCTTGTGCTATGTTTGATATGTAAATGGACGTTTGGGTTGTAAGCTAGGATGCATCATCATGGAACATAACCCAATATCTATACTTGTTGTTACTTTGTTGGATTGAACCAGAATTGTGAGTTTCCTTCCCCTGTTGTGAAATCTGTAAATTTTTCAGTTTTAAGTGCCAAAATAAGCATGGACAATCAATGCATCCTTCTCTAGCTCTAGTGCATGTGCGAGTTTTGTTTTCTTGGTTGCATGATTAAATTAGCATAATTGCTATTGCACACACTATCTAGCTTAGATCAGTGCAAACATTTTGAATATTAATATATTTCTCTGTGGATGGATCTTGCACACAGCAATGCACTAACATTCGATATTCAGCAGTCCTAACTCTTCAGGAAATGGGTCCCACCTTTATTAGATCTCATCCTTATTTGATGGTTCATGGGTGAACCATGGTCTAGACAAGTATTTTTGCCTTACTCTTAAGCCTGACGGCTGAAGTGTCTGGGCACATGTTATTTTTGTGCCCTTGGCTTGCAAATGTGGATCTTTGTTGTTGTATACCAGTACTTGGGGAATCATCTATTGTTTATCTTGTTTTATTGGATTTATTGAATTTTAACATGTTTATCTTGAGGAGTGCCATACTAGGTGAATCTTTTCTAGTTCCTCTCTTTACATCATTAACGCATGCTTTCCGATAACTGAAATGGCTAATCAACAGCTCGAGTTATTATGGATATCTATTTTCTGGTTGTACAGGTCGCACATATGTTCCTGAGCACTCGCTAAAGATAAATGCAACTTCGAGCATTTCCACCAGGATTGTTTAGAATGGATTTCATGTAACTTCTGTTTCTTACCACATTTTATGAAGAGGAACTCAAAAGGCTGTCTGAAATGTAGCACCTAGTTATTTGCCTTCCTTGATGTGGGAATGGTTATGTTAATTTTTTTTTTTTTAAATATAGCATCACCTCATGTATCCTAAATCACGATCAGGAGAAACAATATTTGTTATATAGCCCCCTGGTGTTGGGAAAGAAATATACCCCTTATAGATGATTCGAACTGTGAATTGTAGTTGTGTGACACTCTCCACAACGCCATAAAATCCTTTTTTTTTTTTTTTCTTTTTGGTTTTATTGTATCCAGTTATCCACTACTCTATGAGCTCCCCTCTTTTGCTTCTGGTCTATTATGTTTATATGTGCAATTGCAAGGAGTCCATAATTGTATGGTTTTGATGGAAGAAATGTAAATTGGAAATTCTTAAAAAAGGAGGGAGGCTGGTTTCAGAAGGTTTAAGCTTCAGACTTCCGCTTTGCAAGGTTGTTCTAGGATTCTTGTAAATCAAACGTTTTTTTTTTTTTGTTGTTCTCGGAAACTAGTAAAACAGAAAATAGAACATTATTTGGTTTGTGGTTCGTGTTATGTCCGCTTGGTTGTGCTTTGTTCAATATAATTTATAAGCTACTTTGATTACTAAGTTGGTCCGACGAGATTTCTCAACTCGTTAAGATGGTCATTTTCACGCTTACATAATGTAATTCGTCGGGTTTTCACTTTTCAGTCTGAGTGTTTATAATTGTGAATTTGTACAGGGAATAGAGCTCAATTTACCCCCCTCCCCCTGAACTTGAGTGCAATATTCAGTTTGCCTAAAAATCAACTTTATACATTTGACCCAACTTGAATTAAAAGAACGAAACACCCATTTTTTCATAAAAAAAATATTTTTAATATTTTTAACTAACAAAATTATATATAAAGTTCAAAATTAAGAAAGAAAAATAGAGCTTTTTCTTTTTTTTGCAAATTGAGGAGGTAAATCGTACAAGAAATTTGATTTTTAGATAAACTGAATATTAATCTCAAATTCACGGAGCAATTTGAGATTTCTTCTTTTGCACAGGAATTATAGACTCAGGCCAAACCCAATTAATACCTACACACCAAACATCATAAAATTACACATTAAATTATAAAGGTTTAAGGAATTAAATGCGATTAGGTAGCATGATTTTGCACATTCCCACTCAATGTCAACTATGATTCCTCATACTAGCAAACAATCCCTTTTAGTGATAAAAATTAATATATATATATATATATATACCTTTTCCTCTCCCATAATTTTGTGGAATTTACTAAGTATGTACATCATAATTTATACAATCAACCACATATTTTTCTTCTTTAATGGAGGAAAATAAAATAAAAGGACAAGTTCCTCCTTTTTTTCTCGTATTAAGAAGTTAATGATCAAGCAAACAAAACTCTAACACATGTTATGCTAATGTCACTATCAAATTATGTGATTAGGATGGCGCTGGCTATTTCTTAATCACTGGGGCTAACACATGTCAACACTTTTACTTGTATCAGTCTCAAGAAAAGGAAAAAAAAAAAAAAAAAAACAAGAAACAGGAAAAAAAAAAAAAAAAAAAAGGAAGACAGAACTACTACTTCTAAATTATTTTTCACAAATATCCTTTACTTACATATTTTCTGTTGTTAATTATTAATATTATTATTATTATGATTTAATTACTTTATGGTAGCCATTAAATTGATCCCTTTCTAAAACCTCTGGACTCTAAAATATTGGAGGGCAATAGATATATTAAAGGGGGAAAAAAAAAAAAAAAAAAAAAAAAAAAGGAAGAAGAACTACTACTTCTAAATTATTTTCACAAATATCTTTACTTACATATTTGTTGTTATTATTATTATTATTATTATTATTATTTTAATACTTATGTCATGCCATAAATTGATCCCTTCTAAAACCTCTGGACTCTAAAATATTGGAGGAATGATTATATTAAAGGGGGAAAAGTAAAGTAAAGAAAATATTCTTTAAATTTCTCCAATGTTGATCTCTCCAAATTGAGAGAAAAATACATAAAATTGGTGAACATTTCACTATTCATATATACTATACAATAATATATTTCCATATCACAAACATACAAAGATATTTTTAACATAAAGATTATAAATTGATTGTTTCTCAAATAAGGAAAAATATAGATATTTTTCTATATTTGAACGTAAAGGTAAAATATGATTAAAATCAAATTTATAATTTGTAAATTTTCATTTTTCTGAATATAATAATTTAATGGTTAATGACATATTTCATAATATAAATTATTGGAGATATAATTAATGTATTAATCAATGTATAAAAAAGTGAAATAATAAAATTCTTTTACTTATATTAAGTTATTTTACATAGTTGAAATTTGATTTTGCTTTGTAACAATGTTGATTATTTTATGTGAGTTGAATTATTATTTAAATGTCAAGTTTTCTGATGGTATGGACTATCATTATTTTTGCAAAACATAGGGAAGGTCCAAAGATTTTTGTATTTATTTATTTTTCAGGAGGAAGGTTTCATGTACCATAATTTTTTTTTTTAAAAGAAAAGTGTAGACAAATTAAAAATTTAGTGACTTATTTATTTTTTTATTAATGATAAGTGGAATAAAGGAGAGCAAGAGTGTTCTTTCCTTCAAAAAAATATAACAGTAATAATAATAATAAATTTTTTATATAAAACTCAATCGTTAATCAAATATATATGAGTAATGAGATAAATATTAAATTTAGTGCGGAAATTTTTTAATTAAAAAAAAAAAAAGAAAATAAATAGAGGGGAGATGGATGCACATCAGCGGGAGAGATGAAATTTGACACGCGCGCGTTGGCGTCCGCCCACCCAAAGGGGACACGTCACAATCCAGGTGGGTCCCGTTTTATAAATTTTAATTTATCTATCCTGCCCAAACTGCCCCACGTTTTCCACTTCTCTGTTTGCCCGAATTGCCCGCCCCTGCCCTTTTTGTCTCTCTCAGTAGAAAGGTTCAGTACTGGGCAGTCCGAGACCAGCCTACCCGTTGCCCGCATTCTCCGGGCAACTCCACCATGCTTTTTTCTAGTCTTCGATTCGATTTAAAAATTTTCAAAGAAAAGAAACAAATGAATAAAAAAGTAACAGAGAATCGATAATAGGAAAAGGGGAGAGAGAGAAATTTATCTGATTTTTTTTTTTGGGCTAATATATTTAACTTTTTTATTTATTTCTTAAATATTTTTTTGATTTATTTGCTTTTATTTTAAACTGGTCGCTTTGTGTCTGAATCTCTGCAATTGTGTGTATTGGGGATAGTTTGTTTTTTTTGAGATTTCTGTTATCTTTAGAGCAGACATTTCCTGCTCTGTACTGAGGTTTGTTGGTTCCATTTGTTAAATCCTATTTTTTTCTTGTTTTAAGGAAAAAAGAAAGACCAAACTACTTTTGTTTCTGGTTAAATAGTTTCCAACTTGATTATTAATTTTTAGTCTAAAAACTCAAAAGGGGTTGCCATTTTTGACCTTCTTCTTGTGATCTCGCTATTTTGCTCTACTGGGTTTGTGGGTATTCAAGAGAAATTGTTAAATTTCGTTGCTTTTTGGTTGTTTTTTCCTTTTTTTTTTTTCCCTTCTTCCCCTTTTTGGGTTTTGGAAGATAGTTTTTGGTGGGGGGTTGGGATTTGGGGGGTCTTTGGATGAAAAGTGGGTCTGGGTTTTTAGGGTTTTTTGAGAGGAGCAGAGTATGGGATTGGGAAGTGAAGATGGAAAGGTGAAGGCTTCTAGGGACGTGTGCAAATCAAAGGGAAGGAAGAAGAAAAAAGATGACGGTGATGGCAGTGGTGGTGGTGTTGGTGGCGGTGATGATGTTGTGGACGAGGCGGATACAGGGTGTTGGTTCAAGTTGAGGTTTATAGGGGGCTGCATTTCTTCAAGATCCAAAGTTGATAGCTCTGTTAGTGGGACGAGTACCCATTGCGGTAATGCATACTTCTATTGAGAATTTTGCTTGATATTGCTTCAATTGTTTGGTTGACCAATATTGATGTTTACTTGGATGCCTGATTTTCCTGGTTTAATGCGTCAGGATATACTCTCTATGTAATGTTTATTCAGATACTAATTTTTACTATGAAAAGAGTCGGTGTTTACAATTGATTTTTAGTTTGATATTTTGTCGATAATAAATCCAAGGGTGACTAGGAACTTTGGTTCTGCACTAACAAGTGTGAGAATTCAGCCCTGAGACAGTTGAATTGGCATGGTCAAGGGTTTCAAGAAAACATGGATATCTCAGAACTTTGCATAACTGTGGGTCAAAAAGTTATGGTCTTATCCTTGATTGCTTTGGGTGCATCAGGAATACATGGAATTACATCTGAAGTGTCCTTCTTAACCATTTCTATTTGTGATAGATCATCAAGGTTGGCGAAACTTGGATTTCTAATTCATCTGTAGACTGATAAGGAATGGAGTCAGTATGCATTGTTCTCAGGTCCTAGTTTTGTTCACTTGATTCAGTTGAGGTTATGGTTAGACTTGGGCCTTTTCATGTCACCTTTCCTTTGTTATTAACCCAATATTCTACTTTGGTTTATTTTCAAATTGTTTGTTCAAATTTCTATATTTTCTTTCATAAGTTGGTTTGGCTACATCTAGTCTAAAAACAGTACTCAATACTACATCTGGTCAAGTTTGTTGTTTGGATCGATCATTTCTTCTTCTGAAAAGTATGTATGAGAAATTGCATTGTGAAAGGTTGGACAAACTTAGTCTAGTCGACTGTTAACTTTAAACTGGTTCCTTCAATGATTGTGCCCGTGTTTGTTATATCAAAATGATGGTGGTGAATTAGTAGTTAAGGCAGGTACATGGTTAGCAGTAGCATTGATGATGAGATGGCAAGTTGTATGCAAACATTTTATTATGGTAAAGAATGGGTTGCATGAGAGATCTGAAAGCATGATAAGCCTTAGAAGCATAAGATAGATTTTATGGTTTTGAAGTATTGTTAAGAAAGACTTTGTGAGGCTGGAAGAGTGACTGTCAAGTTGGGTTAAAATTACAGAAGGTAGTTGTATGTTATTTGATGTTTGTTCATCCAAAAAACATATTTTGGTTTCGAATTTGGGTATTGGTTAGCTGTCCAGTTGCTAGTTAAGTTGTTCTCATATTTTAAATAAATGTCCATGTGTTGCATTGCAGTTTATGTACCCATATATGGAGGACTGATTTAGCATAACAGATCTATGCCAATGCTATAATTGAAACCCTTCATATTGCCTTTCTTGGTGGGATGTGTTTTCTTACATGGTAAGTTTATTTGTATATCAACAGAAAGTAAATCAACAAATGATACAAGCAGAGACCAACCAGCCGCCCCTGCAATCTCATCTACGACCACAAGTAATGCAGAAAGTAATTCATCCACTTCCAAACTCGAAGAGGAGCTTAAAATTGCTTCCCGACTGCGAAAGTTCACATTTAATGATCTAAAGTTGGCAACAAGAAATTTCAGACCTGAGAGTCTTCTTGGCGAAGGGGGTTTTGGTTGTGTTTTTAAGGGGTGGATTGAAGAAAATGGAACTGCTCCAGTGAAACCTGGTACAGGGCTTACTGTTGCAGTTAAAACCCTTAATCATGATGGGCTTCAGGGTCATAAAGAGTGGCTGGTAAGGAACTTTCCTAATCTGCTCTAGTACATCATATATTAGATGTTGATTGCTGCCATTTTTTCCTTACTTTTGGTTTTTCTTTTGATTTGTTTGATGTAATATTTTGATTAAGATTTCTCTTTATTTCATAACTCATCTACGTGGCAGGCTGAAGTGAATTTTCTCGGTGATCTTGTGCATCCTAACTTGGTCAAACTGATTGGTTACTGCATTGAAGATGATCAAAGGCTGCTAGTGTATGAGTTTATGCCTCGAGGAAGCTTGGAGAATCACCTGTTTAGAAGTAAGTAATTCCCCTTTTTCTTCTTCTTCCTCTGTCCCTGTCTCTCTTTTTCTGGTTGGCTCTTTTGATCTCCTGTTGCTAAAATTTCTAGGCTTCTTACATGGAATAAAGTTACACCTGCTTGTGGATTTGAATAATATTCCCCAGTACTCATTTTTCCTTGTAGTTCATAACTGTTTCATGCCATTTGCAAATAAGTTGGTTTTATGCAGAATAAAATGACTAATCGTACTGTTATAATATTTATACAAATTGGATGAGTGAATGCTCAGTGCTTTGTGTTAGTATTTATGCATGTACACGTCAATTCGCACTTGAGACTATGGATATGCCTTGCTTCGTTGGACAAGGCACTGCACAAAAACATTTCTTTGTATAACTCAGTGACCTGTTTATTGCACTGGACAAAAACATTTCTTCGTTGTTTTTGCTTTTACTATGAAGTCATTATTATAATACATTCATGTCCCAATTGGGATATTATTTGCAGGATCTCTGCCTCTTCCATGGTCCATAAGGATGAAAATTGCACTAGGTGCTGCAAAAGGTCTGGCCTTTCTTCATGAAGAAGCAGAAAGGCCGGTCATATATCGTGATTTCAAAACTTCTAATATCCTATTAGATGCAGTACGTAATGAAACCTTGGTAAAGTTATAAAATTTTTCTATATGTGGTGTGCTTTTTCTGAGTTTTAATTTTGGCATTCCAGGATTATAATGCTAAACTTTCGGATTTTGGACTTGCCAAAGATGGTCCCGAGGGGGATAAGACCCATGTATCAACTCGTGTGATGGGAACATATGGTTATGCAGCTCCGGAATATGTGATGACTGGTAAGCATAATTTAATATAAATAGGCAAACTTACCATCTCTCCACACCTTCATTCACTGAAGGTCAAAGATAAGTTCTTTCTCTTCTTTTGGAAAAATTCAGATATGACTACTTTGTAGATATTTTTTCTCCTTTCCTTCTCTCCTTGTATTTCCACAGCACTAGTCATCCATCTTGTGGGCATCACTCCAGTTCACTTGAGGAAAGGCTTAAAAGTTTTTGTATTATGTATTAGTAGGATGACCATTCATTGGTTTGTGGTATGTGTTTAATTTTGCGTCCTACAGTTGTATTAGTTTTCAATTAATAAGCTGATGACACCAAGCTCTAATTTTCCTCATTATGATGATTAACTAAAACCGACTATCAAATTATTAGGGATTAGGTGCATGGATCTGATTCTTCCATCTAGTTCTGCCTGGGGTGAATCATTCTATTAGAACTTGCAACTTTACATTGCTACGTCATTGTTCTCTACTTAAATCCACCATCAGATACTCTTGCTTTTCTGTGTCAATGCACCAATGTGTCTATAGGTCCGTGATGAAAATGGCCAGACCATTTTGTTCGACCATCTCCTCTTGTTTTCTCTCAAGGATGGGTGTCTTTAGCTCTCACTTGCATAGGAATTCAACATATTCTTGTCTTTAAATACGCGAACTATGTTCTTCATTTTCTGAGTGAATGCAATGGTAGCATAGGAAATTTGGTTGATGCTTCATGGTCTTCTATTCTGAATTGCTTGCAAAGGTTGGGGTTACTGGGCCATTTCCTTTGGCCATAGCTTGTGCATTGTTACTGTAAACTGAAGTTTTGCATCCTTCAATAATTATTCTGTCAAAGACAAAACAGACATTAATGCCATAGAGTCTTGTGTTACTGTTGTGGATATCCATTGCTTAGGAATTCAACATGTCTATTTTATTTTCTTTGGTAAGTCTGAACAGATTAAAACTTTAATGTCTCAGGACATCTTACATCAAGGAGTGACGTCTACAGTTTTGGTGTGGTTTTACTTGAAATGATAACTGGCAGAAGATCCATGGACAAGAACCGACCTATTGGAGAACATAACCTTGTGGAATGGGCTCGGCCTCATCTTGGAGAGAGAAGAAGATTCTACCGATTGATAGACCCTAGGCTTGAAGGCCACTTTTCCATAAAAGGTGCACAAAAAGCAGCACAACTGGCTGCTCACTGCCTTAGCAGGGATCCAAAAGCCAGGCCCCTAATGAGCGCAGTTGTGGAGGTGCTGAAGCCTCTGCCCAACCTTAAAGACATGGCAAGCTCATCATATTATTTCCAAACCATGCAAGCTGACCGAACTCTTTCCAGCCCAAATGCCAAAAGTAGCAGCCGAACTCAAGGAGGATTATTGAGGAATGGACAACAACACCGGAGCCTTTCAATACCAAATGGTTCCCATGCATCTCCTTACCATCATCAATATCCCCATCAATCGCCTAAACCCACCAGTAAAGCATAGCACAGAGTCAGCAATTATCTACTTTTCACCACCCATTTTCATCATTCATTCCTTTTTCCCTCCTTTTCCCGAGATGTATTATCTGTGAAAGCATTTGTTCTTAGACACCGGAAAAGGCAACAGAGAAACATATGCGCTCTATATTATGTTTAGAATGGTGACCTCCCGGCAGGGGAGAATGTTAGGCAGGTGAAGCTTGTGGAGCAAAATGTCTGTGAGCCATATGTTGCTACAAAATGTCTTGAAATGCTAAAAAGATTTATTAGCTCCTTGTAAAATTTTTCCCCCTCCCGCTTCACTTCACTGCCTTTATCCTGTCAATATAAACCTAAAATCAGTCCTAATTCTGTTACTGGAACATTTATGCAATGGCAGTGAGGCCGTGGCTGGCATTTCTTATTTTTGATTAATGCAGGATGAGAATTGTTGCAAAACGCTGGGCTATAATATCCCATAAGGTCTTCCCTCGCACTGAAATTGGTAATTGCTGAAATAGATTATGTAACTGGGTATTGATGCTAGTTTGCAATGAAATCATATTGTACAAGAAACAAGAGGGTAAGGGACTGATTGCCAAATCTATCGTAATGATGACCTTACGACATTTGATTACTGCTACAAGGAACTAAATCAGTATCCAAAGAAAGAAAAATCTTAAAGCTTTTTCCGTTCGGTCAGTATATGCTCTCCTTTTGAAGGCCTCCTCGATGGAAACTAACTAACTACGTTGGTTGTTCCTAAGTTGGATCGGTCCGGGACACAAATTAGGGTTAGGAAAGGGTTGGGTACATTTGAACCGTTTAAAAATTTACTATAGTATCTATCTAAAATCGTTCCAAAATCTGATTACCTGTCTAACATAAAAATATCGGTTTAAATATCCATTTAACATTAAAAATATTTTTTTTATTTTTTATTATAAAAATACAAAGTTCTATTTTCACTTCATAAAAAAAATTGTATATTGATTATAATTATAATACTAATTATAACTGGAAACATATATTTACAATTTTGTTAAAAAATAAGTATTTTTAATGTTTAACTATTGATTAAATGAGTAACAAATAATAGATACCCAAATTTGAGTAGTAAAAAAACTAACGGAGCTTATATTTAGCACTTGACCTTATAAGTACTTTTTTTTTCATTTATCAAATAAATACTTTTTTTCAATATTAGTTTTTCAGTTATCAAACAAATACTTTTTTGTTAATATTAATTGAGAAATATTTAAAATTTAGATCAAATGTCATGTGTATTTATCACTAAACTAATAAACTATGCATGAATATGCACTAAACAAGCACTTAATACTTCAAAATACTTGGCTTTTATATAGTAAAATATAGTAAATAATAATAAACAGATGATCATAAATGGATAAAAAGGAACTGGAACAAGTCAATATAGTAAATAATAATAAATATATGATCATAAATGGATAAAAAAGAATTGAAACAAGTCAATAAAATATAGTTTGATTTGTCTTCTCACTTGTGTGAGAAATAAAAGATCACTTTTATAGAAAGTAAAAGACCATTTATATAAAGAATGAAATGTATCAAATTCCAGTCTTCTCCGCGTAGAACTATTATTCACAAATTTGGTGACAGAAAGAAAGAAGTACGTTGCTCTGAGCATTATGTATACATGCAGCTTACAAGTGCATTTCTTTTTTATCAATTTATTTATATGTTGCTTACACATATACACGTGTAGCATCCTGGCTTTGAAGACCGCCCACGGTGGAGCCTCAAGGCTTAAGGCACTAAGTGATTGGCATACGTGTAATGCATCTCATGTAGCCCTCCGTGTCAGTTGATCTTTGGATGTGCTCTCGAAGATCTTATCAGCATTTCCAACTTCAAACCCATCTCGCCTGTGGAATTCCTTAACCTGTTCAAGTTATTAATAATTAAGTTAACCAAACAAGATTTATGCAGTTTACTTGCAGTAATTGACACATTTCTAGACAGTCTTTTAATTATAATACCTCTTCCTCTGGTAAATTTTTATATTGTGGCAACACAAGGCGTTCAGCAAACTCAATGTATGAACAAGGAACTGATTCAGTGACACCGTCGGAAAATTTGAAACCTATTGTATCCGCCACAGTTGAACTTTGTAGCAGAAGGCCATCGGGGCTCACTGGTAGTGGAGAAAGTGAAATGTTCTAAGCATCAAATCTCTCGGCAAAAGGATTCAATATCTATAACTAATATATGATGTAGATGTCAAACAAATTTATTAATATACAGTACAAGTCACTAACAAAATGCTTAGTCTACAAGCAACACAAGTAAATATGCAGTCACTCAATAATTTCTGTCAAGCAAGATAAATTATCCAAATAAAAAAAAAAATTATGTTATGAGCTTAATGCTAAGCTAGTATTCTTGAAATTTCTATATATTGTCAAAAGATGCAGTAAGGCCTTTGTCAAGCAAAAACTAAGCGGGGCCCAGCTCCATCTAAGCGAATTCTCATTTCAAATTTATATCTGCATTGAATGAAGAACTGGTACAGAAATTTGAAGTATACTATCAACTTGTTCAGGCCAGATCGCATGTATCATATAAAGCAACATTTAATCCAGTTCTACTGGGATATTATGCTGCTAGGCATGAGATTTGAGGGGTGAAATTCCAGTTAGCAATTTAAACCTTGGAAAATCCATTGAGATGTTAGTTAATTAATTAAATGCCTGCATGGGGCTCATTTATTTTCCCAAAACATCAGACTATAGCACTGAAAAGCATTCTGTTTTGTGGGAACTTCATTATCGTCTACAATTTCTGCCCAGTGACCTGTTGGACTTTGCATATTAACCAAATGAGGAGACCAAGTTCAGCTCATATATAATTCACAAAGATGCCAATTATTCATCCGTAAGCATATTCCCATGATAATTCTAGTCATTTGTTTGTATGAGCACAAAATAAGAACGGAAGTGTATGCATAAATTTCCTTCATATAATGAACCATTAGATCCTTATAACTCTCTCTCTGGAAAGCAAAATTAAGATTAAAAAGGGAAAGGAGAAACAGTGAACAAGCTACTAACAGACCTTTCAGAATGCCCCCCTCAGAATTTAATTTGAATCCATTCTCTTCAATGAACTTATTGAAGTCTTTGATACTTCTCAATTGAGATTTCAGCCAATGAGTGGAAATGGTAACATGGTTCAGAGCATAACCATTGACAAGTGTCCAGGCAGCATATTCACTCTCCCTTAGGGAAACCAAACACAAGACTTCAAAAAGAGTTTTTCAAAATACAGTGCAAGTTTATTATTCCAGAAAATAAATCACTACAAAGCAATATACAAGTAAACTGCTAAATCACTATGAAGCAGTACAGAAGTAAACTGCATGAGGCCCTAAGCATAATAGTCAATTCATAATAATTGCATCCTATCAGCTTGTGACAATGTGTAAATTTTCATATATTTACAGATACTCGTATGGATACAAAGAGTGGTATTTTACACCAAATCTGATGCACAAAAAAGACTAATTACCTTGCCAATTGCTGAAACTCAGAATACAAGGGCTTCTTCCATGTCAATGAACCTAAAGCACTTGCCAGAGCAGCATATTTACATCCGCTACCAGATATTTCAATATATTTTTTAATTATTTCCTGAAAGAAGCAGTTTCAAGCACGTTGTAAGTTATAGGCTACATTCATAACTGTCAAAGAGATCAAAAGATGAAGTTATATAAAAGAAATTGCATTTTTTGTGAGGGACAGGTAATGAACTCAAAGTACTGAATACAGTTATGACCTAAATTATTCCATGAAACATGGATCTTGGTAACCATATTAACCAAGCAAAAACCATATTTTCCTTATGTCTTACAGTATAAGCCTTGGACGATATGTTCTGTATTCAAATCTTCGAACTGAAATTGAGCTTTGGCAAGCACTAGCTAATTTCTTTCATATAACAAAAATTTGACAAATGAATCCATTTGGTAAATCGTGAAAACCACTAGTGACACAAGAATCAGAAATGAAATGGTTTTCAACTAACGAAACTTTCACTATTTCCTACTCTAAACAATAAACTTATCAACATCTCATCTCAAATACCACTCAGCATTTACTCTCGATCCATCCATCAACAAGAGTACGCAAAAATCCGAGTTCTAAAAAACGCATAAGAGTGGCAAATGAAATAAAGGTTCATTTCAAAGATGGCAAGCTTTAAGAAAATTAGAAAGCAAATACCTTCAACCTAACTATCAGAACCAACACAAGTACAACGAAGCTCACCTGAGCTCGTGGACTCATCTGATCTACAAGAAGCTCCGATATGAAAACTCTCGGCAGAGGTCCATTAATACCACTGCCGGAGCCAGACTTAGAAACTGCACTACTAGGCGGCGCAAACCACAGCGCTTTCAATTTTTTCGCAGGAAATCTAAGCTCCTCTTGCTGTGTATATCCATAATCCAGGAAAATACTTGCCATTGAATCAATTCCGTGACCATTCACCTATTAAGAGAAAAAGTGGATACAAAATTACTTCTAAACAACAAAAGATTGTCACTATTACGATTGCTGTGATTACCCCAAATGTCCTGAACGCAACATGATCATAGCAGATTCTCTCCCCGTCAACCGACTGAACCAGCTCCAATACAGCTTTCGCCGTCGGATTCCTGTTCAAATAAACGGTTTCCATGCCCGACAATACACTCCTTAAAAACGATTCATCTCCCTGCGATTTCCAGAGAAATAACTAACAAATTAAAATGAACGCTGAATGATCCACTGGCGAAAAACAAAGAGCAATCAGATTACTTGAGAAGATGATTCGGTGCATTCATTTTCCGATTTAGAAGCAGAGACAGCGCAGAGACGGCGTTGTTGTTCTTTTCCAGTGGAAACGAAACTACACGAAAATGACGCATTCTTCAAGGAAATGAAACATCGGGAATTGAATTGCAAGGAGGGAGGGGGTGGGATAGACAGAGAGGGGGAATTGAGTTTGATTGTAGATGAGTAGACGGAGAACATTTTCGTTGGAAGTTTCATGAATCGGTTTTCGAATTCTTCTTGAAAGCTTTTCTTTCTGTTAATCTTATCTATTTCTGTCGTTCCTTTTATTAATTTTGATATTCATGCCACGTCTGTTCCGTCTTACATTCAATTCTCAGCGTTGCGTAACTTGTCCATTCAAAATACTTAAACCAATTAACTATTTCCAATGTTCACGAAAAAATGCAATTCACTATATTATCCTAAATGGGCATTGTGGGCCTTCCGGCCCTGAAAATTGGGCCGTCTTTGACGAAAGTCTAAAAGACTTTGTGTTGGGTCTTTCGTTAAGGAAAGACGGACCTAGTCCATATTTGTTCAAACTTCAGATACACGCGTAGCTTTAGATTTATCAGAAGGAAAAAAAAAAAGCAGTATTAATAAATAATTTTCAATGTCCAGGCTGTTGGAAAATCTACTCAGACACACTAATACTTATCCAAAAATTTATTGGCCAACTTTCAAGCGTGAGCTGAGAAATTTGAGACTTGGACACAGTAATGTCCACTCCTGATTCAACAACATCAATAGCCCCATGCCCCACCTGTGTATTTAAAATTATTTTAGAATATATATCCAAAACTAAAATTTAATGTCACCAATCATCTATTTATATAACTATATAAAAAATAAAAAGTGAAAAATATAATAATGAATGATACTATTAAATTCAACTCCACTGATATTAGTGGTGAAATTAGTGAGAACTCATTCATTTCCTTGATGCATATTGCATCTTAATGTGTATGGACCGCTATGTCATAGTCTACTATTCTGTCTTTATGCATACGTGGACTCTTTTTTTTTTTTTTTTTTTTTTTTTCGTTTGACTCTTTTTTTTTTTTTTTTTTTTTTTTTTTTTTTTTTTTGCACTGGACATTTTTATTTACGTATACTAATGTCTAAGGAATATAAATTTCCACGAGTGAGTGAGGATAATGATTTTCTTTTCTTTTTACTTTTTCTAACAGGACCACTTCTCATAAATTTTGGTGCCTGTCAGTCTCAATCTCACATATAAAGAAAGCTATAAGTGCAGGAAAACAAGAGAAGAAGAAGCTATGGTTTTGCATCATTTATAACTATTCGAATATTCACATCACATGTTTGATATTTGGCATAAACAGGAAAAAAAATACCACTCCTTGGTTGATGATTGGTTGATGGTAAATAGACTAGAGAAGTGTAATTTATTAAGAAATACATAAAGTATTTGTGTTTGATTTTAATTCTACTTCGTCGTTTTCCAACTTCTTTTATATAAAAGAAATAACTTTTTAAGTATGCCTAAACAAATTGCAATTATCTAGTTAAATATAATGAATTTAGCGATTTGTTATATTATTTAAATATGCTTAAATTTGTATTATGGACATTATCATCTTTTATAATTTGAGAATATTTACTTCTACAAAGTTGCTTTATATACTGAACACGTTTAAATAATGCTTCCTGAAAATATAATTTTCTTGGAACTGAAATTTCATGAAAAATATACTTCTCAAAAAAATAGACCATTTTGAACAAAATGACACATTAGTGACTAGTTAAAATATCTTTAATAATTATATAAATATTAAAACATTATTAATAATGCTTATAATATTATTTCGGTCTTTTGGAGTTTTTAGAGAAGAATAATAATAATAATAATAATAATAAAGCATTTCACTAAGAAAATAATAATAATAATAATAATAAAGCACTTTAATCAAATTCCAGTTGGTATGATCAGTTGTTAGATCTTAAAAAGGCAAATTCCAAAAGTTGGAGAACTGAAAACCAGATCGTAAAAACTAAAAGGACGCGCTCTCTGTCACTAAGCTGAAGGCTAAAGCAAGCAGATAGCCAAAATACCATGAAAGGAAAACCATTTGGATTCTTCTGTGGCACTATTCTACGGTTTCCTGCTTGTCGTCTTCTCAGAAACTACAATCCCTTCGCTTAGAATTTCCCTTCGAATCTTACCTGTTACGATATATCTCTCTCTCTCTGACTCTTAAATTTTCCTTTCTCCATAATCCAGCGGCTTTCGCACGCGTTCATTGAATCTGTGCACGGTTTAGTAATTTCTACTTCGAAAGCTCGATAGGTAAGCCGTAAGCAAAAAGAGAATTTTCAATGTCATAGTTTCTATTTGCTAAAGCAAGAACAAATAATTAGGGCTTGGATTTTTTAATCATAGTTTTTCATTCTTTTTTTCCTGATTATTGCGGTTTTTTCGTGTAAATTCTTGTATTTAAATTTAAAATTATTTCTTTTGTTCTTATCCAGTGTGTGTGTCTTTAATTATGGTTAGATAATTATTATTTAGAGAAAGGGACTCAGATATAGATATTTATTGTTGACTAATCAGCGTTGAAAATTCGCTCTTTATTATTATTAATTTTTTAGTTTTTAATTTTTAAAATTTCTTGTGGATGTCAGCCTTATTATCTTGTAGCTTTCTGCAATGTCCAGTATCTGTATAGGGATCCCACAAAGTTTATTGCTTTCACATTTTAAAATTTTAATCCTTCAATGTATACATACATATATATTTAAGGACCTTGTTGTTCTTTGTCAATATTGCCTGCTTTTAGTATCTTGCTGATTTGGTTTCTTTATAAAAGATGAATCTATTTCTTTTTAGGTGTTATTTGGAAGGCTAACCACATCTCCTTTTTTTTTTTTTTTTTTTTCTTTTTTGAAATATTTTTGTATGTATTTAGAAAGTCTGTCCTTTTTTTTTTTTTTTTTTTGAAAATATTTTTCTGATATTATTTAGAAAGTGTTATTACATATATTATTGATATAAAGAGGGTTATGGAGGTGCTTCTTGAACAGTTGGTGGATGGCTGGTAATACTAGTGTCTTGTAATTTTGGTTTTGCTATTAAAAATTGCAGTCAACAGTTTTAGAATAATTTTTTTATGTGTTTACGGCAGCTTAAACTGTTTACCAGGTGTGTTTTAGTATCCTTTATAGGTTATAAATTTGTGATGCTGGTAGTTGATGTGGAACAACAATTCTGAGCTGCAAGCCTTTATTGCTTTAGTGATTGTTGATACATTTTGTTTGTTTTCACTGTTATATATCAATTTTGTGGGAAAGGTTGATGTTTGGGAAGTGATCTCACCGTAAATCAATTGTTGATCTCACTGATCGTCATCTAAATTTCTGTTGTTTTCTCTTATTATTCTTACTGATACCTTTCTTGGTTTTGGCATTCAAACATGGTTTTATTATATTTGTAGATTCTTAATTAGTCAAGTAATCTTAGTTCAGGTAAGAACATGAGGGCGAGAGAATTGCTTGTGAAGAATTTGTTCTTGTTCTAGAGTTTCCTGTCTATTTTGTTGTTCTAGTGAACTGGATCATAGATAAAACGTTTTGGGGATTATGTGAAATTAAACTTCATATATGATTGTTTCCAACTCTCACAGATCAATGTATTGTTGATTATCTTGTGAACTAATGTAATCACCATTCTTCTGTACCTTTTGATTTCTCTAAAGACATGAAAATTTCTTTGTATGCTTGTGCAACACTTTGAATATAATTAGGGCACTTGGATAGTGTTGCTTTGTTGATGTGTTTACTAGGAATGGTGAGAGACGTGCCATTAGGGATAAGCAAGCATCTGTTGCTATATTCAGAACTTTCAGTAGATTATTACTGATCTTGTTTTACTTGTTTTTATCAGAAAATGGGACAAGCTCTGGGTTGCATTCAAGTGGATCAGTCAACTGTAGCTATCAAAGAAGCCTTTGGGAAGTTTGACGATGTCCTTGAGCCTGGTTGTCACTGCTTGCCCTGGTGCTTTGGCAGCCAGTTAGCTGGTCATCTCTCTTTACGTGTGCAGCAGCTGGATGTTCGATGTGAAACCAAAACCAAGGTCTGCTGACCACAAAATCACCACTAGGAAATTAGCAGGAAAATATTTTGTGGGATTCATATGATAGCATATTGTGGAAATTGGATGCAAGTATCAGTGGCTGTTAACTTCTTATATATATTTTTATCCTCAGGATAATGTGTTTGTTACTGTGGTTGCTTCTGTTCAATATCGAGCACTGGCAGAAAAGGCTTCAGATGCTTTTTATAAGCTCAGCAATACCAGAGCGCAGATCCAAGCCTATGTATTTGATGGTATGAATATTTATTTAGCTTATATAAGATTTAAAATTTCAAAAATTCTATTAGTTGCTTTAGCTCCCTTTCCCATCCTCCTTTTTCTCTTGGATTTCCAGTTCTATCTAATTTAGTTTGTGTCCTGATTCCTGAAGTAGCACCATAGTTAGATTGCTGCAATCTTCTTCACGCCATTGTTAACAATTATGGCAATATGATTTCCCACCACCGTGGAGGTCATTAAGATAATCATTTGAGATAATGTATCCTGCAATTGAAATGGTGTATCTTCTATCAAAATAAGGAAATTGAAAATAAAATTTAAGTTCTGTGATCAGGATGTGCTTTCTCTGAATTAGAATTAGACTGATATTATGAGGACATCAATTCTTCGACCATGGTAATTTACATGCTTTATTTTCATTAACTTAGAGGAATGGAAAGATTCACAAGGCTTAAATTGCAGCTTTTTTTTTTTTTTTTCTCTTTTATGGTTTGTCTGGTTTTGTGGACTGTTGTTGCATTTTATTCTCTTGGTAATTAAAGGTTTGTCTGAACACAAGGGCTTAACATGGGTAAAGAAATTTTTTCTAGATTGAGCTATAGAATGTTCATAAGATTGAGTTCTTTGATTTATTCCTACTAGTATATGCTTTTCTAAATTTCATTACAGTTACTTATGTTACACCTTGCCTTTTTAGTTATTAGGGCAAGTGTTCCAAAATTGGACTTGGATTCAACGTTTGAACAGAAGAATGACATAGCAAAAGCTGTGGAGGAGGAACTTGAGAAGGTGCTTTCAGTAGCCTTTATTTGGTTTAGAATTAATCAAATCACGGTTCTCCCTGTATATACTTTTTCCTTCATTTGTGAATATTTAGGCAATGTCACATTATGGATTTGAGATAGTCCAGACTCTTATTGTCGATATTGAGCCAGATGAACATGTGAAGAGGGCTATGAATGAGATCAATGCAGGTATAGCATTCTACTTTGCTTTGCTCCTCTCTTTCTTTTCTTTAAATATTCTTTTCTAAGAGTTGTTTGCTTTAAATCCAATAATTCATTCATTAGATGATTTGTCAACATGAATCCAGTTTACCATCCTAGGCCGTTTTGTTATGGTGGATTCAATTGAGTGGGAATTTTGGCCACCATTGGCTGTTTCTACTCTGTTGTTTAGTCAAGTGCAGCGGTTTACAGTGATGTCATTTCTTAAGCTTTATTCTTTAATCCTGCTACGGTGATATAGTAATGAATAGCAACAGAGGAGAGCTCCCCTATGTAATATGCCTGGGCCATTTATGGGAAACATGGCCTAATTGGCCATTATGATATAGTCTTAAAGACTTGATAATTTTATGTCTTCAATTAATTTTTTGATACAAGGACATGAAGTCTACAATTAGTCTTGTTCAACCTCAATTCCTGTAAACTGATCGATACAACTGTCTCTAATTATAACAACAGCGGCTAGATTGAGGGTGGCTGCCAATGAAAAGGCTGAGGCAGAGAAGATACTGCAGATTAAGCGAGCTGAGGGAGATGCAGAGTCAAAATATCTGGCAGGTCTTGGTATAGCGAGGCAGCGCCAAGCCATTGTAGATGGGCTGAGGGATAGTGTTCTAGCTTTCTCTGTGAATGTTCCGGGGACAACTGCAAAAGATGTCATGGACATGGTTCTGGTAACTCAATACTTTGACACCATGAAGGAAATTGGTGCATCTTCAAAGTCTAACTCTGTTTTCATCCCTCATGGACCTGGTGCTGTGAGAGATATAGCCGCACAGATCAGGGATGGTCTTCTTCAGGCCAACCCAACTCAGTAGTGTTGCAAGTTTCCACAGTATGTGAAGAAGTTTTAGTGGTATTGTAAAGAGCTCTGATATGTGAAGTTTAGTAGTATTGTATCGTAATAGACACTTTGATCTATTAATGATGACTCATTTCATTCTATGTTTCATAGAGTTAGTACTGAACTTAAGCGAATGATCCTACGTGGAATTTATATTGAACTTGGTGTCTGTACATGATTTGCAGTTGACATGAAAATATGTATATTTCTCGTAGTCTTTTTTAAGCAAATAATATTCTTCTATGATGGATCTGGTCTTGTGTTTGGCATAGCAGAATCCTTCACATCATGTGAATTCCGACATACCTAGCCTTTAGTGCAATCCGTACTCTCGTCCAGCTGTTTGGTATTGTTGTTTGTAATTTTTGGTTTTTGTTTTCCGACTGTCATCGAATAATATATCATCAAAAGGATATATTTTTTTATTATCTAATTGCTTAAATTAGAAAAACAAATTGCTACAACATTTGAGACCACCAAACAATTTTTGCAATTTGGGTCTCGGGAGGACATCGAAAACAAACTTGTTACAGCGTACGATGTGGGCTCACATCAGCTTTTTATTATATTGTCTGTGATTGGTAATGGCCGAAGCAGATTCATCAAAAAAATAAGGGAAGCTGGGCAGAATGAGAAACGGCTACCACCTATCTAGCATGAATCAGCTGGATAAGGACCAATCCGTACTCTGAATCACTTGGGATGGAGGAAATCTTGAAAGCATGTCACCTCAGCTTGCAATTTCTCAGAACCAAACCAGCAGCAGGAATTCAGTTCATGCAAACTACCAAAAAAAAATTTCAACCTACTTGGACATTGAACTGGCATTCTTCAACAACATTCTCATCCAAGCTTTTACCCCCTCTATGCTCTGACAAATAGGCATAACTATGTAAATAGCACACACACACACAAAAAAAAAAAAAAAAGGAAAAAAAAAAAAATTGGTAATGGCCCGAAGCAGATCATCAAAAACAAATAAGGAATGTGCGCAGAATGGAGAAACGGAGGTACCGCACACCTTATCTTGCAATTGGAATCAGCGGATACAGGGACCACATTCAGTCAAGCTCTGAATAACACTTGGGATGGAGGGAAAATCATTGCAAAAGCCATTCGTCACCATCAGCCTTGCACATTTCTCGAGAACACAACCAGCCAGCAGGAATTCCAGTTACATAGCAACAACTACCCAGAAAACAAAAAATTTCCAACGCTTAACTTTGAGACAATTGAACTAGGCATTTCTTCAACAACATTCTCTCATACCAAGCTCTTTACCCTCTATTGCCTCGCTGACCAAAATAGGCCATAAACTATGTAAATAGCCACCACACCACAAACACAAAAAAAAAAAAAACAAGAAAAACAAAAAACAATATTAAAAACAATTAACCATATAAAAAAAAAAAAAAAAGGAAAAAAAAAAAACAATATTAAAAACAATTACATTGAAAGAAAATTTTCATTTGAAATATTTTTGCTCAAGACCATGTATACCCTCTGTTAAGGGCGGAAGCACCATCCAGAAGAACAAATTGAAGATGGTTCCTGACAGAACTAGAATTATTTTCTACAACCCATAACCACCAAAATATGTTCGACCCAATAAGACAACAGAGACAGATCGAATGTTCATTTGAACAAGAAGCCAATTGTCACTTTTTTTTTTCACATTATTGCTGTACCCTGCTAGAAAAAAGCAAGCCCAGCCTCCAGTTACCCCAAAAGTAGATATTGCTCAATCTAGGGCTTGAGAGCCAAGGCCAATCCAATCTTAGCACTCTTTTCAATTGCCCTTGTATCGACCTCTCCAGAGATCGTGAAAAGCGACTTGAGGCGCCACTCATGCTGAATGAGAGCACTTGCTATGCCATAGTTGTTCGCACGAGCCTTCACAGTGGTCAAGGGGTCAAGTGCATGCTTTGTGCCAATAGTTAGCGTGTTCTCATTGCTTGAAAAGCTATGGGTCAGCTCGGCACCAACAGCTGTATCGGTCAATGGGCTCACTGTGTGGTAATAGGAAGCATTAAGGGTATCTCCTTTATCATTCCTGTGGTCATCATTTCAAAGAGAGTGAGAGAATAGACAACATGGATAATAAAAATAAAAACAAAAATAAACGCATGACCCAAAGATAGATACACAAACGGCGCAGTCAATGACTTTAATAATTCAATAAGATTTTAATTTTATACTCAAACATTTCATCCTAAGCAAAAGAAAGAAATGCTCCACAATTTATCATCTTCAAATGTCTAAAACTTCAAAAGCATTTAATAGAACACACCAGTCCAACTATCCAAGTGAACAGGTATCCCCATTTCAGCATAAGGAACTACTCACAATGTCACTGATGCAATGAGGTCAGCATTGGTATAACTCAACCCCGCATTCAATTTGGTGAAGTTCCCAGAGGCAGTGTCAAATGAGAGATCAGTCCCAAGAGCAATAGTACTGTTCCCAACCACACCTGAGAAGTTAACAATGGGATTTGCAGTCAATCCAATGCCTGTACTTATCCCAGAATACTCATGCTGGTATTGGAGGTCCACCTGTTTCCATAATCATAAGTCAGACACTATAGATAGAGTAGCAACACTCGACATCCTACAAGTTATGATGGGACCAGAATTGCAGCGAGCAACTAGCTAATCATAATTGATCAGACTCATACAATACTCCAGCCAACCAGCATGTTAAAAAAGATTATAGCATGATGAAATTAATGTTTTAAAAAAAAGTTGGCCATAGGCTGCTTACCTTGCCAGATCTCTGATCAGGAATCTTGAAGCTAAAGATTGTCTTGAGTCCAGGAGCAAGATCATCAATAGTGATGGTCGTGAAAAGCTACAGCACATAATACATTAGCTGAGTGATTAAAAAGAAAATTCAAATGGATACCATGCATGATAAAATATAATTCCAATTTGGTATAGGATAAGCGCCAAAAGGAACTCCTTATTTTGAAGAACTTCTAGAAGAGCTAAATTACATCCAGATAATTCAATGACGTTATTTACTTTGACATCGTGGTTATCTTTCAGATCTTTCTCCGAAATAAAAATGTATTTCTTAATTATCCTATAACCTGCTACCATATAAATTCACATCTGCAATCCTGCAGCAAAAATATGAAAAACCAAGACTAAAGGGTGCTATCTTGATGAAGTTGCATTCCTTAGCACCAAGGTATATTAACGAGTCACCCCAAAGCAGAATGGTGGTCAGTCAAACCTCCTGTACATGCCACTAACTTTATAACAGGCATTTCAACTTTCTATTTTGTAACTCTTCAAATTTTGAAATGGAAGTTTACGTGCTACTAAAAATGTAAGCAAGAATCACATATGAAAAAGTTTTGGAGATTAAAATAATTTCAAGCAGCATCTTGAGAACTGAAGTATCACATAGTTTCCTATGCCTTAGAATAGGAACCAGAAGAGGATACAAGTTTTGATACACAACAAATTAACAACATAAAAATTAAATATGAGAAATCAAAGACAAAGAATTAGAGTACAAGTATCCACTGAAGATTTTGCAACTTACATTGGAGTTTGTGTCCACTTTTACATCAGTTGTGATATTCTTGTTCTTCAACTGACTGCTTACATCTGCCAAAAACAATTCACCTTTCTTAATTCCAGTTGAAGTGATTGCCTGAAAGGGAAAGACTAAGCATCAGAAAACAACAAAAGGTAGCCTACAGCATGTGAGCAGAGTAAAAACCAACAATAGAAGAATTAGTTCTTCGAAATAAAATAAGTTCAAGTTATACTGCAACTATTTTTGCATGTACAAAAGCATAAGCACAGACTGAAATAACCAAACACAAAAAAATAACAGATAAGGCCACATACAAATATCCAGACCCATGACCACCAGAAACCCTCGTTAGGTTCCTTATTTAGGCAAAAGTTACCAGTGACGTATTAAAAAGTCTCTAATATGACAGTAGAGTGACAATGATATACTGATTTTAAACCTAACATTTAACAATCCCTTCCAAAATAAAGTGACCAGATAGATTTAGTGGGTATGCATTTTTAGTAGTTTCAAACCCCAGTCCCCCACCTCTTTTCATCTGGGCATTATTAAAATTATCAAACAATATCAAATGCACAACAAGAGGCACCTAATATATAGGGTATAACTCTGAATTTTTATTGCCTAAAATGTAAGAACATGCAACAATAGAAGGAATCACCAAAAGAATGAATGAATCATTATGCATCAAGTTAGATAAATAAACAAGTGTGAACTACTCGCACAAATGCTGATAAACTAATGAATAAACAAAATATCAATTAGCTAGGTTTGGAAAACACATTAATTCTTACTACTTAAAGAGTCATATAGTGCCAAAAATTCAACCGTGAAAAAATCGAATAAAATCTCAAAGAAAAAAGACTTGTTCAGTTTTGAATTCGAACAAATAATCAATTTCTCAACAACCACCAGAGAATAAATCCCCAAAAAAAATCATAATAATTAATCTTCAAAAAATTAAATTTCAAAAATCTTTAAAAAAAAAAAAAAAAAATAAATCCCCAAAAAAATCATCAATAATTAATCTTTCAAAAAATTAAATTTCAAAAATCTTTAAAAAAAAAAAAAAAAAAAAAAAAAAAAAACTCACGACTCCAGCGGCGGTGTAGGTGGTGAAGGTGAACTTGTGGTCGCCCTGGTAATCCTTGTAGAGAAGATCTGCAAATTTTGAACAATAGACAACACAGGAAAACAGAATAAACAGTAAACGATCCAAAAAGCACCGAAGCGAGCAAATAACAGAGGGACAGTAGTCTACCTCTGGCTTTCTTGCCAATATCGGAGTATAGACCAGGGCCTTTCCCCATGATTTCCCGAGAAAATGGAAAGGAAAACTAGAGGAGAAGAAAATGAAGGGTTTATGCGTGCAGAGAGTCCAGAGTACAAGTTTTTTCTGCTCAAACCGAGGTACGAGGAGAAAATGGGTAAATTCGAAGAAAGAAAAGAACCCTAATATTGTTTTGTTGTTGTTGGTCTTTATTGCGAGTTGATTTGAACCGTTGGATCTTTTGGAGCTGAGATATTCACTTTCGTGGCCGTAGATTTTGACTTGAGAAGGAGGGCTTAGGTGGTTGTTGTTGTGACCTTGAGAATCGGGACAGAGAGTACTTGAGCATATTCGCCTTTGCAATTTCGGTTGCGTTTTCAGCTGGACTGTTATGACTTAAAAAATTTTTTTTGAAGGTAATTAAAAAATATTTGAATAATATTTCGATCCGAGAGTGGAATATGTATAAAAAATTATTTAAAAATATATCTGAATAGTATATTTCTATCCGAGTTGGAATATGTATAAACAATAAAAAAAAATTGAAAATTTGATTTAAAGTTTTAAACGAAATTTTTATCTATCAAAAGTAATTTAAAATCGTACGGCATATTACTTTTTATTTGCTGTATATTAAAATATTAAATAAAATAATTGGACTCTCATTCTTTATTAGTAGGTTGGACATGGCTGGATGTTTTTAAATAAAATCAGACTCAAAAACTTTAGGCCCAATCTGGATTGGATTTTAGGACCCGTGCTTGGTCCGGCCCAAACAATTTAATTATGTAAAAATTGGATTCGAATTAATTTTTCAAATACAAAAATTAAACATCCTATAATATACATGTTTTTGATTTCTGCATTAAAAAAAAAAAAAAAAAAAATATATATATATATATATATCCTCTTAGCCAGGAGGTAACAAAAAGGAGCATGAATTATATTATCTATAAATCCACAAATAACACAAGCTGAATTAATTTACAAACCTCTTGAATTATATTATTTATTCGACGAACTGTAATATCATATTATCAAATATATTTTCATTGTAATATGAAATTGTGATCAAATATAATTGTAAAAAAAAAAAAAATCAATCCAAATAATTTTGCAAAATAAATTAATTTATTAAACTTACAGTTAATTAGGTCAATTTGAAGCATATACATCATATATTATAATTTATAAGATGAATTTGGTTTAGCGTCTCCAATTTGTTTTTCTTCCTTTTTTTCATTTTAATGAGACCTTTTTGTTCTTTAACTATAGAGTGTTATTCTCATTTGAAAATATTATCATCCTTTGGTGAATATTTCAATTCAATGTATGAGTAATGTAATGATTGTTTAGTTTGAAGAAGCAAAAGTCAAGTTGGCAGATGAGTGGATATGATCAGTTATCAAGTTGAAGCAAGTATACTTTACTGGCCTGACAATGGCGACAGACAAGTGGCGAGTGGCAATGTATCCCAGTCAGCTTCCCGACAGGCAGCCAGCTGATTGTTCCGTGTCGGATTCCCCATCCCAACGTGTACCGGCTCCGGTCAACTTCCAATCATAGTTGAGCGTAGAAAAAATTAGTTTAGCTAAATATTGCAATTAAAATTTTATATAATCTTTATTGTATACTATTGATTACATTTAAAATTAAAATAAATGTAGCCTAAATAGTTTAGCGTAAATGAATAAAAATATATACTTGGAATCTCGTATAAAATCTTTATTTTATTAAATCTTTTTGGGGTTTGATAAAATGTTGTTGACCCTTATTATTAACGCAAAGACGATCAGTTTCTCCGCTCCTCATAGCTGATGTATTTACTGCTTTTTGTCCTTTTTGCACTCTAATAAAAGAGAAACAGAAACTTCAACCGTTCATGTGGAAAAGGCAAATTTCTCGCCGAGAAAGTGGTGGAAGCATATCATCATACGTCCGATATATTAAAATTGGAATGAAAATTAATATTGGAATTACATATCCAACATTTGTAAATAATACTTTTTAAGTTCTTGTTTGATTATCGCGAAAACAAAGGAGGTAGAAAAGTAAGGAAACTTCAAATTACATTTTTTGTGAGGGTGGATTAAGAGTTTACATCTAAAAGAAAATGAAAAAAATATAAATATAATATTTTTTAATGTATTTTATATTTATCAAGGTGAAAATGCATTATATGAATTCACTGAGTGTATATTCATTACTTATATATTTAGTTAATTATTAATAATCGTTTTGAGAAGATAATAACTTATTTACGTTCATTTATAGTCCCATCTATGAATTAAATTAATGAAAATAAATAAAAATATTTATGAATATTTATCGAAAAAATTCATGATAATAATATTTTTCTCGATTAAAAAATAAGTTTAAAATAATTAACTAATCATGAGAAAAAAATACATTACTTATTTTAAACGTTTCTTTTTAATTTTGAACCAAATCGAACATTATTAGATAAGCCTTTGGATAATCAGTTGATGACTGAAAAAAATCAGCATGCTTTTGTAAGAAGAGAAGAAAAGAACGTGCTTGCATTTCATTTAACAGACAAAAAATGCAAATTAATTAAAACAAAATTAAACGTAAACTATCCACCACCCACCCCAATTCTTATAAATATCCTTAAAAATCCCCTTTTGGACCTCTATCTCTCCCTTTCGTTCTTCTTACTGTTACAGATCAAACACACAGCACAGCCATGTCAGCTGTTGCCATTAAGCCTCTTCTCCAGTATTCCAGAAGAGAACGTCGTTTAGCCAGTTGCAGAACGAAGATCCTCAAACATTCCTCCTTGAATTTCTATTCAAAGCTTCGGTTTCTCTCTAATGGTCACTGCAACTGCAACTTCAAGCCTTCTCGCTCCCTCACAATCCGAGCTACCTCCATCGACACGGCTCTTGTTGAGACTTTTAAATCCTCCGATGTCTTCTTCAAAGAGACTTTTCCTCTCAAGCGAACTGAAATGGTTGCCACTTCCATAGTTTCCTATTCGTATATATATATATATATATATATACACATCTACTTCTACATATATGCGTATACATGCTATATATATGTATGCGTATTTTTGCTGATGTAGCTTTTGATATTTCTCAGAAAAAATTATTTAAAATTGGAGTTCAATTCAGTTAATAAAGGAAAGCCTTTTTGCAATTAGAGTATCAGGATTGAATATGCATTTTTTACTTTTTATTTTCTACAGTTCTTTTCTCTGCAATCTTAGGAAGGAATTGATCGCGAGACTGATCGGATCAGTTCTATTTAATTTAGACTAAAGCATCAAATCGTAGAACTGAAAAAAGTTGTCAGCCTTGAAAAATGATTTTGATCTTCATTTATTTGGATTGGAATGGTAGGTCGAGGGAAATATATTCGTAAGATTAGAAAAGGAGAATGATCGGCAATGTTGGCAGCTTAGCGTAGGGTGTACCCTTCCAGGAAAATGGATTCTTCATTGGGGAGTTTCTTTTGTGGACGATGTTGGCAGGTTAATTTTGTTTGATATTTTTAATCTCTTGATTATGCTCTTACGTTTGTATTTAATCTTCACATGACATGCAAATTAGTTTTGCTCTTTTTTTTTTTTTTTTTTTTTTTTTTTTTTTTTTTTTTTTTTTTTTTTTTTTTTTTTTTTTTTTTTTTTTTTTTTTTCCTTTTTATGATATTGGAATTTTTTATGCACGTTTATTTGGTAAGCGCAATCTTTTAAATCTTGCAGTGAATGGGATCAACCTCCTAAGAATATGAGACCTCCAGGTTCCATTTCTGTAAAGGTTAATTTTGTTGGCCTCTTTATTTGTGAGTATTTTACCCGCTTTAACCTTTCAAGCAGAAGCATTAAGCATAAATGAATTTTCCAGGACTATGCAATAGAGACACCATTAAAGAAATCAGCGGAGGGAGACACATTTCATGAAGTGAAGATTAATTTAGATCCTAAAAGTTCAATCGCATGCATCAATTTTGTATTGAAGGTTTTGATTTTCAACATTTAGAACTTGACTTTGCTAGTTCTGGTTTCTGTTATGAATCTTGACAGTGCATTACCCTTTGTATTTTTTCTCTCTTCTTTCCTGTTTGTGGTGTCACAGGATGAAGAAACTGGAGCTTGGCATCAGCACAGAGGGAGAGATTTTAAGGTGCCTCTTGTCAACTATCTTCTCAATGATGGCAATGTAGTTGGACCAAAGAGAGGCTTCAGTCTATGGCCAGGTTGTAGAAATCATTATTTGATGTATTTCATGGCTTGTCTGATACTTCTATAACTTTGTTTTTATAACCCTGTTTTAGGCTTCATTATATGTGAGGTTGTACAAGTCATTATTTGATGTATTTCATGGCTTGTCTGATACTTCTATAACTGGCTTGTCTGATACTTCTATAACTTTGTTTTTATAACCCTGTTTTAGGCTTCATTATATGTGAGGTTGTACAAGTCATTATTTGATGTATTTCATGGCTTGTCTGATACTTCTATAACTTTGTTTCTATGAGCCTGTTTCTGATAATTGAAGTTTGGTTTGAAATTATGCCCCCTAAGCATGTTTCTTGTCACACAATTCAGAGAGGATAGCCCTAATATAAAAAACATATTGCTTTGATATGTTCCCATATATTGGCATGATGATCTGGTAAAGAGAGGCATTTATGAATTTACAATGTTAACCAAATGGTGAAGAGAGTCAACAGAAAATTGAAATAGATATTTGTGGTCTGTTTTAAAACTTAAAGTTATTTTTTCCTTTCTTCTGATAGTATTTTGCTATCTTGCATACTTCTTATGGTTAACGGTTCGTGGTAAAAAATATTACATGTAACTTGTTCCTCAAAATGTCATTCTAGTGGAGTTTAGTGTAATTGTAAATAAATGTGGAAAACTGAATCAGTTGGCCTAATTGTGGGTAAGTTGTACATCCGACTGGCAATTGCTATTTGGGCTGTTGAAAAATGAAAAACTGGGGTCGCAGCTTGGTGGTTTTTTCTTCTGACTGTTTCTCACTATAGTCTTCTCTGACATGTTCATTTTTTATGTAAGCATAAACTGACAATCTTATGATTCTCCTCGATCCTAGGGGATTTCCTTTCTAACATGCTTCTCAAAGCAGAAGCATCGCCTTCTAAAGATCAAGATAGCATTAGTGAATCAAAAGATGCTAAACGAGAAAGTAACCAGCTAGAAGAGTTCTATGAAGAGCAGCCTATTTCTAAAAAAATTTCTATTCAAAACTCGGTCACTGTTTCAGTTAGGAAGTGCCCCAAGACAGATAAGAATCTTCTTTATTTGGAAACTGATCTACCTGGAGAAGTTCTTGTTCACTGGGGAGTTTGCAGAACTGATGATAAAAATTGGGAAATTCCAGCTGGGCCGCTTCCACCAGAAACAACTGTGTTCAAGAACAAGGCTTTGCGGACTCTGTTACAGGTATGTGGCGTTGAAACATAGGTTCTCTCTGGAAAACTTAAAATATATGATTTGAAATCATTTCCGGATTTTGACTGATGTTAAGTTAGATATTCATCAAATGTATGTATACTTTTTTCAATACCATTATCTTCTAAGCTAGTTAAAGATATTACACAACTGTTTTCAGTTCTAATTCTTTTGCTTCCAGAGGAAAAATCTTTACTATCTTGCCCATTATGCATACAACTGTAAAATCTACTCAAATGTTGCTACAACAGTTTCTATAGGTTGCCAAAATATGAAAACTTAGGCATTCAGTAAGGACCTATTGGCTCAATGACCCTTCTCCTTTTCCATGAAACTTAAATTATGGTTTGAACCTGTAGGGGATGGGGTGTTGTGAAGAATATATTCTTTCTCAGTAACTGCATGTATATGAGGAAAAGGAAAATTGCTTGTTGAGAACAAAATTCTGTGCTGCCTTTGTCAATGGAATTTATTGGTGGTTGTTCTCCTTCCTGGTTTCTGTTTGGAAATGATGAAACTTGGGCTTGTTTGTTACTAATATTAGCAATACACCTTTTTTCTTTATTGTTTTAAATTCTTATCTATTTGGTTTATTACCTCAAGTACTGCCTGGATGTGCTCTTGGAAGTATGCGTTTACTAAGGGGAGAGGAGAGCGGGTTATAAAAAATTAATTTGCTCCTCGTATATATAAATTTTGAACATGTATGCATAAAGATACACTTACCTATGTGACCTTCTGCAGGTTCTGGTTGAGAGCACTTTTGCTTATTCAGTTTGCATTTTTCCTTTCACTTATATGCTATGTTGTAAACTTTAAATTATGGTGCCTTAAAAGTATTATTTTAGGCAAGGTTTTAATAAATCTGGTTCAGAATGGTCTTGTCTTGTTTTTATTTTTCCATTTACAAGGCATCCTTCTTCTCTGCAGCCAAAAGATGGTGGAAATGGATCTTCAGGATTATTTACTTTAGACGAAGCATTTATTGGCTTTCTTTTTGTTCTCAAGCTAAATGACGATACTTGGTTGAAATTTAAAGGAGATGACTTCTACATCCCCTTTTCAAGTTCAAGCAGCTTGCCTGCTCAACCTGGACAGGGACAATCTGAAGGTTCACTAGCACCCGGAAAATCTATTGAAGCAAATGAAGAAGCTCCTCGTACTGTGTATACTGAGGGGATAATTAATGAAATAAGGAACTTAGTAAATGGCATTTCCTCAGAGAAGAGTCGGAAGACAAAAACAAAAGAAGCACAGGAAAGCATTCTTCAAGAAATTGAGAAATTGGCTGCTGAAGCTTACAGTATTTTCAGAAGCTCTGTTCCTACTTTCACTGAGGAAGCTGTTTCAGAATCTAAGGCACCGATGGCCCCTGCTAAAATTTGCTCTGGAACGGGCACAGGGTATGAAATCTTGCTCCAAGGCTTTAACTGGGAATCTCATAAATCTGGAAGATGGTACTTGGAACTCAAAGAAAAAGCTGCAGAAATAGCTTCACTCGGATTCACTGTAATTTGGTTGCCCCCACCAACAGAATCTGTGTCACCTGAAGGATACATGCCAAAGGATTTGTACAATTTAAATTCTAGGTAATAAATTTATGAAATCCATAGTGCTTTTTATGATACTCATTTATTTTTCATTTTTTAGTTTTGTTAAGTCATAGCAACTGATCTAAGCCAAGCTGTTCAAATGATCCATTTGTATTCAGTCTAGAGGCTTCCTTTACATCCCTCCATCTTAGCATAATGATTAGCTTTTAAGAAAAGATTATTTGGTGTATGGGCATTTAATTGCTTGATTTATGTTCTTTTATACTGGACAGTGCACATTTTACCTTCTCTCCATCATATTTTACTGTTTATCATTCATAGGGAATGATGTAGGCCTTCTGTAAAGATGTCCCCTATGTGGTTTCTTTTCCTTTCCACATAAATGGTCAGGGGCACTGTCATCAACTGATAAATAACATTTGACCTCTGCGGCATGTATACCAGATATGGAACTATTGACGAGCTTAAGCATCTTGTGAAGAGTCTCCATGAAGTGGGTCTTAAAGTTCTTGGAGATGCTGTCTTGAATCATCGCTGTGCGCACTATCAAAACAAAAAGGGCGTGTGGAATATTTTTGGGGGTCGTTTAAATTGGGATGATCAAGCCATTGTTGCAGATGATCCACATTTCCAGGTACCTGATTATTTGATTCCCAAACTTTGACATGTCTTTGTTTTGCTGGACTCAGACACAGTAGATTAAAGGGTAATGCAATTTTTGTACGATGCACAGTATTGCCATGATGTTGGGATGAAAAAATTGCTATTGCTGTGTGTTTGTGTGAATGCTGCTCCTCGGTGCCTTGTATGTCTACCTATCAATGTATTATTATTTTCCATAAAATAGAAAAGATGCCAACTTGCAGTATTATTGGAATTGAAAGTTTTGAGTCTCCATAGAATTCTAATCATATGCTGAATTGAGTGGATCAAATTGCCAGATTCTTCACCTTTTGAGTTCATAGGACCCAGTAGGTTTAAAACTCAAAAATATAACTTTTATCTTATTGTGAAAGAACTCCTAACGCTCAGTCAAATAATTTGACTGAGATAAATGGTTGTCTTTAATCACAGACCTAAGTTGTAAGAATACCTTGCCTTGTCTTACTAGGATAAGTGGCTAATGGGCATAGCATTAATACCAATATTTGGAGGGCAGTTAGAATCCACTGTTAAACCTCTCCCTTTATAGTCCTAAGGGCATCATCAATTCTTTCTGCCAGTTCGAAGTTGTAATTTCCTTTTTCGGGAGTCCAGCCCTCTTGCGAACCAATTAGAAAGGGAAAGTAAGCCAGTTCCAGTTGTAGTAGAATGACCTTGGCTTGGCAGTCCATCGGGTGGGTTTTCATCCTTCCAGTTTTGAGTGTCTTCTTGGATAGTTATAGTAACCCATGGCAATTTAGTAAATAAAAACAAACAGCTCTTACTCTTGTGTATGCTCTGCATCTTGTACTCCTATTCCCATAGCTTATAATGGACTTTGTCAAGCATATTCAGAGAACTAACTGGGATTCTAGATTTATAATTTATATTGTATTGTTTTTGAGTTAGGAAGCACCATGTTTTTTGTTCTTTAATTTATAATAATGTTTTGTATTTTTTTGGTTCTTTAAATATTTGTACGTTCTTAAATCTTAATAAAATATGTTTATATTTAGTTTAGATTAGTGCCGACGTAGGATGTTCTAAACTCTGTATAATTTTACTTCTATTAGGTTAGAAGGTCTGGTTGTTTTATTTTGGGAAATGACTTCCAAGTCTAAGAGATCGGATCTAAATTTGGTGAAATTTTCATATTTTGTTTTAATTGATTTTAAGAATTTGTACAGAATCTTAGTATTTGATTCAATTGTCAAATCTGTATATGAAATGGTTATGCATAATAGAGCTATGCCTATACTCTATATTTTGGATGTTTATCTTCAGCTGTTTCTATCATGCAGGGTAGGGGCAACAAGAGTAGTGGAGATAATTTTCATGCTGCCCCTAACATTGATCATTCACAAGATTTTGTGAGAAAGGATCTCAAAGAATGGTTATGCTGGCTAAGGTTATATTATTTTTCCTTCTTATCATCTGTAAATGTAGAACCTTTTTGCATTTAATAGGAAAGTAAATGGAGTTTATGTTCAGACAAAGCATTCCTTGGGTCATCTTGAATATTCTTTTCTCTGGTCTTGCGGGCTTTAGATTCTGAGTACCATATTGTTTAGGAAGTAAATGCTGGGATGCTGGACATGTATCCTGTGTGAAAACATGATAATTTGTTTGGTACAAATCCATTGGGTACTTATATGACTTCTTCGTGACCGCAAATCTCTCCGATGTTCCTGGCCTTTGTATTGAAGCAAACTCAATATATAGTTTTGTTTCCAATGATTTTTTGCTTTACTTTTCCATTTATGTGATTAAATTTTTATGCTTTTCTTAGGGTTCTGGTAAAAATCTACCTGACTGATTAGTCGAGCATTGTTGACCCTGGATGTCTATTTGTATGTAAACTGGATTTGCTGCAGATATTTAAGTTAAAATCCCATGCACAATGGCAGAGGGAGGGGGGCCAGGGGTGGCCCCTGCCCTTAGCCAAAAGAATTTTTCAAAATTAACCCCTAAACTTTTTCAATTTTATCCCTAAAATAGTGTGTTCTTTTTTTTTTTGTTAATTTTGCCCCCATTATTTAAAAAAATATATATTTTTTTTCGCCTTCTAGCCTTCAATCGTGGCTTCACCCCTGCCCATGCATTAACTTCTATTGAATTTGTAGTGTATCATTATCGATGTATGAATGCTAATTTTGCTGGTTACATTTGATATACAGAGACGAAATTGGATATGATGGATGGAGGCTTGATTTTGTTAGAGGATTTTGGGGTGGTTATGTCAAGGACTACATGGATGCGACTGAGCCTTATTTTGCTGTTGGTGAGTACTGGGATTCTCTCAGCTACACATATAATGAAATGGATCACAATCAAGATGCACATCGGCAGAGAATTGTTGACTGGATCAATGCTACCAATGGAACTGCTGGTGCATTTGATGTCACCACAAAAGGGATTCTTCATTCAGTAAGCTCTTTCTTAAACCGTAGTTTTGTAAAATTTGTGCACATTTTAAAACTACCACGAACCATTGCCTTAATTGCTTGCGGGCTTGCTTTTGGTCACTTATTTATTGATATAAAAAGACTTTTAAAAATTAAAGAGAAAGATTGACTTCAACACCTTTGATGACGACCTGGTTGGATAAGAATTGTATCCATAGGAAGGTGGAAGTTGACTAGGATTTTTCATAATATGTAACATGGATCTATGAGTTCACATCTGCAGAAAAGTAGTGGTTTTGGAAATAGTATGATATTTGCATCATTTAATGGAGAGTTTAACCCTTGACCAAATTGATTGAACAAATTTATTTGAATTTCGTTGGCATTGGTTTTATATACAGTACAGAATGACAAAATTGTAGGCCAAGATGGAGCACTTTAAAGGAAAAGGTCAAAAGAATTCATGTAGTTTGTACGCTTCATTAAGGACTAATGCCAAAAACTGGGTTTCTAGTCGCTATCATGATCATTGTGTCAACTACCTCATGCCATTAATCATCTTCTGAAGTCTTAGGACTATGTCAACTGTTCAACCATGAAGTGGACGATACAGTAGTTTGACCCTTTTCTTTTTACTTTTGTCGTGTTATTAATTTGCAGAGCTTTTAAAGTGAAGGATATTATTAATTACAACAAATTATTATTCCAATATAGGCATTGGAGCGGTGTGAGTATTGGCGGCTATCAGATCAGAAGGGAAAACCTCCCGGAGTTATGGGATGGTGGCCATCTCGTGCTGTTACCTTCATAGAGAATCATGATACCGGTTCTACTCAGGTTTAAAATTCTTAACTTGTGATTCTTCCACTTTCTAGAATATGGTATGAAAGAAATAATGAGACTGCGTAAGTATAATTATCTTATCATTTAATAATGCATGAAATTACGAATTGATTTCTTCTTTCTTGGTCCTAGTATATTAGATGGTTTCTGTTATCATGGTAACTAGTTTCAGTCCTTCCATTTCTCCTTATATAATGGAAGCATAACTCTGAATCTTTAGTTCATTTTTAGTGTTGGCTCGAAATGGATTATTTAAAATTTATACAATACTGTTGTTCTAATGATCGGCCAAATGCAATAAAAAGGAAAGTATATTCGGTTAACAATGAGGGGACTATGTCAGGAACCTTAGATTTCATCACCTACAGAGGCCAAGGATTATTAGGAGAGGGAAACAAATGTCAAGTCTTGCTTTTTGCTGCTGTCACATTATAGTATTATGAAACTATCATCTGATCAATTTGTATTCTTTCCTCCTAAAGGGTCACTGGAGATTTCCTAGTGGGAAGGAAATGCAAGGATATGCTTACATCTTGACTCATCCCGGAACACCAGCTGTATTCTATGATCACATCTTCTCTCATTATCGATCTGAAATTGCGTCTCTTATCTCCCTCAGAAATCGGAAAAAAATCCACTGCCGTAGTACAGTAAGTATCAAAACTGAGCTGTCTATTTTTTGCACCAAGATACCGAAATTCTGCAGACAAATATTAGGTTTATTTTTGTAATTTATACATAACTCTAAAAAAAATGATGCTGCACCAACCAGCTAACTGAGGAACGAGCCAGTTAAATTTGAAATTGAAGTCAAACTGATATAAATAGAGGCTTCAATTAAATGGTTGGTCCAGTGAATTGTGTGCATATACATAGTTACGATTCCCTTTAGTCGGAAACATATGCTAATTTTGATCATTTTGTAGCGAACAAATCCCCAAGGGGGAGAAAGGAAAAAGATAAACAGAGAGGTATTAAAATATTGACTGCATGTACTGGCTTTGGTTGTTCAGGTTAAAATTACAAAGGCGGCAACGGATGTTTATGCAGCAACGATTGATGAGAAAGTGGCGGTAAAGATTGGACCAGGTCATTATGAGCCGCCAAGTGGGCCTCAAAACTGGTCTTTGGCAATTGAGGGAAGGGATTACAAGGTCTGGGAATCTTCTTAATATCGATACATTACGTTGTAGAAGTATGTAAAGTTAAAAGTTTATGCTGTTGAGGAAGTTAAAGGACGTTGGAACAGGATAGTCTATTTGTTGGAAATGGTGTGGCCTTGACCCCCCTCCTATTGAAGTTGATATTTTATTGTCAACGGAGGATAGGGCAGCACCATTATTATGAGGTATATATATTCATTTGCTGTAACATTGGCAAAAGTAAAGATGGCAGGGACAGTACAAATTGTACCTTCATATTCATCCTGCAAAATTTTATGATAAATCAGTCATAGAAAAGATGCTTGTTGGATTGACGTGTTTAAATAAATAATGAAAGTAATACTTTTTTTTTTTCCTAAATATATTAATATGGATATTGCGTGTTAAAATTTTAAAAAAAAAAAAATCATGGCATTTGGATGGTTGTTTACTTTATCTGGATTTGTTCAAATCAGGAGTCTGGGCTTTGGCCTAGTTCAGTCCGATTCATTGGGTCTATTATTTCATTTACAGGTCCAAATAATATGAGTTTTGCTTGATTATATTTTTTTATAGCCATAGCATTTTGTTTTGCTAAAAAATTATTTAAAACTTCATCCAATCTCTTCTATCCTGCACGTTTTAAATACTGAGATGGATCAAGATGGGATTACATACCAATTAGATGGAATTACGTAATTTCTATTCTGTTTCAACCCCAAGTAAACATTTCTTTTCTATCTAAATATAGTTAGTAAAACCAATGGTAATGTAGGGTAATTAATTTCATTCCTCAAAGTTTTGGGTTGGTAAGAAATTGTAATGTTGGAATTAAAAATTTGTAAAAGAATAGTATCTCCAATATGTTAATATATAATTTTTTTTTTCTTTTTATTGTTGTTAGTGACCTTTCCATTCCAACTCATAACAAAAAAAAAAAAATAATAATAATAATAAAAAATAAAAAATCCTAATCTAAAAACAAGATTAGTATCATAATAGGTGAAAACAATACTTGTGAAAAATCAAAAATAAATAATAATAATAATAATAATACAACAAATATTTATCAATGTCTTCAATGTCAAAAAAAAATATATATATATTTATCAATGTCTACGAGACTGACAATCCTGCTATTCCCAAATAGGCAATAGCCTTCGGACTGTAAAATCCTTAATGGGAGAAGAAAAAGAAGTTCATTACATGGAGTTGCGATAATCAGAATCGTTAACCGTTTCATGAGCAAAGAAATACGTTCTCCAAATTTAGACATATAACTGTTATACCAGAAGTGGCTATCCAGAATTCCCTCTCCACATCTTCCTAAATTCACCATTCATTTTTACACTCAGAAATCAAATAATTGTTCAAACATATCAACCACAAACTCTTCCATAAATATTAGCCTGCAGAGAAGGCCAAGGGAATAATCTTTACAGTCTCACTCTTGATTCTGTCTCGTATTTTCCAACGGAGGCTAAGCCTCTTTACCTTGGCTTCAAGTTAGCTTGAAACCAAGAAAAAAAATTTAATAAAAAAAAGAAAAAAAAAGGAAAATCCAAAAAACAAAATGGCAACTCGCAATTTGAGTTTCTTTCTGCCCCTTCTTTTCCTATCCTTCGCAGTACTTGTTCATGCTAATCTTCCTCAATTCGATTCGTATTGGAAGCAACGGGCAGAAAAAGCCAAAAAGAACACCCTTGAGGCTTATCGTCCTGATCCTTTTAATGTCACCAACGAGATGAACAGTCAAGTTGGCAGGTTAGTTTTCACTTTTCCGAGCCATTAATTAAGGTAGTCTTCATCTAGTGGTTAAGTTTTTGCATGCGTTCTTGATAAATGTAAGGAAATTTAATTTCTGTATGAAAACCAATAAGCAGGGCGACAGTAAATTCCAACAGCACAAGAAGGCACTTGGCTGATAAACGTAAAAGATATCGAGGCCCATGCATGGCTACTAACCCTATCGACAGATGCTGGCGTTGTGACCCTCACTGGGCGAAAAACCGCAAGAGGTTAGCCCAATGCGCGCTTGGGTTCGGCCATAAGACCACTGGTGGAAAACAAGGCAAGTATTATGTGGTCACTGACCCATCAGACAATGACATGGTTAACCCTAAACCTGGAACTCTACGCCACGCAGTGATCCAACTGAAACCCCTTTGGATCATTTTTAAACATAGTATGATTATTAGACTCAACCAAGAACTAATAATGACTAGTAACAAAACGATTGATGGTAGAGGAGCCAATGTTCGTATAGTAGGCGGTGCTGGTATTACTCTTCAGTTCATCAGGAATGTGATCATTCATAACATCCACGTTCATGACATTGTTTGTGGCTCCGGTGGGCTCATTAGGGATTCTACTGATCATTACGGATTCAGGACTCGAAGTGATGGCGATGGAATTTCCATCTTTGGTTCTACTAATATTTGGATTGATCATGTTTCTATGTCTAATTGCCAAGATGGGATCATAGATATTATAATGGGCTCTAGTGCTATTACAGTCTCCAACTCCCATTTCACCGACCACAATGAGGTAATTTAGCTGTACTGTTATTTCTTCATCTTATACATGCATCACTGCCAGTTCTATTAAATAACAATTTACACATAAAAATAACATATTCTACTTGCATTCACGTAGAATTCACCTATGAATTTACACGTAAAGATTGATCACATATGAATGTGAAAAAATACATCGTATACTCATTAATTATTTTTTTCCATAACTCAAATTTATAATAAATAGTGAATCATAATATAAAATTTAGTGGGACCCATTATCTTTTATGTCTAAAGTTCATGTTACATCCAGGGGAAATTCATAAAATTATAATAAGTGGACCTCAAATGAACGTGAGAGAATTGCAGGCTTTGCATGATAAATATCTGTTGGATGAATTTATATAGGTGATGCTATTCGGTGGAAGCGATGGCTACAGCGGCGACACACTGATGCAAGTAACGGTGGCGTTCAACCATTTCGGTAGAGGATTGGTGCAAAGGATGCCAAGATGCAGATGGGGTTTCGTTCACGTTGTTAACAATGATTACACTCATTGGCTTATGTATGCCATTGGAGGTAGCCGGAATCCTACAATCATTAGCCAGGGCAACCGGTTCATTGCTCCTGATAAAATATTTTGTAAACAGGTAATTAATTATGCAATTTTTCTTTTACCAACTAGCTTTAGTTAATTGGGGTTGAAGAGGGAGAATTTACTAATTATTGTTTATGAATTATAAAATATGAAGGTGACGAAGAGGGAGTACGCAATGGAAATCGAGTGGAAGAATTGGAATTGGAGATCAGAAGGCGATTTGATGATGAACGGAGCATATTTTGTTCAATCTGGGAAAACTTTGACTCACAACCAATTCTCAAAGTTGCAAATGATAAAATCCAAGCCAGGAACATTTGTGAAAAGGCTTACTCGCTTTGCTGGTACACTTAATTGTAAACCGGGAAAGCCTTGTTAGATTTTTCATCATATCTTCAATTTCACAGATATTATCTATTTATTATATACTTGTCTTAATTAGAACTCAGGTTATAATATATAGTGTTTGTCCAAAGAATAAAAAAGCAAAAAAAAAAAAAAAAAAAAAAAAAAAAAAAAAGTTTGTCCAAAGAATAACAAAAAGCAAAAAAAAACAAGAAGAAAAAAAAACAAACGAAATGAAAAGTCCATGTATATATACATCATACTCTTATGAAGATGCAAGAAGAACATGATCTGATTAACATCTACTTGTATCGTTATTTTATCCAATATCTAGGATATTTTTGTGTTGCTTTCAACTATTAATATGTATTAAGTTATCTCTGTATGATTCATCTCAATAATTGATCTTAAATTATTTATTAAATTTTTATTCTATAAGGTATACACTTGGAAATCTACTCTCATAAAAAAAAAAAAAAAAAAAAAAAAAAAAAAAAAACAAAAAAAAAGGTCCGGTATATGTACACATAGATGAAGATGCAAGAAGAAATGATTAACAGTTACTGGTTCTATCTGTTGTTTTTTTTCTAATATTAGGATAGTTTTGTGTTGCTTTAATATATATATTATAAGGTTTATCTGTATGGTTCATCAATAATGATAAATTATTATAAATTATTATAAGTATACATTTGGAAATTCTCAAGCATAATTTTTTCCTTTTTTGGGTTTCTCACAAGATTAGTCGAGTATTTTCACATTCTCATTTCAGGTTCATGGCCGTCCCTTCTCATAAACTAAACATTATTTATGAAATTATAGTAAGTTGAACGAAAATACCATATCATAAAATATACCGTCAATAGATTAAGAACTCTTACATGCAAACAAAATTTATATAGTTAGTTTGCATTTCTCCGCACAAACATTTTAAAAAATGAATATTCACATGACGAAGAATTCCATGCATAAGCACTACCATTTAAACTCTTTTTGTCATGTAATTGCTCACTTAGAGGTTTTTCTTTTACATCTTTGGCCCATAAAACAAAACTCCTATGTACCATTTTGGAACCATATTTGGTAAATTGGTATAAGCCAATTTCTTTTTTTGTCTCAAGTTTTATTTGTCCACTTTGATCGTCCAAACTTTTTTTACTTGCATACATATATATATCAAAAATTCAGTAAACACAATATTCTCTAATCATTATGATTAATTAATTTAAGCAAAAAAAAATGTGTTAGTTGGGTGGTAAGCGATCTCAATCTTCAGAAAAAATGAAAAGATAAGTTCGATTGCAGAAAATATTTTGCTACGAAGATAAAAAATTTTTTACGCTTACGGTCTGAGCAGAAATACACCTCCTGATTATAAAAAAAAAAAAAAAATAATAATTAAGTTAAACCAAAGCATATCAAACATAATCTGATTCTACATAGGTAGTACAAATTTGTATTAAAATTCAAAATGATTGATGATACCAAAGAGATAAATAACAGAGTCAAGACCTAATAATGATCTTAATTAATAAATTAGGTTATATGGATAATTTTGTAATATCCCTGATAATAAAATTAAACTGTATATGTATGGATGCTAAAATTAAAATTGTCTGAAATAATATAGTAAACACCGAACAGATGAAGCATATTTCACAACAAAAAAACAAATTAAGTGAAAATACAAATTACAGAACAAGTTTATAAATACTTAACCAATTTTCATTTCTTTAACTTAAAAGAAAGCGATCCAAGAAAAACAGATATATGGAAATGGCAAGTGGAAATTCAGAGGCAGGAAAACGCAATGCACTGTGTTTGGTAGAAAGTGAAGGAATAGAAACAAAGTGTGTTAAGAGACGGAGAAGAGATGTTTCAGTAGCTGCTTTGAGCTCGAATGATCAAGAAAAAGGTAACCAAAATATTCAAACTTCTAGTACTGCAACTGCTACGACTGTGAAGAGAAGTTCAAGATTTCGTGGAGTTAGTAGACACAGATGGACTGGACGATATGAAGCTCATTTATGGGATAAAGGTTCTTGGAATGCAACACAGAGAAAGAAGGGAAAACAAGGTGCTTTTCTTGGATTTTCTTTGTTTAATTTCTTACTATATGATTAATATTTCTAATTATGCTTTTCTGTGTTTTTATCATCATCTGGCGGCAATCCGGACTTGAATTTTTGGCATGGAACAGTATATCTTGGTATGTAACATTACTTTTCTGGATTTGAAAATAACATTTCTTTTATGTAGTGAACTGTTAATTAATGTAAATTAAAGGGAATAATCTGATGTTAGGATAATAATTCAGTAATAGAAATCAGAGTTGAATCCTTAACAACTTACTTTTCACCTTCAAAAATTACTGATTTACCAAAAAAAAATTAATAAAAGGGTAGCTCTATTGGTGATTTTTTTTTCTTCTTTGATGATCCAAACAGGAGCTTATGATGAAGAAGAATCTGCTGCTAGAGCATATGATTTAGCAGCTCTCAAGTACTGGGGAAGATCAACTTTTACAAATTTTCCGGTATTAATTGAATCCCTTTCTCATATCAATTTTAGAATTTTATTTCATATTTGAAGGTCTAATTAATACTGATTTTTTTTTTTTTTTGGTTTTTAATAGGTATCTGACTATGAGAAAGAAATTGAAATTATGAAAAATGTAACGAAAGAGGAGTACTTGGCAAGTTTAAGAAGGTAATATTAATTAATTATATATTCTCTGGGTCGCTAATTAATAATTGTTATCGTTAATGACAAAGTTTATGACATAATCAGAAGATTAAGAGCATATATATTTCTTAACTTGCTATAATTAATTTGTAGAAGAAGCAGTGGTTTCTCAAGAGGTGTATCCAAGTACAGAGGAGTTGCAAGGCACCATCACAATGGAAGATGGGAAGCAAGAATAGGAAGAGTGTTTGGAAACAAGTATCTCTACCTAGGCACTTACAGTGAGTTCCACGATTCACACCTAATTATGAGTCTGTTCAGTAAAATTAGTTGTTCTAATAGTTGTTAGCTTTTTTAGTAGCGTTTAACTGTTTGAATAGTTTTCATAAAACGCTAAAAAGTTAAATGTTACATGAGTTAACTCTTTTATAAAATGTTATACGCAATGTTATTAAACATTATAAAAAATAACAAAAAAATTACTTAAAATGCTATTATTGAACGCAACACACACATATATATATAAAATTTTGTAAGATCAATTAGGCTAATGGGTTTCCTTCCATTGTAGGTACTCAAGAGGAAGCTGCACATGCCTATGACATTGCAGCCATTGAATATAGAGGCATAAATGCAGTGACCAACTTTGATTTGAGCACATACATTAGATGGCTAAGACCAGGAGCTCACTCTTCTGCAAATGCAATAGTCCAAGAACCCAAGTCTACTATAGACTCTTTAACAATTCCAACCTTCTCTAACCATATCAATCCAACTGACAAAATAATCCAACAACAGCTACCACTTTTTCAGTCTAATAACAGTCCTTATTCTATGGAAGAATTAAACGGAACTTTTAAAGAATCAGATATTTTTAAAACAAATACACCCATTACAATTAGTCCTTGTACTGTATCATCAGCACCTTCTTCTTCTTCTTCTTCTCCAACTGCACTTAGTCTCCTGCTTAAATCTTCCATGTTTAAAGAGCTTGTGGAGAAAAACTTGAATTCGGCAGCGGATTTTGATGATAATGAGGAAAAAGTATTTTCAGAAAATAGAGAAATAATCTATAATGGAACGAGTCAGATTCCATATATGTACCCTTCAAACGGGGATGCATTGCCTGGTTTAGAGTCCCAAGAAGAGAATACATTGCCTTTGTATAATAGAACAGGGCAGTCAATGATCTAGAATGGCCACCACTCAAGCATGCTTTTTTTTTTTTTTTTTTTTTTTTAGTATTTCCAGAACAGTAGAGATATAATCTTAATGAACGAGTCAGATTCCTCATATATTACCCTTCAAACGGGATGCATTGCCTGTGTAGAGTCCAAGAACTGAGGGAATACATTGCCTTTGTATAATAGAACAGGGCAGTGCATGATCTAGAATGGCCCACCCACTCAAAGCATGGCTTTTTTTTTTTTTTTTTTTGTTTTTGAATAACTAAGATATTGAGTATCTTTTTTTATTTTCTGTTTATAAATGAAGAATTGAACATCAGAGACTGGTGCATGTAATAATCTTTTGTTTTTACCATAAATTGCAGTGTTTGTCTTCTGATTTTTTTTTTTTTTTTTTTTTTTTTGAATAACTAAGGATATTGAATCTTTTTTATTTTCTGTTTAAAATGAAAATTGACATAGAGACGGTGCATGTACATTAATCTTTTGTTTTTACCATAAATTGCAGTTTTGTCTGAAATAAAGTGACTAGTGTAGCACCATTCATGTCCTTAAAAAATTACAAGGAAACTTTTCCTCGTTCCCAAAACCTTGATTTCTATGTTGTATTTATGATGGAAACTTTTCTTCATCCATTTTTCTAATCGGGAAACCGCTTGAAAGAGAGGAGAGAGGGGTCACAAGTGCCAAGCCCCAAACCTTATCCTCTAGGGAATTGCTTGAAAGATCGATAATGCTCAACTATTATGACGAATCAAATTCCAAGATTGCAAGTACTTTTTGTTCAGTCTATAATTACCTATCTCTAAATCAAATTAGCCGGTTAGATTCCAACTACTTCCAGCTCGAATACTACAAGATCCACTTGATATAGTCTTAAGCACCTAAAAAGAGAAGTTAAAAAATTCACGTGAACTGTAAAATTTAAAAGATGAAGTTAAAATTTATTTATATGCAAATTTTAATACGATATTATCCATCTAAAATTCAACTTTCAAACTTTCAATTTATCAAACACTATCATAGACTAGTAATTAATGTTCCGCCATTTTTCTCATCTATAAAAACCAATCAACACCGTACAAAATCACAAATACGTTTCATCCAAAGATCATAATAAAGAGGGATGTTGTGCAATTTTTTTTAACTTAATAATGATGCAAACCAGAAAGCTTGCAATTTCTTAAAAAACCAGAAATTATTATTTGACACTTCGATCATAGAGATTCGGACCCTACTATTTGCAAGGAAGAAAACAGGACTATATCTTCATATCTACAACTCGTACAAGTATTAAACTTGAAAAACTGATATAATTAGAAAATAAATATACAAAAACTGCCTTACAATTACAATTATTTTCCATGAATAAACCCATCCATGTGCTTCAGACTTTTATTGTGTATGTAAATACAAGAAATTACCCAACGAGCATGTTGTACAGACAAGGGTAGGGTACCATCTCACTCAAAGTGCTGCATCAACACTTGGCTGAGTTAAACCTGCAAATTCAATGCCATGTAAAATAAAGCAGAAATCAAAATACTTGCATGATAATTTATGAGCAGCAAATAGTCCATTCGTATTGCAATGGTCTCATTATAAGCATTTTAAAAGAAACAACAATGGAAAAATAACAAAGGTGGGACAATCGCCTTCCCAAAAGGAATGAAAAAGTCAATGTGCTCTAGATAATACTGTATTAACTTAGTAATTGCCTTCAAAACTCATCAGAACAGTCTGTACAGGATTATCATTTCAAAATCCTGTACTATTCCTGTTGTTTATTGCTTTTCTTTAACCCAAGTGATGGAAAATCAAACCTATGATGCATGAAAAATGAACATGCAGTCATAAAATTAGAACAATTATATTGGGTACTAAATGTGGGAAGAATAAGATAAGGCCAGTCAGATAGAAGGAATATTAGAAATTGTTTACAAACCAACTAACGGAACATTTGCCAAAAAATCATATATCAACCAATAAAAAAAAAAGCTTTGATTTCCAACCTATGCATGGGTCTTGGTTGGTCAATATGTGGGGTTTGTAGCGGATCTTCCAATTTATCAATTCCATCCAGCAGCATGACATTACTTGCTGGTTCACTGAATGTTCGAGAAAGATCATCCGCAAGTGCCTTAAAGCCCTGCTAACAAAGAAAGAGAAATCAAGTTTGAGTCCAATTAAGTACAAATACTCTGCATTCAAGTGCTGCCTAAACATCTCTAATCCAGTTGTTTTGAGTATGCATTAGCTTGATATCGAGGCCACAAGTTGGGTTTCACTGAACCATGGCAGTCAACTGCGTGTGTCTGTGTGTGTGAGAAAGAGAGAGAGAGAGAGCTTAGAGGCTATATACCAATGTATGTGGGAGCAAATGAGTTTTTCCAGAATGTTTAAGCTGATCCTGCAAAATGGTTAATACTTGTTAAGTTGATGAGTTGGGAAGTTATCAATATGGAACAAATCTTGGATGATAAAGGAAAAGGTAAAAGACAGTGAGAAGAAAAACTTAAAAATCCTGCAATAAGAGAAGATGATGATAGGGGAAACATCAAGGAAACAACCATTTATTTCCTTGGAATCCTGCCACAAAATATCAGAATGATTGGCATGCAATAAGAAGGTGGTCAAATGAAATATATAGAGAGAAGGAAGAAAAATGGGTAACCTTTGTTATTTGGGTCATATGGGAAGAAGACATTTTTCAGCTTTATGTGGAGCAAAAATCCATATCTACACGGTTTAATGTTTTATCCTCTCTTTTTTTACCACCCCCGCTCTACTTTTTGAAAGACTTTGTTCCATTGGCATTGACCAAGAAAGAACAAAAGCCTCCGTTTCTAAGCAAAAAATCTAACTTTAATAGTTATCATCTTCCATTCCCTTATTAAAGGATTCTAATTCAACTATCGACAATTTCTTTTACGTGCATACATTGAAAGTGCATGAAATGCTTTTACTACCTCAAGAGCTTTAGGCATTTTTGTTTTTTGGCCGCTAACATAATTGCACAGGTATATAACACCCGCATTTGCAACATCCTGCAACCAAATCATTGTATCAGTAAATCCCCAAGTGCATAAACAGAAGATCAAACTATAACAACTGTTCATGCAATTGCAAGGCATGAGATGGGAATTTATTCTCCCCACAGTTCACAGGAAACCGTACCAACAAAGAGTTAAACAAAACGATACACGTGGTTTTTTTGTTTTTTTAGTCCTGAATACCTTTCAAAAGAAAGCTTGAGTATCAGCAGAAATTATTCAAAATCTAATTCTAATTAAATTTAAAGTTAGGAATGCAAATGCAGAAAAACAAAGACATACTCGTGAAAATATATCAAGTATTATGCAGCATATGGTGCAAGCATTTTCAGTTATTAAAGATAAAATAGAAATGAATAACAGTCTTTTGCAGCAAAAGTTCCAATAGAGCTACTTGTTAATACTAAACTAAGGATGGTCTCGAGGATGACACTTGAAGTTAAAAATAATCACATTGATCAACATTCAAACATCTCTGATACTATACTTGGTTTATAATTAAAATGTAAAAAAAAAAAAAAAAAAAAAAAATGACACTGGTTAAGCTTTAAAAAATAATCACATTGATCAAACATTCAAAAACATCTCTGATACTAAACTTATACATTGGTTTATAATCTATAAAATGTAAAAAAAAAAAAAAAAAAAACAAAATATTAGCATTAAAAAAAAAAAAAAAAAAAAAAATTACATACGCCATGTACAGAAGTATAATTCTTTATATTAGGTGAAATAAGAATCAAAGTTGTTACCTGCTTCTCCTCCAGGGAGCCTATCTTGTCATCCTGCAACAGAAGTAAAGTAACAATTTACAATAATTTCAGCAAAAGGACAAAGGAGCAAACAAAGAAATGGAGAAGACGGAATGTAGTCCAATTTCAAGAATGGACCATTCTTTAACCCCTTGTTTCTATGTGCTTATAAAAATGAAAATGAACTTATAAGTAAACCATTAGATACTAGTCTTAAAAGTTTTCAGTACAATCATTATAAAAAAAAAAGTCGTAAGTAAAATGAATCTGTTGTCTGGACAAGATATTGGGAGGGTTAAAGAACAATAAAAGACAAGTTAGCAGTAACCACCAAAACTACAAAAGGCAAGAAGTTTCCCAACACACGCAAATAATGCATAATTGACTTACCAAACCAGAAACTAGACACTGTAACTGCCACAGGTCTGAGCCAATGTTTGCTATATTGGTAGAAGCCTCATCAACCTGAGTAAAAAAAATAAATGTTAACAGGACAGGATATAAGTGGTTCTCACATGGGCACAAGTTGCGGTAGCTTGAGATCCAGCAGTTGTATTTTAGTCTATGTTCTGTTTTTCCTCGAGTGTTATTTTTTCTACACGTTCAATGTGTTGCTTAAACTATGAAATTAATTTATTTTTTATCATAGTGGTTATCTAGCGGTTGCTTTGGTTTCCAGTTGTATTAAAGAGGGAAATAAAGTTTTATCAAGCAGTTTGTTTCAACAGTTTCAGTCCCTTAAACTTATAGGTTGAAGTGCTCTCTCTAACAAGCTCTTGTTACAAACAATGCAAAATAGGTCATAAAGGAAGAAAAGCTGAAAAACATAACCAATTGATAAATCTTCAATTTTAGTTCCTCATTAGATCACCCTGCAATTAGATCCCAAAACCAGACCACAACTCGGAGGTTTTGCACAGAATAACATAAAATATTAACAATTTATGTAACCAATAAGCTAATATATGCCTCCAAATTACAATCATAAGTAATAAAGAGCTAAAATATTGAACTATAGACACATAAAGTGACAAGTCATAAGGGTCTCTTGATTGAAAAACAACCTTGGTTGAGTGACATCCTTTTGTATACATGTCCATCAATTACAAAGGCTACACTAGAATCAGATTTTCCACTCCTTCCTCGTAATTTTTCTGTTCTGGATATGTGGGTTTCCGTACTATTTCTCAGTAATAACAATTAGACATGTGTAGTGACATGAAGCAAAAATAAGCCTACTGTCTAAGAGCTTGGTTCAAGTCTTAAGGTATTATAAATGCTGCTATTTGGGCATCTAACAATGCCAACCTCTCTCCCTCTCTCACACATGCACGCGCAGAGAAAGTTTTCCTCTTACCTTAATTTGAATATCCCTTGAGAGCTCCTTTTGATTCTCCATTTTATCATCTAAATGTTGTATTCGCTGAGTCAAATGCTTCTTTGCAGCCTGGCCAGGAAAGGAAGGAGAAAAAAAAGAGAGAAAGAATACAATGAAAAACAATGCATAAAGAGAGCCATAAAAAAGAAAAAAGGAAAGAAAAAGGGACGAAAAAAAAAAGTACACTGATTAAAAAAAAAAAAAAAGGATAGAAAAGGAATACAAAATGAAAAACAAATGGCATAAAAGGAAGAGCCCATAAAAAAGAAAAAGGAAAGAAAATAAGGGACAGAAAAAAAAAAAAGGGAGTAAAGTACAATACTGATTAAAAAAAAAAAAAAAAAAAAGGAAGGTAAATAATGCAGCTAATAAGTTAAAAAAAAAAAAAAAGGTATACAGCTATAGTCTTACATAGTGTATAAGAAGCTTAGACCAGCCAGTCCTTTTTGCAAATGAAAAAAATTCAATAAAATGTAATACTTTTCTTTTTTAATATGTATAAATTATCTTAAGACATCCTTCTAATAAGAAAATTTCACCTAAAAACTAGTCAATTTAAAAATATGTAAGTATAAGTTCATCAATTAATTAAGACTTACAGATAGAGCCTCGGTTACTTGCTCCAAATGTTTTGTGAGGTTGGAAACAGCATTTGCCATATTGCGCTTTGTTACATACATAAGATCTGAGAATTTTAGCCCCTGTTTATTCAAAGAAAATAAAATTAGTCTCATGACAACTTCCAAAACACGTAAAATAAAGAATTAGAAAGCCACATCATTGTTTAAAATGTAAAAGTCAATTTTAACGCATATAAACTATGTTACAAATATTTTGGCATTCATTGTATACCTTCCACCACATGTAACCATAACCCAGTGCCCCCACTGCAGCAGCTGGAACTATGAGACCAGTTACATTACCTGCAACAAGCAAACGGAGAAATTAGAACACTACGTGAAATGCGTAATTGGCACTTTTTGAGATAGGAATATGCACATCTTGTATGCCAAAAAAAAAAAATAAAAAAATAAAAAATAAAGAAAATAACCATTTAATAGAAATATGGTAGCACATACCCATTTGACCAGAATTCCCATTCAGTACAGTTATTTGCCGTGCTGAGGCCAGTTGTCGAACCTCCATAGACAACCGCTTCACCTGAAAGCAATTTCAAACACCCAAATGTATCTAACCACATATAGTTCGAAATAAAACGGATTAAACTAAATAAATTACTCTTCAATTAAAATAGTGATTACCTGTTGGGCGATGGCATCACTATAATCAGAATCACCATCTAAATGTTCCTTAGATTTTTCCCAACCCTTCACCATCAACTGTGAACACAAACACAAACAATTCAAAATTGTTTGCAACGGAAATAGTCAATCCGGTCAAAATCTCCGTTTGGTTTACGAGAAAACGTAAGAAAAAAATTCAAAACAAAAAAAATTTAGGAAAACACTTCTATTTCCCGTTTTCTCAGCAACCAAATACCAGAACGAATTGATAAAGCTAGCTATAAATACCGAATAACTTAATAAACAACTTAACTAACTAAAACAATAATAACAGTACCTGAAGTTCACCGATCAGATCAGATAATTTGCCGTTTTGAAAAAGAACAGTACCGGTGTAACCTGTAGATAACAGAATAAAGACAAAGTTCAAATTAGCTTCCATGTATATATTCAAATACATGTATACAGAGAGAGAGGAGAGACACAATCACGTATATAGATAATCGATTAGGCGATCGTACCTGCACCGGCCAGGACAATAATCTTGGAAAGACTCATTCCAGTTTGCATAGCCATGGCTAAGCAAATGAATCAAGGAACCCTAAGAAAGACCTACGATTTCAGAGGAAGACAAAGTCGAACACTGTAATAACGACCTGTTGAGTTTAGCTGTTAATACTAGCTGATAGCTGAATATTTTTAGCCTTTTATAGGCTCTGATTTTATTTTTCAGTTATACTCTGTTTTAGGTACTCGTACTTTAATTTTTTATAAATATCACCGTAACAGTATAAGTTTTTTTATAATACAACCCTTGATTCTTTATAAATATATTAAAAGTTTCATAAATATATTAAAAGTTTCATAAATTCATATTAAATATATAGAATTAAAAATTATAGTGGTTAATTGCAAAGCATGAAAAATTAATAGTAATACTTGTATTTTCAAACTAATTTCAAGACTTCGTAAAACTTCACAGAAGGAAATACAATTACTACAAGAAATAGAAAAAAACAGTAGTTTTAGATTAAATAATTTTAAGAGTCAATTAAACTTATCCTTGTATAACAACATCAAAATTATTGTTATAATTAATTAACAAATAAAATATTTAACTCACAAAAATAAAAATAATAATGATTCTTGCACATCATCTCAAATATGGATATGCATATAAAACTTGAATAAATAATCACATAAATTTAGATAGCAGGACCAATTTTTTAAAAGCAAATGTTCCAAATAAACTGATGCTCCATTTTTTTTCTTAACATAACTTGTAAAAAATCATTTTCGATGATTTTATGTTGTTTATAGTGTTCAGAAAAATAAATTAATAAAAAATATTTTCATGATTAAATGAAACTAAGTGTTTAAATAATCTTGATTTAATAGAAAAAGAGTTTATTTGGAATAAAAAGATAATTTACTAAGACGGAATTAAATCTTATAGTTAAGTATTTAATATATAAAAATACGAGTGCGAGTTATTTTGTAAAATTTTAAGGGTTAAATTTATTATTTTCCTGAATTTTAATTTTATTTACAATGACGCCGAGGCTTAGGCGGGCTTTATAAGACGATGGTAAACACAGCATTTTGAGTTCTTATAACAAAAACGTAATCCGCCGAACAAAGGTAGCCGGGAAGAGTGAGAGGGAAAATGCTGCAACTGAACTTGCTATCTCCTCAATTAAGCACTCGAAACCCTAAAGTGTTCGCTCTCGATTCAGTCTCCTCTAAAAAATCGCTTAAATTGCTTAAAGCCAGTGAGTTTAACCCTAAAATTTACACACTCTCTCCAACCAAAACTTCCGCCAAGACCAGGCTGGCCGTGAAATGTCGTCAATCGGAGTTATATGAGAAGCAGAGGTTCAACTCCTCACGGTCTTCTTCCACTGACTATTCTTTTGCTCCTGGAGGTACTTTATCTCACTTTTGTATTTTCTTATCTTTTTAGTTTCTTTGGTTTTCATTTGTTTGATAATAGTTTCTCCCCTTATTTTGGTTGTTTTTATTATGTAGTTGGAGAATCCCCGCCTAAGGTTTTCGTGAGCCATTCGATATACAAAGGTAAGGCTGCTCTTACCGTGCAACCCCGAGCACCTGAGTTTGCGGCATTAGATGTAAGTTGCATAGTTTTCTTCCTTAAAGTAACAGCTTTGTGGTACTCGAGTTGTTTCTTGTAAGACGGAGCTTTGTGTTGTGAGTGCTTCGTGTGTTGTGCAGTCTGGGGCATTTAAGGTAGCAAGGGAAGGTTTTATGCTGTTACAATTTGCGCCTGCAGCAGCTGCACGTCAATATGACTGGAGTAGAAAGCAGGTAACATATGCGTGACGGTGTCTCCATATGTTTTGAAATTCCTAGTAGAAAAAAACTTTCTTTTATAAGTAGTTTCCAGTTAAAACTGTGAGTTAAAAAGTTTCAGCATAGAAATACGACGATATAGTTTTCTCGACTTTGGTTGGAGACAATTGTCCTTGAATTTTGGTTTTGAATTACTGTTTGATTTTGTATGTCTCTAGGTGTTCTCATTATCAGTGACGGAAATTGGAACTCTAATTAGCCTCGGTGCTAAAGATTCATGTGAATTTTTCCATGATCCTAACAAGGGGAAAAGGTACTGTCCAACTCTTCTTTTACTAAATTTCACATTTGACTTGGGACAACCCTTTGAAATTGCTTATGGATTCTTCTTCCGTTCTTTTCAATTCTCGATTCGATTCTCGAATTGACAACTATGCTTTTCAGCAGAGGTTCAATTATTACTTGTAGTCATACTTACCCATAAAGGAAACAGATGCTGATGTCATCTACACAATTGTGTTTTATTGAGTATGTGAATCCTTAGATTTGGTTGTCATTTATTATAATCCTCTATGTTGCACAGAAACTCTCTTTGGCTTCCATTTCCCTAAGTTGAGTAATTTGAAAACATGTTTCCGCAAATTGGGTAATTTGGAAACATGTTTCTGCTCTCGGAAACGCGTTTTCATATATTGAAAACTCTCGGGAACTTATTTTTCTAATTAAAATAAATACATGAATAAATATAAATCCACAAAACATGTACTTTTATGAGTATGAAACTTATAGACGAGCCTTTTTTTTGACTTTTGAATATGAGTAAATGTTGATTGGACTGAACTTATTGTTGAATATATTTAATGGTTTGTAATTTTTTATTTTTGAATTTATAAATATGACCCTTATTTTTTATATTTACGAGTTTTTCCCACGTTTCTATTTTCCCATGTCTGTCTCCGCATTTCCGCACTTTCGTGTATCTGTTTCGGAGCAACATAGATAATTGTGTTTGAATGTGCATATGAATTCTAACATATTTGTTGGAAGTTTGCAGTGATGAAGGCAAGATCAGGAAGGTGTTGAAAGTAGAGCCACTTCCAGATGGTTCTGGCCACTTCTTTAACCTCAGTAATCTTCTTTCTTCCTTTCCTGGAACTGAATGCGGAAATATATTTTTATTTGGATGTCGTATGTGAATATAATGCACAAAATTCTGTGCTTCGGACTTTGAAATATTGGATTGTTAAATTGTCGACTTCAATCTTAGAGTGAAGTTACCTCTTTATTTAGATATGATTTTGCCTGTTTATTTTCATGATAAAACTTCATAGTTTTCCAATATTTTAACATTCAATGGGTACGGGCATATTACTTGAAACTAGGTTGTACAAATTGTTGGATTTAGAAAAAAAGGGAAAAATTATTAGTACAAAAGGATTGGAGATTCCCATTGGTTAAAAAAAAATTCCCTATTAGATTTCTGTAAAATGCCATCAATTGACAGTCACACACATTTGTGCAAATTGTAATTTGAGGAAATCTGGACCTACTATGATACATGCTGGCCATTTAAGTTTGAAGGTAAAGCTATTTTGTTTGTCTAACTGTGTTCTATTTTTGATTTTTATGATGGCACTCATGAAGGTGTTCAAAACAAAGCTTTGAATATGGATGAAAGCATTTACATTCCCGTTACAAAGGCAGAATACACTGTTCTCATCACTGCTTTTAATGTATGTTACAATTCTCTATTTCTCTTTCTTGTTCATGCATACACTTGCACACACCTTGTAATTGCAAAGAGAGATCTTGTAAGACTTCTTGCTTTTATTAAAATCTAATACAATCATCATGATGAGAGAATTAGCTGTTGTAATTAAGTAGCATCATCATTTTATCAGTGTCCATTGATGTCTGTAGTAGTCAATGAACAAACATAATATCATCCAAAAGAAAATAGAGTGCATGGCCGAGTACAAAAAATATTATGTCTGTTGTCCTGTGGTCTTTAACAAATAAAGTTTGACTTCCTGCCCTTGGGAGTGAATGAAGAGATTATCAAGAGGGCTTTGGGTGATGAACCTATAATCATTATGTCTGTGAATGAAGAGATTATCAAGAGAAATATTATCATTAGGGGCCAGGTCTTGGGTGATGAACCTATAATCCCTCGATTAATGGAGCCATCTGCATTTGTAGATTTGTTGCTTTTTCTAACGTGTTTGTTTTGTGTTTTCTGCAGTATATCTTGCCATACTTGCTAGGTTGGAACACTTTCGCTAATTCTATTAGACCAGATGAAAATAGCCGTGGGAATGATGCAAATCCAAGGTATGGGGGAGACTATGAATGGAACAGGTAGTGAATATAGCAGAAATTGCTAGAACAATGCAAAGTTTGTTCAGTATCTTCTTCTCCACTCCCTCCTTTTCTGTATCAGGTTTGTTGATAGGAGAATGTTCTGAGAAATTTTGATGACATTGATGAAATTGTTGTGTACGTTATCTTATGATGAAAATTTGTCAAATGTGCTCGGAAATTTTGAATCAGAACTCCTAGATCATTGGCCGTTAAACTGGATTTTCATTGGCAGTGTTTGCTTGTTATGCATGGTGAATGAAGCAACAAATACTTTGAACAGGGGTCCTTAACAAGGTAGAGATTTATGTGCGCCTTTGAAAAACGTGAATCATAAGCGTATTACATCGGTTCAGGGGGTTGGAGTATCTCAGTTCACTCTTAAAATGAAAAGGGCTCATCAGGATCCTAAACATATAGAAAGTAGAAGAAAGAATAAACTAAAGGACAAATGCAGTGGTTTTAAAAATGTTCATAAATGAAGTGCATGATTTAATGTGTGAGGTTTCGACTCTTTTGATCACAAAATTGATTAATTCGACATGGATCTAGTGCTAATGAATCTTATTTCAGCGGTCAAATAGGGACTTCTTGCGCATTTAGCTATATCCATTTTAGTTTTTAACCTAGTTTTGAAATGAAAGTGAAATTTCAGATGCATTTCCATGTAGGGGTTTGAAAAAGCAGAACTCTGATGTTTAGTTTGTATAAGAATTTTAACTATTAAACAACTTACAACTATTACAACAGCTAGACCCTAGATTATACATAAAAATGCAGAAAAATAAGTCACTCTCAACAGTTGGATATCTTAAAATCCATTTTTACCCCCAAGCATTTTCTGCAGTTTTCCTGTCTTGTACATCCTTAACTAAAAGTACAAGCAACCGATTGTCTCTGTAACTTGAGGTTAAGAACAAAAGGCTGTTGTGGACTAAAAACCCAGGCTAAACTAAAGATAGCAAGCAATTTACCGCCCTCTTTAGTCCAAGCAAATAAGGTGAACAAGTTCTCCTTTCTTACCTTTCCAAAAAGTAAATTGCAAACAAAGTTCAACATAAGTAGGTAGAGGAAACATTGCAATAAAGAGGCCAAACATATCCATACTATATAGCAAGCACATGCAATCACAATTCCGAGTTCATTGTTATTTAAACAGGGTAGAGAAGGACTTTTCAAGTTCTGCTGCCAAACTAGGAAATTAATCAGCCGTCCAACTCTGCTCAACTATTTCCCGTACTCTCCTATTGTATTCCCTCTTGTTCTCACTAAACATCCGTGCAGCTTCTGAATTTGCAGGAGAATTTGGATTTGGATCACAGAGCAATGACTACAAATAATAACAATAATAATAATAATAAAAAAAAGGACTCAATAAGCATCACACTCAAGTAGCAAATATTATGAGCGTGTCAATGCACTTTTATAAATGGCATAATGTTAAAAGACATTGACAAGAATGGCAGCACAGCATGTGGAAGCATGCAAGAGAGTGCATATGCACATGCAAGCATGAACACTGTATATAAAGAGTACCCTAGTATTTCCACATATAAATGGGTAAATTAACTCAAGTTTAGATTGTAGGATATGTGGGTTTCTCAGGACCTTTGCAGATGTGAAGATGGAAAATGAAACATGCTAAATTTTTTACAATTTGTGTAGAATGTTGGAAGGATGAAAGGAGCAAATCTTTCCATAAGATTCAAATTTGTATATCTCTGCCTGTAACTAAAGAACATATACAGTACCAAAAAAGGGCTGTTGGAAACCTGAATGTTGATTAGCAAAGAAAATTAAATGATATTTTCCTGGTCATAGAGCTAAAAAAAATGTGCACACACGTAAAACCAGGGAAAATCGACTCAATGGGATCAGTACAATTGAGAACAAAAGAAAACTATGTCACTATTAGGAAGGAATTATCCACAGTGCTCATAATATGCAGTCCTGATATAGAATAAGCCAGAAGGTTTTGTTTCTAGCCATTTAACAGGAAAGGCAACATGGATACAAAGGATACCTCAAAAATTGTGATTTGAGATTGGGAGATAACATGCATATATTATTTACAGAGTGGATTGTTAATGACCATAAAACAACGATTATCAAGAGAAAATTTCTTACCTGGATTGATGTTAGTATGGCTGCCACATCATAAATAGGACTCCACTGATTCTGTAGGATGTCCAAACAAATGCTTCCATCTGCATAAACTGAAGAAAATACAAAAAAAATTGGTATGCAGTTGGAGTATTAGACCCACTGATTTTACTTGTTTCACATTGAGGACTTCTTTATGAAAAGTTAAAATTCCATGAGAAACTCACCAAGGACAGTTAAAAAATTACTGAAGTGTCGCATTCTTTTTCAAAAAAAAAAAAAAAAAAAAAAAAGTAGGATGTCCAACAGCAAATGCCTTTCCATCTGCATAACACTGAAGAAAAATACCAACAAAAAATTCGGTATGGCCAGTTGGAGTAAGTCTGAGAACGCCACTGAGTCTTTTTTCAAACCTTGTTTCACATTGCAGGAACTTCTTTTATATGAAAGTTAAAAATTCCCAATGAGAAACTCACCAAGCGGATCAGTTTCAATAAAAATTACATAACTGAAGTGGTCCGGCATTCTGTTTTCAAAAAAAAAAAGAAAAAAAAAAAAAATCCATTGCTTTAATGGTAAAGGTAAAAACTTGAAAAGTATAAGGTCCAACCAGGACAGTTCTTTTGTTTTCTCAATAACTTTTAAAGTGAATTTCTTGTAAGTGAAAAAATAAATGGATTCATGTTTTTTGTTAGTATTTTTCCAAAATCCCCCATGTAACATTATCTTCATGAGTTTTGACTTGATTGGTCAATTAAATGGTCCTCAACTTGTGAACAACAGGATAATAGAGCAAGACAAAAAAAAGTCTTGAAGGGCTTATATGGGAAAAAAAAAAAAAAAAAAAAAAAAAATCCATTGCTTAATGAGGTAAAACTTGAAAAGTATAAGGTCACCAGGAGTTCTCGTTCTCAATAACTTTAGTAATTCCTGTAGTGAAAAAATAATGATTATTTTTTTAGTATTTCAAATCCCCATTAACAATTATCTCATGAGTTTTACTTTTGTCATTAAAATGGGTCCTCATTGTGAAAACAATAATAAGAACAAAAAAAGTTTGAGGGCTTAATATGGAGCAATAAAGTTCAATGGCTCAATGGATTAAACAAAATAAGCTCAGGGGCTCCAATATTTTTTTTCTTTTACCCCAATTTATAAAATAAAAGACAGGATGCACAAACATAACATAACATATTACATATACATCCATAGGACCCTCCAGCAACACATGCTCATGGCAATAAATCAGATAGGTGAAATAAACCCAAGAAAAATAACTTGGAGATCAACTAAATATCAACATTTTTCAGAGATTTGCATGCAGACATAAAATTATTGGATAAATAATCATTTAATTAGGATGTTAAAAGAAGATGAACTTACTATTTGGATGGAACATTCTAGAAACAAAACACACTGTTGGGGGCTTATTAGGATAATCTTCTGTAAACTGAAGTGTCAATTTGAACGTACCTGAAAAACTCAAAAGAAGCACAGATATGAGTTTGGTACAACCTCGTGTGAAATTTGAAATTCTTGATAATCAAAACAGAACTTAATTCCAAACTTGAATAAAATAATCAGCTTTACACAAATGCCATTTTGTTCACGTTTTATAGTTAACCACCATGTCACTTGTCAGGCATGTAAGGTTGCTCTCAAATTAGTGAGTCACATCAAGGAAGGGATTTTCAAAGTCTCACATATATCACTAAGACATTCGCATACTAAACAAACATCAGCATCATTATCCAGAGTTTTAAAGAACGTGCTGAATGAGAATTAGTAATTAGCATTAGAATAGTTTGTATTTTGAGTTTCTATGAACAAGACAATAAATGTTGGATGTTGAACATGGACAAGATAATGGTATCATAAATTCATCATAATGCACCAATATCACTAAACATCTGTGCAATTAATAATGCAAACTAGATTGCAAATACTTAAAACTCTTCATGTCAGATAATGTAGAAGTGTTAACTCTACCTCCATCCCATGGTGTGTCATCAGGCCTGCAATTGGACAGATAATGAGCATAAGCAAAAGAATCAGATACATAACCATCTAACACCATTATGATCAGCAAATGCTAAGGAGAAAAGAAATAAAAAGAAGCAAATTGAACACCATTTCCTAGGCATACCCAAATATAACAGCATTCCATAGCATAATATTATTCTCTTGAGGAGCACCACTAATCCCAGCAGGAGGATCCTGTTGCAGCCTCTTAAAATCCCTCATCAGTCTCTTCCTTGATGGGGTAGTCATCCTCACCGCCTGTAAATTCCATAAAATCAACAAAGCCAAACAATTTACTCATCAACTATTGCTTGCTTATTTATCAAACCAACCAACCAACCAAATTTAAGGTGCAGTAATGTAGCAGGTCAATGGAGACCAGCAAATATTTGTAATGATAGAAATAATTATCAATAGACCAAGTTTGGAAGACTTAATGACAAATATCTGAACCAAGCTAAAACTGTAGAGATTGAATCCAAAAACTAATTCCTCAATTTCCTTATTTCCACCATAATCACAAAACCCTAGATCCACAAATCCCACCTTCTCATCTACAAATGCATCAATCAAACACCGAATTCAGAATGAAGAACAGGTTTTCATTCTCATCCAACAACCATACAACTAACCAATTTATCATAATATAGAACCGCAAATTAAAACAAAATCAAAACAATGGTAAACACAAAAGAAACTCACTCGTCCAGAAACGCAGCAAGTAGTGCTAAATTCTACCGAAAAAGACTTTTTTTAATAATCTAATTCTCAGTAAACAAACAGAAAAAATTATCTAAGATTAGAGAAAAGCTTCCATGAAAGACAGATGGAGCAATTGATTAAATAGAGAAAAATCCTCGGAAGAAGATTTTTATTGGAATATCGAGTGATTAAATTAATTGATAATTAGCAAAAAAAAAAAGAAAAAAAAGAAAAAAGAAAAAGAGAGAGAATAGCAATTAGGTGGCTCGCGTAAGCGGTCCCTATGGGTTTTCCTCTTCTTTCTGTAATGGCCAAGTCGCTCGCTACAGACATTTCTAAAGACTGTTTTATAATTCTCTTGGTAATTACAAAATGTAGCTTTGTGTGCACATGTACATATAGCAGTAGATGGGCTAGTTTTAATCTCTATTACTGTAGAATAATTTTAATTTCATATTTATACTCTTAGTGATAAAATATTTTACATTTTATAATTTATAAATCAAAATAAAGAATTAAATATTTTTTATTAATTAAGCGTTGTTTGGAAGGTGTTCTTATACCCTTTGAGATCGCAAGAAATGGAAGAGCTAGTTATACCAATGAACTTGCACTTTCATTTCAGCTTGATCTTATACACTTTAAAATTATTATTCAAGTATAATGAAAGTTTATATTTGTATAATTATAACTAAAATAAATCACTAAGTCTTGCAGACAATTTATTTATTTATTTTTTGGCTTTGTTTGAAGAAGAGAAAAAAGAAAACAGTGATTGAAAGTAAATAACGGAAGAAGGAAAGTAATGAAATTAATTCTATAATAAACAATGCAATTTTCTTAATTCATTCGTCATTTTTATTTTATTATTTAAAACATGCATAATGTTTGATTTTTCTTTCAAAGAATGGTCGTTTAATAAAACGCTAGTACTGCCACTGTCATTACTACTGCGTTTAACTACATACGAACTGTCGGTCCTTCCTAATCCTATAAGTCCATTGGTTCATTGCCTTTCAAATTGTATACGAACGACAGGTCGTCTGGAAAAGCTGTTACTCCGAAAAACTTGTTTTCTGAATTCACATGCATTTCCATTTGATTATTGCAGAACTCCTGACATCTCACATGGTTGATTCACAAAAGCTGAATTGCTAGCTTCTATGATGTTGGCAAGTGTTAACCATGACATGAGGCAGCACATAATAAAACTCGTTGCTGATGGGTTCTACAAAGAAGCCATTTCCCTTTATTCTCAACTGCACTCTTCCTCTTTGCCTCCTCACCATTTCACCTTCCCTCCTCTTCTTAAAGCATGTGCTAAGCTAAAGTCCACTCTCCATGGCCAAATTATCCATGCCCATCTCATCAAAACTGGCTTCCATTCAGACGTATATACAGCTACTGCCCTCACTCACATGTACATGAAGCTTAATCTTTTAAATCATGCTTTGAGAGTGTTCGATGAAATGACTAACCGAAACCTGGCCTCTCTTAATGCAGCTATTTCTGGGTTTTCACAAAATAGGTATTGCGAGGAGGCTTTTTTAGCATTCAGAGAGGTGGGTTTGTGTGGGTTTAGGCCTAATTCATTGACCGTAGCCAGTGTATTGCCTGCGTGCGATAGTGCTGATCATTGCATGCAAATGCATTGCTGGGCTATAAAGTTGGGTGTGGAAATGGATATTTACGTGGCAACTTCATTGGTTACTATGTATTCTAACTGTGGAGAGGTAATTTTTGCTACAAGAATATTCAGAGAGATGCCTAATAGGAATGTGGTGAGTCATAATGCGTTTGTTTCAGGGCTTTTGCAGAATGGGGTGCCAAGTATAGTATTGCATGCGTTTAAGGACATGAGAGAGTGTTCAATTGTCAAACCCAATTCAGTTACACTAGTTTCCGTTATTTCTGCCTGTGCTTGTCTTTTGTATCTTCAATATGGAAGGCAGATTCATGGGTTCATAAAAAAGACTCTTGCGAGTTGTGACGCTATGGTAGGTACTGCACTTGTAGACATGTATTCCAAGTGTGGTTATTGGCAATGGGCATACGAAGTATTCAATGAACTAAATGACAATAAGAACTTGATAACATGGAATTCAATGATTGCTGGGATGATGTTGAATGGTCAGAGTGACAATGCTGTTGAGTTGTTTGAACGTTTAGCATCGGAAGGACTGGAACCTGATTCAATAACATGGAATTCGATGATAAGCGGATTTGCACAATTAGAAAACGGGATAGAAGCTTTTAACTTCTTCAAGAGGATGCAGTTTTGTGGGGTAATCCCAAGTTTGAAGTCGGTTACAAGTCTACTATCTGCTTGTGCAGCTTTGTCTGCTCTGCAATATGGAAAAGTGATTCACGGGCATGCTACTAGAACTAATATTGATACTGACGAGTTTTTGGCTACTACTCTCATTGACATGTATATGAAATGCGGGTATTCCTCTTGGGGGCGAAGAGTTTTTGATCAATTTGAGATAAAGCCTAAGGATCCAGCACTTTGGAATGCATTGATATCTGGGTATGGAAGAAATGGAGAGAACTACTCTGTATTTGAGGTTTTTGACCAGATGCTGGAGGAGAAGGTGAAACCAAATTCAGCAACTTTTATTGCAGTTCTATCTGCGTGTAGTCACATGGGTGAGGTTGAAAAAGGGGCGCAAGTTTTCAGGATGATGTCTATAGACTATGGCTTGAAACCAAAGCCAGAGCATTTTGGTTGCATGGTTGACATGTTGGGTCGATTTGGCAAGCTGGATGAAGCTAGGAAAATAATAGAAGAAATGCTAGAGCCTCCATCTTCTGTTTTTGCTTCTTTGCTTGGTGCTTGTAGGCATCACTTGCATTCTGAGCTGGGAGAAGAAATGGCTATGAAGCTCTCAGAGCTCGAACCAGGAGATCCAAATCCTCTTGTGATTCTGTCAGAGATTTATGCTGCACTGGGAAGGTGGGAAGATGTAGATAGAATCAGACAAACAATAAAAGATAGAGGATTAAGAAAACTGCCAGGATATAGTTTGATTGGAGTTACATAAGAAGGAACTACATTACGCTATGATGGATATAACAGTTTCAACTCCACTCTTGCTAGTCTCTAACAAGATCTTGTTTTTCTGCATCTCCTGAAGTTATTATAGATGTTTATATAAGCATTATCAATCATTCAAAACATCTTTTACTGAAAAGCCCAAATAGTTATCAGAATGGTTGGGGGGCTCATATACGAAACAAGCGATCACATCTCTGAGTGTAATCACACCAGCTATTTCATTTTCATTCCCAGCAACTGCATAAATTCGGTGAACTGACTTTGAAGCAAGAATATGGATCACACTACCAAGAGTTACATCCACCTTGCATGTTATTGGCGGGATGACTCTGCCTGTTTCTTGGGTTGAGCTGATGATTTGTGTGAAATCTGATACAGTGAGCTGCCTGAAAGTAAAATGATAAGATAAAAACTTAGTTGAAGAAGGTAAATACTCCAATTGCTATGCATTTTTGCTCAATTTCCAGAGCTCAAACAGAGGGCTCATGTCATGACTAATTAATATTTGCACCATGTTATAATTCTTTAATAAATGGACTTAGATGAGCAGTTTGATGCAGGTTGAACAACAATCTTCCTCTCTCTGTCTCTGCCCTGTTTTTTCACCTTTACCTTTTCTCCCTCCTTTCTTCTCTTCCACAATCTATTATTACCTATTTTCTACTGAGCACTTTACGTGGAAAGAATTCTAAAACTGAAGGTATAGCATTAGCTTTATCACATAATTGTATCTGCTGGTTCAAAGCTATTTCTTTTCATGCTACCTGAAATTGGTGAAAAGTTCTGGTTCGAGCAACAAATGCCTTATATCCCTTATGCTTAGACTCCCGACAATTTTCTTCTTTGGACCCTCTACAACTGGAAGACCACCAATTTGGTTCTCTCTCATTTGCTTGAAAGCTTCTAAAATCAATTCACTGCTCTGGATGCTAACAACCTGGCCGGAAGACATAGCAGATCCAAATTAAGTGGGAACCTAGGAGAGTAATCTGAAAAATACTCACCTCATCAGCAGACATGAAAGGAAGTCCAAAATCTGAAATACTTCGTGAAGCAATACAATCAAACCAATCCCTTCCCTTGCATCCCTCTAGACCAAGGACAAATGCAGATTGAGTAATGAAGTTCTGAATTTCAGGTTTTCCTGGTTCAATCACAGGTACATTTCGCTGCCTATACTTTGAGAGCAGAAGTAAGACGCTCAACATTGAACTGTCTGTTGCTACTGGAAGGAAAGGCGCACTGTGGTATGATTTTAGTACTGATCTCACCTGTGACATTAAGAAAAAAAAAAAATGAGAGCAAGCAAAGATTGTAGGACCTCTCTCACTCATTGATTCAACCAGTCAGAGTGTTCTTCAATGAGGTATATGCATCTTTGTTCAGAGAGAAAAGAAACCTGTTTCTAAATGAGATGTCGGTTAATTGAGCCATACAAAATGCACATATGAGATTTGGGATGCATAAATGATGAATTTAAAAGTAAACTTACAGTGGTTGACTTGAAATGTTCTTCTTGAAGGATAACGTTGTAGAAATCCTCCCCCAAGTTGTTAGCAGCTGCAGGAGCATCTTTTCCTAGCCCCTTATCTGCACCCACGCCACCAGCTACAGCGGCACCAACTGCAGCAGCAGTTAGCCCAGCAATTGCATCTGGACCTGTGATGCCCAATGCTACTGCTCCAGTAGTGCCTAAAGCTCCAGCAACCACACCAGCAACTGTCGTAGTACTGGCGGATAAAGCAACAGCTGCAAGTTCTGCACTCTCTAACACCCAAAGAACAATTGCCGAGTAATCTAGAATTCCTAGGTATGTATCTCTCCAGTCAGAACTGGTTCCTGCATCTGTTTTTTTACTGGAGCAGACATTATGTTGCATTTGGATAAAATCTTGACAGCATCAGCAACGGATGTTTCTGCTGGAATCTCAATGACTGGAAGCCAAAAAAAGATCTGTGGTAAGCAGTTCATTCGGTTAAAAAAGTGTAATAAACAATTATTGTAAAACTGCAATAATCACCTTTGCCTCCAGGCACTAGTGGGAATGATGAGACTGGAATCCTTGCAAATGCAGAAGTTAAAGTCTCCTGCAATGGCTGTGGTAATTTCTTCCTGGACTGTATCATCTCAAAATAAGCATCACAATTTGCAAGTTTTGAACTTCCCCACATCTTTTGTGCTTGTGCCATACCTATACTCACCCAATTATTATCATTCCCTTTAGTTCATTAATGCGATGTATATATATAATGTCTTATTTGGATTTGTTATGACTTCAGTTTTTACGACTCGCCGTTTTTAGGCCATAAAGATATATTTCCATATGTTGAATTCATTGGTTTAGGCATATCAGTTAATAGCTTTCCATCATGAAACAGCACAACAATCAAAACCCTGATCTTGCTAAAGGGCAGTGATCTGATCATCCTACATTTAAATTTCCTCTAGACATTTGGTCTATTTAGTTAACCATGTATAATAAATTCATTATAATTCATATGAATGGATTAAAATTTTAAAAGAAAATGGTTAGAAGAAGCTAAAATTCTGCAGATGCATATGCAGAAGGCAAAGAATATATTTAACTTAATTTATGTAGAAGCAATTCAGGTAAAAAGAATTCCATATTTAGCAGAAAGACATACCTGTTTACAAAATTGTCTTCACAAATTAGATTAGATTGGATATGGATTCAATTTTGGGAAAGCTCTGTATTGCTCAGTCTGTTGGTTTGGTTCAGTTTTTGTGGTTTCATATGCATGGGTCTCTGAGACTGCCATTTGTAGGTATTGCAACAAGGAAGAACTGTGGGCTGCCACGTGCAATTTCTGTCTTGGGCAAGTATTTCATTGGTTATATAGCACTTTGTGCCTTTATGCTTTGAATTGACAAGCCTATTTCACTCCTATCTGAACAGGGTATTCATTATTCGAATTGTTTTTATTTAATTAGAAACAGATTTATATAGATTATTAAGTATTTTTTTTTATAAAGTAAGGATGTCAGGTTTTCAAACTTTGGTAGTTCTGATTCCTTTTAAGGATTAATGTGTGTATGTGTATGCTTATATAGTTGATCTTTTGATTAGGCTTAAACCTAATAAGTAGAAAAATATTTTTTTCAGCTTTGTTCATCTTTTGGGTCTTTAGAGAAATATTGTAATTTGATTCGAATACTTCAATTCAAAATTGAAATTCCAAATAAATGTAAATTTCATAATATGGAATCTTAAATTAGGATGTTTTTTTTTTTTTTTAAATATATTAGAATATGAAATATGGAGTAAATATTTTTTAAAAAATAACAATTTATGAATAAATATAAGTATTAATTGTTATTATTCAAAATTTTTTTAAAAATAATAATAATTTAATGTTCAAATTATAAGATTCAGACATTAGCTTTATAAAGATCAAGAAGAATATGAATTGGATTAATTTTTTAATCATATAACAATTTGAGCAATGCATGAGCCTTAGTTATATTATAATTTAGTAGAGCTTTTTTTTTTTCCTAAAAAAAGTTATATAAGTAATTATTAATTATCAATTTTTTTAAGCTGGTTTACAATATGTAATGTCTCTATCTGTCTACGTGGATAAAAGATGAGTACCACGATCTCTAGGGTCTGTAATATAATTAGGTGAAATTAAAAATTGCATGGAAAATAAGTCATAATTTATTTTAATGTACCAAAAAAAAAAATATTTGGTCATAATAACTAATTAATCCAATTTGATTTATTGTTTCTGAACCAAATGAAAAAAAGAAAAAGAAAAAAAAAAGACCTTACTCATTTCTTAAGTATTAACCAGATATTTACTGTTACTCGTTGTATAGGCAAATATAACAACATCCTTAAATAAATTTAAAAAAAAAATCAAATCAAATGTACAATTTTCAGCTCAATTACATACCAAAACATTTCTATTATATTTAAAAAATAATCTACAATCTACCTAACAAAAGTGATAAATTTAAAAATTTACATTAATTACTTTCTCTTTTTTAACCTCAGCCCTTGTTACGGTCCCGACTCTCATCAAGAGAACCAGAAGAACTCTTGGAAGCAGAAAATGGCAATGAAGACGGAAACAAAACCAAGCTTCCTTTTTCCTGAGATCTCAAATTAGTGTGATACTGACCACCACTGCCGGCATTGTTGCCTCCATTACCGACAAAGGATGTAATCGCTGCCGCCAAGGCTGTCCGGAAACCAGGGTCTAAAGCAATCACCTTGGTTGCAGCTGCAATGCTCTCTGTCAAAGACTGATAAGAAGAAGAAGTAGTAGTCTGGTTATTGTAGAGCTGGTGGGGTACATTAACGTTTCGATAATTAATAGGGTAGGGCTGGTGGTGTCCATTAATGTTGGGCCATGGAGTTTGAAGAGTACTAGAATCAAAGGAAGAAGAAGAAAAGTTGAGACACGTTGGAGAGTATTTTGGAGCTGATAATGAAGAAGAAGAAGAAGAAGAAGAAGAAGAAGAAAATAGGGCAGTATTGGTTGGGGAAGTAAGGTCAAGAGTAATTGTAGGGTGTGAGTTGTTGGTTGAGATTGAAGAATTTTGGAAAAAGAATTGCTGTGGTTTTGTAATATTGTGGGAGAAAGTGAAGTTTAAGGCATTGGAAGTGGAGAAAGAAGATGGTGCAGAAATTGATGATGTGTTTGAGGTTGAAAATGACTGTGATTGTAGCATTGATGCAGCTGCTGATGTGGTTGAAGCCATTGCTGTGGCAGAAAGTGGAAGAGGATGGTTATGTGTTCCTTCGTAGGTTGTTATTAAAATTGACATGTCCTCTATACATCTTTGCACCTGAAACAAATTGCATCAGGAATTGTTACTATAATTCACAAGTCATTTTTAGAACTAATTTTTAAGAAGAGAAAATGAAATCAATGAGTTCTTTTCTCCGTGTATATTCCCATGTCTTTTTTTTTTTTTTTATACAAAACTAATCTCGTTTCAAAATAATTCATATCATTTCTAATAAGTTTTAATATAACAATTTCTCATAAAAAAAAAAAAAAAAGTTCAATAACACTATAACTATCTTTAAATTATTTTGTTTTAAGTTTATAATTAATGTCAAAATAAACCTGAAAGACAATTTCTATTTAGAGCAACCAAATGCATTATTTTAATTTCAGCACAGTGTAACTTTTTCAGCATTTGTTGCCAGATTAAAAGAGTAAGCCAATGAATCCTCTTTGTCAATATTTTTTACTTTATCATAATTTGAATTAACTTAAATTTCAAAATAATAGCTTCTTTTTCATTAAAAAAGTGAAATAATGAACGTCCTACTTACTGAAATATCATAAGAAAAAATTAGTATATACCTGTTTTCTCACAGGGCAAGTTGGTGAGACTGTGCAACGATAGTATGCCCGAGGACATGGATTTCCTTTCGCTATTTTCTGCCCATATTTTCTCCATTGACATCCATCATTCATCTGCACATTCAATTGGAATTAATTATATTATTGAACCTGAGCTTGATAGAAAGAATTTATTTATTTCAATATGTAATGATGATTTCTTTACTTATATTTAAAAAATTTTCAGAACCATCGACATTACTAAAGCTCGCTTGTATACTATATAAAAGACATTCGATTACGTTATATGAAAAATAAAAGTTGATAACCATTAATTCAGTCCATAAAGACAGATATACTCCATCAAAAAAGCACAAAGTTGGTAATATAATAAGCAAATTAATTAAGTTAGACACACACCGTGGGAGCTTCACATCTGGTTCTGACTGAAACCCTAGTTTTCTTCATCTGGGTTTGTTGCAACATTTCATCTTCTGTACTTTTTATCATCTTTGAAACTTTGCTTGGCGGCCATGTCTCAGTTGGTTCCTCTTCCTTAGTTTCTTCTTCATCAAAGCTGTTACTTTCAGAGCTTGGATTATTATTATTGTTGTTATTCTTCTTCATAGTTGCAAAAGAATCTGGCTCAAATTTACAGTCCAGCCCAAGTGAAAGTCCTTTAACATTATTCAATTCCTCATTTCCATCACTTACATTGCTGCTTTTTTTCTCATCCTCCTTTTTGAGTTCACTAGAACTACTTCTTCCAAGGCTAAGAGAGACAAGTTCAGGTTCTCGATCATTTTCTTCATGGGAACGTATTCTTTTTGTTGATTTCTTTGTTGTTTCTTCTTGCATAACTTTAGAGAAATGCTTCTGTAATGACTGATAATCCTTCACAATCTTGGATAGTAATTGCTTTAACTTTTCATTTTCTTCCCTAACCTCACCTATTTGGGCTTTTGTTGATCTCAGCTGATCCTCCTATATCCCAAAAAAGAAAAAATTATAAAAACAGCTTAACACCATTTTACCTTTACCTTCACTATAACTAGCTAGTGTTTTATTATTAACCATGCAGAAGATAACTTCAAACCAAAGAAAGTTATTAGTTAACATTATGGTTTTCCAGTTATATATGAACATACGAAAGAAAAAAAAAAATTATAAACCTAGATCTCTATTTCTGCATATGGATTAGTTAAAAGAAGATTTCAGATCCACATGGCGGCAGTTGCGAGCAATCTATGTTGACCTAGTGTATGTGTATTTTACATGATAAATTATTCCTTCGTTAACATACATGTATAATTGATCCTTAATTACTTTGAAAGCTGAGATGCGAATTTATTATTTATATATGAATTGGTCTACCACCATTTTGGTTGAACAATATGTCTGTATGATATTGGACAAAGCGGTTCTGGTAATAGGGTCCGAATATCGGTAGTTTACATAAAAAAAAGTGTATGTATGATGCAATGTATAAAACATTTATTTAATTAACCAATAGATTTGTAATCTTTAAATTATTATTATTATTATTTTGTAAATCAACGTCTCTTCTATATTTTGATATATGGCCAACTTGCAAAGAATGATAAAACTATTAAGATTCCGCCAATACAAACTATTAAGAAATTCTTTTTGTATGAATTAAATAAAAAAATAGCAATTCCGTATTCAGTCTTCTCCAATCATCCTAAAGTTAAAAAAAAAAAAAAAAAAAAAAAATTCCGTATTCGTCCTTCTCGCAATCATCCTAAAGTTAAAAAAAAAAAAAAAAAAAAAAACAGAAATAACCGATCAGTGTTTGAAATTCTTACAGTTTTGAATGATAGCTAAATTGTTTACCCATGGAAGAAGGCTGGCTTTTGGCAAAAAAAAAAAAAAAAAAAAAACAGAAATACCGATCAGTGTTTGAATTCTTACATGTTTGAATGAAGCTAAATTGTTTACCATGGAAGAAGGCTGCTTTGGGCCATTCTCTTCTTGTTTAACATGAATTGTTTTTCCTTCCTGAGACACACCAAACAGAAAATGCATGCTTCAATTTTATTATAACTAAGCAAAAGACCATATATATATATAAACCTCATCAAGTTTGTAATCATCAAACTGTGGAGTTTAGGATCCAAGAAACTGAAATAGCTATTTCAATTCATAGATTTGGATTCATAGAATTTGCTGAATATTTATAAATTTGCAGTGCAATGAAATCTAAAAATTTGCAATTTTCAAATCCAATATCATGAATTCAAATAGAAACAAAAAAAAAAAAAATCTAAAAAATATAAATTCACTTGAAATTTCCAGAACCAAAAACTGAACTTTCATATACAGAAATCATCGCTAAGCATATATAATAGAACTTAATAACTAATAAAAAGAGAAAAATATCCAAGAAATAACAATCCCTCACGCATGCATATCAAAGATCAATATTCACCTTACTACTCTCTTCATCACCATAATTTGATTTGACCGTCTTCTCTTCTGTAGCTAAATCTGACTTTTCCAAGTAATTCTCCATTGTTATAGAGCTTTTTTATCATTAATAGAAATGGGCATAAATACATAGCAATAGGTAGTATATATAAGAAAGAGGGCTAAAGAGCCTCCAAAATTTGACTTTTAGTTAAAAATTCAAACACGAGTGCTTATCTTAATTTGCATGTTACTCATTTGAGAAATGTCAAATATACTCCAATAAGCCAACGCAAATGTCATTTTTTATTTAAAAAATATTCAATTTCAACTTTTTGTGTATATAATTTAATATATGTAAATAAAGAAAGAAAGGAAGAAAAAGAGCACGTTCAAGATTTGGTACGTGTAAACCACAGATGCTTGGTCAAAGTTAGCCGCCGTCTTATGGACTCTATTGCAAAATTTATGCGACTGTTTCCTGATAGATAATCTACGTCCTCACCTATGTTGCAACTATTATCCAACCAGAGTTTGACACGTCATACTTTTGACCATTTAATGGTCTCCCTGGGACCCTAGCCGGTGGCCAGTGATCCCCAGAAATTTATTCAATGAACCGACCGCTTTTATTACTTTAACTATATATACTAGTATAACAATTTATTTTTGCTGCCATAAATTTATGGTCACAATATTTATATATTTGACTGCAAAATATTTTTTTTTCTTACTAGGAGAGTAATAAAAATAATACTACTAATTTAGCCCCTAATCATGCGCCCATTTCATGATTCTTGAATTAATTATACTTGTTTTTTATAAATTTTTAAAAAAGTATGATAAAAAAAAATACAATAACGTACGTAACGTTACACAATGGCTATAACTTATACGTATAACATACCTATATATATAAATAATATAATGATATTTAGAAATAATAATAAACATTAATTAGTGTATTAATTTGTCAATGTACGTATTTGCAAAATAATTATAACTGATCGAAATCTCTTAATTAATTTTTCTTATGAGACCAAACATATCTCTTCTTTCTTTCCGTAACGCAACAATGGTTATCGGATTTGGAAAAGAAAATACATAGTTTTGGCTCGCAGTCAAACATTTCATTAGTATATTAATTTTTGTTCAAAGCCGCAGTTATATATATATATTCATATTATCCATCCATATAGTCAAGAAAGCGTAGAAGTCTGCCATTAAAACCAGAAAGCTCAGCTCAGTTTATATTATTAATAAACCTATTTACCTTTCAAACATTGGAAAATTTGATGAACGTGTGTTTACTTCTATTTTTGTTTTTTCTTTCCTTTTCCCCCCTTTAATCCATTGTCACAGCTGATTGTATATGTATATATTCTTTCTTTCTCTCCTACTGAGAAAATCTTTACAAGGCAAAACTAATACGTTAAAACACATTAGTCGTAGGTATCTTTGTCTTTTCTTACCTGGTCTCCATAGACTATAGCTTCCAGAATAATAATAATATTATAGGTATCTTCAAAGTCATTATTGCAATAAAAAAAAAAAAAAAGAGGGGAAAGAAATTCCAGTTTTTAGTAAATTTCAAAGTTGTTGAGGGATTCAAGACTCAGACAAGTTGGAAAAATTGAAGAAATTAGCCATCTTTTTTAATGAATTCTACTTTTCCCTGTCAATTTTTGATAGAAGAATTACTTCCAGGTGAGTTTCCATATTTAGCATTGGTACCGTTTCAAAAAAATAAAAATCTCAGGGTAGAAATGTCAAAAGAAAAGAAAATGTCATGGCAGAAAATAAGAAACCAAGTCGAAAACATGGTTGGATAGAGTCCAACGATAGTGATATAATTTTAATTTCCCAAGTTGAAATTTAATATGCATTTTTAATTAATTAATGTAGCATATTATAGTTAATTATTTGCATTTTCCAGGAACATAATTAGCTGCATTACACTTATATTAAGAATATCTGGCAACAACATGCTTGCCGGTTCTGTACATTGCATTTTCCTTGTATTAATTTTGTGCCACAAATTCCGTTTTGGTAACCCATCCAACCTGTCAAAAGCCATATTTTTGTATAGAAAATTATATATTTGCGTTTTAGGACTTAATCCTTTTTCCATTCGAATTTGAAAATTGCATCCTCCCTTTTGTTAACTATATATATCCAAGACGATAGGACCGGCAGATCAAAAAATTTATACTATAGTTGTGGGAGTAAAATCTACGCATTTGAGAATATTTCTTTCCAAACGAGAGTATTTGTGATTATCATTAAAATAAAAAAAAAATGATAAAATATAAATAATTTATAAAAAAATTCATATTTTCATTGATTTAGCTTATGAGTTGGGCGAGAAATTGGATTTAGATAAATCTAATCTTCTAGCCATCGAAATCTTCACAAAATGTCAATAGATGAAACTCTAAACCTCTTACTACTCCCACACTCAATCAAACCACATTTGATTGGCTACCTATATAAATTTTTAAATGAGTTATTAAAACCTGAATTCATAGTTCTCTTACACACTAATATACCTTTATTAAAGATAATTTTCAAATATATATATACACGCACGTTGAATTAGACTTATCTACAAATCAAACCAATCAAAAAATATATATTTTTTAAAATATCTTCGTTTTTATAATAAATTATTTTAATTGATTTGGTCCATGAAGGGCATCGACAGAATGTAAACAAGTAAATCTCTAGCAAATAAAAGGATTACGATTTAATAACAATAAAAAGAAAATTCATATTCTAACACCTCTTCTACATTCTTCAATTTAAAAGAAATTCCAATTAGCAATCAATCTTTTTAAATTCCTAATCCATTACACAACAAAGCACACTTGATAATGAATGATGAGGTCGTTTGGTAATCTAACAAGTTATTTAATTTTATGATTAAAAATTATTCACTAGCTAATTAATAATTTTAACAAGTCAAATTTACATCAATTTAATTAAACGATGAGTCTAATAACCAAATTGAATTGTTTAATTATAGATGACAAATTCTGTGATGATAGGCCATAATTGTTTAATCATGGTATGGTAAGTCATTTTTTTAATCAATGACAGGTCTAATATGCAACTTATAATTTAATTACTGACGTTTTGTTCTTGTAAATTATATAAATAAATTTATTAATTCTTGCAAACCATCAAAAAGTCTACTGCCAATGTGGAGGATAAAGCTTTGAAGAAAATAAGGTCTTTGGTTGGTTTAGATTTGGAATCAGAATCTAAAATTAAATCAAATCAGACGAAATTAATAATGCATGGAATGATTTTTTTTTTTTTTTTTTTTAGATTTGGAATCAGAATCTAAAAATTAAATCAAATCAGACGAAATTAATAAATGCATGAAATGATTTTTTTTTTTGTTTTTTTTACAATAAATGTTTGGTTTACTAAACAGTTAGAATATGGTTTTTCCAAAAGTTGTTTCATTATTTATAATTTTTTTTTTTTTTTTTTTTACATAAATGTTTGGTTTACTAAACAGTTAGAATATGGTTTTTCAAAAGTTGTTTCATTATTATAAATACTGAAATTCGAATCATTACAAAATTTATGTAATATTTATTTTAAGTTTTTAATTTTTATTAATATAACATAAAAAATTTAAATTTTTAAGCTTTTTATTTCATGTGATGTGCTCCTGTTAACAAAAAAAAAAAATCTAATATCTTTTAATATTATGTATTAAAAATATATTAATAAAATATTAAAAATGTAAAAATAATTATATTAATAAATTATAATAAACAAATTCATTATTTTAATTCTAAAATTTTATTTAATAATTATTTGATCTTTAATATTTTAATTATATGACTATCTTTGTCCAATTTTAATTGCCATATTTTCAATTTGTATATATATTAAGAAAGTCATTATACAACTTCTTTTTTTTTCACAAAAAGTTATGAATGATTAAATTATCATTTTATTAATTTATCTAGTAGAGATATCAGGAGACAAGGGTAAGGTTAGAAAAAAAAAAATCATACTTCCTTAATTGTAAATAAAATATGATAAAAGAAATTTAAAATTATGCAAAAAGAATATATGTTATTTTAAATACTATTTGTTAAAAAAAGTATATCATATTCACATTTGTATTGTTTGTCAAACGGATTCCTATAAAGGTTGGAAGATCTGGCCAAAGAAGGTGATAGCCCTGTAGATTCGTTCCTATGGTTCGATCCTTCCCAATAAAATGCGGCATGTTCGAATTCTGATAGCTTTTACGTGAGAAAGGGGGATGGAAATGTAAATCCATGGTACTGTGAATCTCATTTCCTGGGGGAGGAGGAAATTATAAATTCAATAATTCCTTCTCCACCCCTTTTTTTTTTTTTTTATTAATCAAACCATCCATTGGGATTCTTATCCTTTTGCCCAACCAAACAGGCAAATTAATACAAAAAGAGAATTTCAACTTTGGATAAATAAGTTATTAAAAGAAATGTTTGAGATTTGAATATTGAATTATTTGTTTAAAAATATATAGAATATTATTATAATGGAAAAATAATATCTTCAAAGGAAAGAAGTTTTCTTTTCCGTTTTTTAATGTTAAAAAGACAAAAAGAAATATTATAATTTCCAGGTTTAAAGAGAGAACATTATAATGTAATGCAAGAAGCAAGCATTTTGTTGTTGACTATGTACTCCTTTTGTACTATAGCTTTATAAATTATATTTTTAATTTATAGTCAATTGATGATTATTCATACTGTAATCCTCACTATTAAAAATCAATGAAAAATAATTTAATTTTGTTAATTATTATTATTATAAGTTCAGTCTTTAGTTTTATTCTCAAATTAGTTGGAGCCCTAGGCATAGAAACTCTGTCTTTTTTTTTGGATACATAGTAGGACCGGAATAATATTGTTGGCTACATAGCAGGAAAAGCCCTCGTCTTTGAATAAAATTCATCATATTGGTAATAATTTTTGTGTCAAAAATAAAAAAATTAAAACTCGAGATTTCTCACTCTCTACATCTGTAGGAAGATCAAACAATCATACCTAGCTGACACAGAATCTCTTTAATTACTCAGAAGAGAGCATTTTATCCTCTTTTGCGAGCCTTATATCAATCCGAACTAATTGAGTTAGTAGACTTGAATTACGAGCACTTGTTACTTTACCTTATTATCTAAATAGCATCATTTCAGAAATTTGACAAAATTCGTCTAGCATTTTGGATTTTAATGATGTAATAGCAAGTCATCAACCAGCTAAGATTTATATTATTATTATTATTTCAAAATTTGACTTTGCTTAATTAAATATAATGGCAAAGGAAAATAAATGTAGAAACGACCATCACCTAGGGGCAAGATACCAATTTGCCAAATGGTACATGCACAAACACCCCTGACAACAGATCAAGCACTGGTACATGTGAGTGGTTTACGATAAATATGATATATTTATGATAAATATATATTATCATAGTAAATATATATATATATGTTTATGATAAATGTATTTATTATGATAAATATGATACATAAATATATCATATGATACATTTATGGTTTTGAGATGGGTATTTTTGCCAATCATGTCTTATTTTATAGGCTCTTTCAATAATCATATTTTATTTTATATATTTATCTTGAATAATTTTTTTTTAAATCATTCGATATCTAAAATCTATTGACTCGATTAATTCACATGCGTGCCAAATAGATCCACAAATAATTTTAATCGTAATATGTTTATATTACTCTTGCACTGTAAAGTTACGAAATAATACTATTTTCTTATCTGCTTGAAAGATAAAAATATCATCGCAGCCTTTAGTTTAGGTTTAGCCTCCCAACTATAATTAGGTCTTCCAACGATTCATTCTCATTTAACAGCTAGTCTATGACTCCACCGTACTGTCTTCCAGCGAATTTTATTTATTAAAGCATAAAATTTAAATCTATAACCATCATTATTGCAAGGAGTTTATCTGAATATATTTTTGTGAGTAGCATATATATTAAGAAATCTAAAAATTATTCAAATAAAGGAAACTTAATTAACTTCTCTCACCAAAATCTAAGAGTTAGATCAATTGGTCATAAAATACTAATTGTACGGTGCCGTCTAGAGCCCTGAATCTTAGACGATGAAGGTCCATGTTCACCCATATACTAGGAAAACCCATAAAAAAAAAATAAAAATAAGAACAAGTGGAAACTTTCATATAACATGAGGTCAATGGATGCTAATTAAGTATAATTAAAACTAAACAAGACTACCTGTGCATGTTTTGCTTTGCTCAATCCTAGATTGACCTCTCTCTCTCTCTCTCTCTCTCTAATGCATATATGGTCAATGGATGCTAAATTAAGTATATTAAAAAACTAAACAAGACTACCTGTGCATGTTTTTAGCTTTGCTCAATCCTAGATTGACGCCTCTCTCTCTCTCTGCTCTACTCTTCTAATGCATATATATATATATATATATATATATATATTATATTAGTATATATATATATATATATATATATATATATTATATATATATATATAAGAAAAAAATATAAGAAAAATAAGATGATCGGGTACTTGTTACTTTCATTACACATTTTTAGTTATATAATATTATGGAAACTTTTTAATTAAAGGGTCGGTCTATTTATTTTTTTATAAGTCAATGCTTTGAAACCAATTCCAAATAAAATTTATCCAATTAACAGAATGCATGTGAACAGTAGACAGGTCTATTGATTTGGGTCAATAAATATTATCATAGAAATGCTTGGAATATAAAAAATTATATTCATCTTTTTTTATTTTTGACGTGATATTATGAGCGCATTTTTGTAATAAAGTCAAATTTCTAGTAATTTGACAAAAAGACAGATTTATATTCCATATTAATTCATTAATTTTTTTCCTCGTTATTTCTATATCCTTGCACCAAAATGTATCAACGACTTTTTTTATCACACTATACTTAATCTAGAAATAATTTAGTGGTAAATATATATCTATATATATATATATATTCTAATAGAGATTCAAATCTCCTCTTTTGGTGACTAAAGAAATAAAAAATCAATTTTTTAATTTTTTACTAATTTTACAAGTTAAGAGAGAGTTATTTTTATTATATAATGGAAGATTATTTCGGTCCATTAAATTTTCGATCAATAAAATAAAAAAGCTTATATATTTGCTGATATATAATCTCATGGTGTTAACAGTTAGGAATTGATTCTAATATTAATTCAAAACCTTAATTAGTCAATGTCTGAAGGATTAAAATCAAGGGATAATGAATGAAATTAAATTGAATTTCGAGAAATCAAAATTTCTTTTTGTCAACAATTTTGCTTAAATTTCGGAGTCCAATTTGAAGCCATTTACTATACGCTGTGTGAAACAGAACAGACAAGTCAGTAATTAGCGGCTAACACAGACGTTAATACTGAAAATGAAAAAATAAAAATAATCATGTTGTAACTCTCTGTTTCTTTTTTTTTTTTTTTTTTTTGTTGTAACTCTCTGTTTCTTTTTTTTTTTTTTTTTTTTCTCTCAATCCTCTATTTTTTTTTTTTTTTTTTTCTCTCTAATCCTCTAAATTCAGTTTCGAACTATTTCTGTTGGTCAACAGTAGCTTCCACCTTCCGTTTGAAAATATATTATTTCTATAATGGATTTGTTTTTTCTCTTATTTTTTATTACCATTTGTTTTATTATTTCTTTATTATTTCTATAATGGATCTGACTCGTTTTTTTATGAGGATTATTATTAAATAAAGATATGTTGTTATTTGATTTTATACAGTTAGAAATTTTAAATTTAGACTTGGAGGTGTAAATTTTTTATCAAAGAGCCTAATTGGTATAACATGTTTATCTACTGATGCTAAAGTTTTGGGTGACTAGGTTGCTTGCGGTGAAAACAGTTGCTTTTGGGCTTTTGCACAGCACCATTTGCACAATTAGCTACAATAACTATTTTGAGCTTGAGCTTGTGAACTTTTTTCTTTTTCTTACCCTGATTTTGGGCAGAAGAACAACCTCCTTCACAACATATGTATCTCCTTGCTTAATAATAGTCTCAGCAAATGGACTCGTTGGAGTTGGGCCCAACTGACACCCTTATTCCTAAGTGGTTTCTATGGTCCAACAATACCTTTCGGAATAAATTCATGAACTCAATCTAACTATGACATGGTTGTCTCGTCTATGTTTATGGAACTTAAAACATAATACTATCATAAAATAATTTTTAAAAAAAAATTTTAAATCAATAATTTGGTCAAAACCCATAAACGACCTAATTCATTAGGTCAAATTTCATCGGAAAATCGTAATTTGCCCTTCTTATCATGAACACCAATTTCTTTGAAGCCATTTTTAATAGAATTGGAAGGGAAAACGTAATTGGATAACTATAGTACAAGGTAGTTTAATAAATTATTTGACCTAGTCACATAACTATAGTACAAGGAGTGAAATTCCAAAAAATGAGTCATACTAATACTACATTTGTGTACCAAGATTTCCACTGCTTGCCCATCCTTCCTGTACTTGATTTGAGTACTGCAAATTCCATAGCACATCTTCTATTGAAGGCCTGTTACTTGGTTCTTTGGAGATGCAACTTATGGTGATTTTGACTGTAGTTCTTAGGGATTCATATGCGAAAGTGCCTCTTGTAGATGGATCTACCATAGGTCGTAACTTTGACGGACCTTCTGCTAAGCCCTTCTCTAGCTGTTTATTATAGAACACACGCCAAAAAAAAAAAAAAAAAAATTAATAGAACACAACGCCAAAAAAAAAAAAAAAAAGGAAGCAATTTTAGTAAATAACCACATCAAAAAAAAAAAAAAAAAAAGGAAGCAATTTTAGTAATAACCACATCATAAAGCAAACAAAAGCTGACTTGTAATTTCCTAAAATGGCGACCCAATAGACGCAGGGTTGATATATGCAGCTTTCTCTCTGTGTTTTCGGAGGAAATCTACTTCCGTCACTTGAACCCGTGACTTTTGAGTTACAAGTGAAGTAGTTTTATCGTTACACTAAAATCACCATCATCTCACACCACTAAAAGGGGAAAAAAAAAATTAAAAGAAAGAAGAAGGCATGGTTGTTTACCTGAATCTTTAGTTCTTCCAATTCACTTGTAGATGTGACAATTTTACCAGTAATGATTTGAACTAGAATAACACCTAGTTGATAAACATCTTCCTTTTCTGCTTTTATACCATCTTGTCCGCTTAAAGGACTCTCTGAACCCACCTGCAAAATTCAAAGAGCAAAACTTGAAATAACTTCATATACATTAAACAAGAAAAAAGGAAAAGCTTTAGGCAATATTTAGTATAATGTAATGAAATATAATAAAATAATAAAACTTTTTTTTTTTTTCTGGTTGGGATAAATTTTAATATGTGGTTTTCGCTGGCACCTTAGATGGCATTGGAATGTTATTGTTACTAAGCTTTGCAGTGAGACTTTCATCCAACAATATATTTTCAATGTTTAAATTATTCCCAAATATTCCAGGTGCAACTCCTGTGTGCAAGAATTGAATTCCTCTTGCAACTCCAATAGTAATTGCCATTCTTTGTGGCCACTTTAGGACATCTTTCTTTCTCCATTCTGCTAAATCAAAAACAAGAAATTCACAAAAAGTAATCACTTATAAAAATTTCTTGAAATTGGTCTTCAAAATTTCAAAATCTATTTCTTGAAATTTACCGGTAAGATAATCTTTGAGAGATCCATAGGAGATGTGTTCAAGAACAACAAAGACAGTAGTAGTAGCTGTACTTGGACGGTCTTGAGAAGTGACAATACAGTGTCCAAGAACACTGACCAAATGCAAATGTCTCAGCTTTGATAGAACTTCCATGTGCTGCAACAAGTTTTGAGGCGAGTGCTTCTGCTTTAATTTCATACATTTAATTAGGACCACTGAGCCATCTCTAACCCAACCTTTATAAAGCTGTATATATCATAGCAAGGAATTTAAAAAAAAAAAAATTAAAATTAGGAGATTCAGATTCAAGGGATTTGATGAAGTGTTCTTATTCTGACAAACATTATGGAATTGTGCCTGTCCTTGAGATCCTTCTCCCATGAAATTCATTGGATCGAAGTTATTAGTTGCATCTTCAATTTCTTCCAATGTGAACACATGATATGGTGGAAGACCTACTGCAGCTGACCTCATTGTTTGAGGCACACGTCCTGCATAGATTCATATCATCATTGTCTTCGTTAATTTTTTCTTAACATGTAAAAATCAAATAGAAAAACTTACTTGAATCCATGGTTTGCACAGAAGAGCTAGTGACAGACATTTTATCAGCAAAAAATCCATCAAATTTGCCTCCATTGGCTCTTGTTGTTTTTGACCTTTTAACAATGACCAAAATCAACAATCCAAGTAGACCTGTTACCCCAACAACCCCTCCTATAATACCAAGAATTAGGCCTAATTGGGCACTGGACTTCTCCTTTCCACTCTCAACTGGAGGCTTAACAGCTAATGCTTCTTTATGGCAGAATGCAAATGGATGCTGATAACTATAATTTCTACCAGAAAAGCAATTCCTCGAACCAATAACTGTCCTATTTGGAGAACTTGATGCAATACATGAAGGTAATTTCCCTATCAAAAGATTATTAGAAATGTCTACAAATTTCAGCTTAGGATTACAGGAAATATTTGATGGCAGGGCACCATTAAATTGATTCTGGGCTAAATCGAGATATTCAATTGAAAACAGAGAAAACAGAGAAGAAGGGATTGGACCAATTAGTTTATTAGAAGAAATGTCTAATCGCTCAAGTTTATAGAAGTTCTTGATTCCTGGAGGAATGACAGATCTTAAAGAATTGTTACTCAATATTATAGTAACAAGACTGTTACTTAATGAAGGAAAGTTGGAAGCAAAATGGTTATTACCGAAATTCAGCTCTTGGAGTGACACCAAGGTTTTGAGATCTGGAATACTGCCATTCAACAAATTATCAGCTAAAACAAGACTGGAAAGCATCTTTAATGACACAATATTTTGAGGAATTTCTCCATAAATGAAATTGGAACTGACATTAAGTACTTGAAGAGACCAAAGCCTCTTGATCTTTGCGGGCAATGGACCCCACAAGCCTAAAGAAACAAGTGATAACACTTTCAAATATGAAAGTTTTGTTAGAACAGTGAAGAAAGCATCAATAGAGAAGTTCTCGGACAAAGTATGTTGAGAAACTTCAAAACTGAGTGAAGTAATTGGTTTTGGAGTTTGAGATGGGGAAGTTTTGTTTCCAATGATAGTTAATTCAGTTACATGAGTGTTTGAGCAAACAATCTTGAGAAAAGGTGAGGGAGGGAGATAACAGAAGTTGGTCCAGTTTGTCCATCCTTGAAGAACTGAAGGATATTCAAGGAGTTTCTGAACTTGGAAAAGAATTCTTGTTTCACTTGGAGCTAATTGTCCATCTGAAACAGGAGAAAGAATGAATAGGATAAGTAGAGGAAGCAAGAAGCAGAAACAATTCTTGAAATCTTTATTACCCATTTTAATAATAATGAACAAAAATAAATAATTTCAAGAAATTACAAGCTATAAACTTTAGCCAATTCCATGAAAATTCATTTGCTACAAGGACAAGAAATTCCTAACTATAAAGTCTTGAATGGAGAAAGCAAGAGTTCCTTTTACAAGACAAATAAATCAATATATTTTCTAGGGAAAATGACAGAAAGCTGAGAATAGAGAGAAAATGAGAAGATTTGTTTCAACAAAAAGAAGAATTTGGGGAGAGTATTAATTAGAGATCGATGGAAAGTGAAAAGTTGATGGAAAGTGGAAGAATTGTATACAGATTACAAACAAAGCAAGGAAGGCAATCTTGATCGTACGATGAACAGCCACCCATATTAAATTACATACCAGCTTCAAAACCGCACATCGTTCTGACTTTCGGACTTAAGTGAGGCTAAAGTCAACTTGGCTCTGAATTCAAACTACAATAATTGTACAATTAGCGAGAGCCTCGGTTTTGACCACGATTATTATGGTAGACCTGCGAGTATTGTGTATCTCGAAGTCACTCGCCGTTGGCACGTGACTTTCGTGAAGAGTAATCTATAACGAGTAAGTGCTAACTATCCCCTTTCATGTTAGTGCGATCACGAGACATTTAAAATTCCTTTTATGACACAAATGTCACCAATTTGTTGGGTTTGAAAAAACAAGCAAAATGGAAACAATTAAGTTAAATTGTTACCATATTATAGACCAGAAATTAATTTTGAAATTATAGTTAAATTATTTATAAACTTACATAATTTTTAATTTCATTGACACTTTGATTCCTCTGTTTTGAATAAAATAATTAAAATATTAATGGAATCATAAATTATGAATCTTATAATTACTTTTTTGAAAATAAAAATTCTTATATATGGCGAATTTATGTTTTCCCTTTTATATTAAAGCTAAATATATGGTAGTGTGTGAAAGTGAGAGGTTCGGCGGATCTAGTGTCGGTGAGAGAGCTGTCATGTAACTGGAGATTAACTTGGAAGCAGAGTGAATTACTCTAAACTTAATGATATGTGAGTTCTACCATATATATATATATATACAAGATCTCTTCACCTACTGTCATTTTCTGCGTTATGCAGTTTTCCAGCCCTATCTTTCGCAACTTACCGTGATTTGGACATTATTTCTAGAACATTTTGATGCACAAAACAAAATTTTTAGCATCTTGTAAAGGACGAAGGGGACAAAGGTTAAATTCTAACGCGATAGCGAGCAGGTAATTATGGTGTGTTGGCATGATCTTGCATGTGCTGCTACTTTTGCACAGTGCTAGCGCCGGTCCACATAGATCAAACAAGTTAGAAAAAAGGCATATATATATAAGGCCGAAGGTTAGTTTTGGAATTTTAGCATGTCTAAATTTCCCCGCAATAAAATCTAACCATCAATCTAATTATTCCTATCTAATTCTAACGGATACACTAATTACATATTAACTTAATATTTTACATATAAAAAATTTTTTTAAATTTATTTTATAATGGCAGGAAGAGACAAGGGACAAAATAAACTGAGATATCTTCTTTGTTATTGTACTTTGGTATAGCGACAAGGGAATGGACCATTTATGGCATTGAAATGCACATGTATAGAAAGGAATTTTTTAATTATATGACAAACAAGGATTTCTTATAATTAATAAGATGCCTTTCATAATTAAAATATTAAAATATTAATGCACATGTATGGACACGTTAATTATAATCTCACAATAAATTAAAAAAAATTACTTTTGAATTTTATTATTTTAATATTGCACTCTTGATTTTTATTTTGATGCATCAGATGGTTCAACTTATATTATACCTATTAAAAAAACTTTAACTTACACACAAAATAATTTTATTTAATATTTTAATTTATAAAATTATATCGATTAAATATCTATAAGTTGGTTGAAAATTGTAAAAATTATTTTTCTAGAACTTATGCTAATTTCATGTCAAATCAATATTTTATATATATAATAAAAAATTTTAAAAATTATTGTTATCAATGTAGAAAGATATATATTATAAACAAAATACGTAATTTTGAAAAAAAAAAGATTTTTTTTTATTTTGAGGATGTAATAAAATCAAAATAATAAAATTAAAAAAATGAATTCATGTGTAAATGTTTTAGGCAAAACACGAAGCATGGTGAGCATTCATTAGTGTTGATATAACAAGTAGCTATAAATGTGCATGCACCAACTAAAGTCATATACCCTAACTTCTGTCATTCTCAAAATTAATTTCACCTTGTGTCCATGTGGCAATCACACGTGTAACAGTTTCCACAAGTCCAAGTACAAAACGCATTATTACAAGCTATCGCTCAACATCAACTAAGTTAATAGTTTAAAAATGAGTTAATGAAGATATCAACGTTAAAAAAAAAAAATAATTATAATATTTTTAATATTATTTAAAGTATGATGTTCTTATTACTGATTATTTTATTAGCGTATCGCTAAAAAAGATTTAAGATGATGCTTTAAGTTTAACAGTGACAAGCTTACTATCCTCCAGGAGCGATACTCGCATCTGGGTCAACGTTGGGCCTTAGGATTTAGTTTGTAATTGAACCATGGGCCTGGTTGTTGAAACATATGGGGCAGGAAACTTTCCCAACCCATGAATTTTAAAATTGGATTTTTCGGGCCGGGCCCACTTGTAGCTCTTGTCTCGATTTCTAGCAAGAAGTCGGCTTAGGGTAACTCTATACTCACTAAAGTATACATTTAAATTTCTACTAAGGGTTGTTTGGATCGATAGAAAGTGAAATTCACAAAACTTCTTTTTTGTTTTACTGTCGTTTTATGGGCTGGAGGTAGGATTTGGCGGGAATCTCTTATGACTATGAGTGGCTAGGTACTAAATATTACTCCCACCATCTTAAAAAAAGAAAAAAAAAATTCATTTTTGAGTGATTATTCTTTTTACAAATATAGATCGTTTTAAATATTTTAAAGAGTAAAAAAAGATATTTTTTAAATTTTACTCTTATTTACATGAGATAAAATAACTATTTTTAAAATTATTTTTGATTTTGAGATAAACATAATTTAATTAAATCATTCTTAATTTTATTATAATTTAGAGAATTAATTTCGTATAAAAATTTTAAACAATTATATTTTAGCACAGAGTAACAATTCCTCGATGGATTTTCGTCCCTCTTTAACCATGGGGCCTACTTGAACAACCACATGTTTCATATTTGTGACGATCAATTTCATTGGAGAAAGACCCAACAACGCAAAATAGGGATCGGTATTTCTTACGCAGATAAAATTAGTTGGTGCAACAAAATTATCTTAAAGAACCTACAAATAATAGGTACCAATTCTGGCACTATTAAAAAAAAAAAAAAAAGAAAAGTAGCATATAAAAATTTCTTATCCACACAATAGTTTGCAGATAAGAAAAACAAGTTAAGCATTTAGAAGCCGACAGCTGTTCAGTTAATGACACTTAATTATTTTGAAAGCTATGATTAACTATTTTGCTAAGTCGTAAATGGCCAGGTGTTAACTACCGGCAACCACCGCATCGTTTTCATTTTCTTGTCACCACTAACCACCAAAAATATAACTATTCTTGACCACTGTTGGGCCCTAATGTCTCTTTACTTATTTCTGTGGTCTCCGTGCCCTTTATTTTCCTGGGCCCTGATTCTCAGCTACCATACTACGCCGTTTAAGGGATCTTCAAGGTTTTCTACTTTTCTGTCTAGTCTCCCTCTCCAGCAAGTGGACAACGTTTGTTACTGTGTCAAGACTCAAGACTAGAAAGAAAGAGAGTGAGAACTGACATAAAAGGAATCTGCTAGTGCTAGGTACATTTTTATTATTATTTTTTTCTATATATATATATATATATGTGTGTGTGTGCTTATTTTTTTGTTCTCCACTGTTTGTTTTTCTTGTTTCTTTTCGTTTTGTTTTTAGGTCTTTGGATACTTAGCTACTTTTTCTATTTCCCCGTATGTTTTGGTTATCGGCTTGTTTGCTCAGTTACTTGTAACTTCTTTTGTTGTTTACTCTGCTTGCTCGGTAGCTGCCAACTTCTTTGTTAGGTTTCCGAATATTAGAATACTGCGTTTTCAGGTAATGCTTAGATCGAAGCTACTTGCTCGGTTTCTTCAATGTGCTTCCTTTCTCTTGATTCAAGCAAGTTTTGGTTTCTTCGTTTGCGTCTGTGTGTGTTTTTATTTCTAGTGACTATGGATTCAGGTTTGCGTTATTTTTTCGGTTCCATTGTGAACATTTTTAGTTTATACTAAGTTTGGGATTTCACTGGAGGGATTTGATTTTTCAAGTCTATTTTTTGTTTGGTAAGTGTCGGTAAGGTTGGTTATTTAATTTGAAATTTATGTCTTTTAGCTATGTACTTAAATGCAAGTGCTTGATGTTGACTAGATGTAAGCTACATTGTGATGTTTGGATGTTATTGACATTCTCTCATTTATAATAGTGCAGATTTATATATTTTCCTTTTGGGGGGTTTTAGAACATTTATCCTGTTGGAATGGGAAAGTCTCCGGGGAAATGGATCAAGTCTATTCTTCTAGGGAGGAAATCATCAAAGTCTAAGCTGTCGAAACAAAATGATATTTTGGTAAGTTATTTACTTTAGTACTGTACTGTGATTATTTTCCTTCTTTCTTTCATATTTGATATATCCTAACTCCGCTGATTTAGTAACACATTTTTGTTAATAATATAGACAAATGCTTAGCTATTTTGACTATGAAATAGGCAATGATCTGCAAAATACATGAACTTGAGATTCATCTGTTACCCCTTGAGTTAAAGTATTTATGCTCTGTCTTCTCATGAGTCATGAGGCTCTTAGGTTAGCTCAATGCATAGTTATATGAACTTACCTGTGAGTACCAACTAAACTAGATATATTATTATCATGCTATCATAATCATCAACCAAAGAACAGACTGAAAGTAAGAAGGCTTATTATCATGCTTCATGCAATATTTTAAGGTGTCCGATAATTCCAAATTCTCTAATCCTGATTATGTGGTCAAAATCCACACAGCTTACAATCTCTCTAATCCTGATTATGTGGTCAAAATCCACACAACCTACAATTTCTCTTATAGAAAAAACATTAATCTGCAGAGATGTGGAATAAGTTAAACAAGAGTAAAGAAAAATAATGTCCTGATGGCTTCCTAATTGTTATGTTCAGAAATCTGCCAATAACGGAGGGATATTGGTTTCTTCTAAAGCACCTCAATCTGATATAACTGCGGATCATTCAACAGTTCCACAACTGGCTCCTTTGGTTGGTGTCGCAATTGGAGTGGATTCTGAGAATGTAGTAGCTGCTAAGTTGCCAAATGAAGGGTTTGCTTCTCTTGGTGCACAAGAAGATAAGAATGCAGAAGAAGGCACAAATTTGGATTCACAAGAAGATCATGAGAGAATCAGGCATGAAACAGCTGCCACAAAGGCACAGGCAGCTTTTAGAGGTTATCAGGTAATCTTCTCTCATCATGCTTGCTATTAAAATTTTTGTGTTCTCTTATTATTTTGTATTTTGAAATTTTAATTCACATTGATGTTTTGCTAATTCTTAGTAATGATATATTAGCGCTATGCTATAATTGCCTGTGAATCAACCCTCCACCGTGCTTGCTTGTGATTTCAAATCCTTTCATCCACTTGTATCATATATTATCAAGAATGACAATCTGTGGGAATATGCAATAGAAGCTGTTGGATTGAATCTTTAACAACTCACAGCATCATGCTATATTCTTCCTCTCTTTTTCTTATTGGGGATTGGGACCATGAAATGAGCCTTTGTCATTATAGACTAGGTTGATCTTTTTTATTTCTTAGTAATGGGAGTTGTGGGCTCCAATTTTCTTCAAAACTCTAGGACATGAACATGCTACTAGATTTTATTTGGATCTGGTAGCGCACAAGCTATACAAAATGTTTGTCTCTAGTGCATGTGTATATTTATAACTAACAAGTAAATTGTTAAAAGTTCTATACCTCTTTTATTCATATCCTTTTATAATTGTGGGTTCTCTTTAAGAATTTATGTGCTTGAAACCTTCTGCTCGCTTTAATTGAGAGAGAGGCAGTGAAAATATAGATTTGCATCCATATTCTCTTGTATTAATCAGCAATTTGCTTTGAACATATAGCCTCTTACACTGAGAATAAAGAAGTGAGCCTCTGAATAGTTGAAATTTAAAGTCACACTGGTCAGCTTGCTACTGACTATTGAGTACCACATGGCCTGGTGGGGTCTGAGCGTCTTCAGTTGCATACCTGCATGTATAAAGTAATATGGTCATCAGTTGATCTCATCACACTGATAAGTTTCTGTCTATGAGCTATACAGGAAGTAAAATTCAGTACCATTTTGCAGATGGTTTTGCTGGTCAAATGTATGCCATGCCTCGGTTATTTAATTTCTAATATATACTGTACTTTTGTTGTTTTGACATCTCTGCAAGTTTTACCTTCTGTGAAATTCCTGTTATTGACATGAGTTATAAATTTATGCTTTGTGGTCTATGGCTCTATGCTTTAATTTAGTGATATGTTTGTGAAGGCTCGGCGTGCATTTCGATCACTTAAAGGCATTATAAGGCTACAAGCACTTATCCGTGGTCACTTGGTTAGAAGACAAGCTATTGCTACCTTATGCTGTGTGTGGGCAATTGTTAAACTTCAGGCACTGGCTCGTGGTAAAAAGATTAGACGTTCTTCTGTTGGGATTGAAGTACAGAACGCATGCAACCTGGGAAAAATTCAGGTGATTTATTGAACTTTGATTCGATGTGGTCAAATTTGAGTATTCATGTAGGATTAGATAGCTGATTTTATTTAATGCAATTAATTCTGGAAGTTGCTAAATTTTTTTAATTAATGTTTTGTGATATCAGGGCACTGTATGTTCAGATTCTTCTGGAATATGTACCTCTACTCTGTCAGAGAAGCTGATAAAGAATGCGTTCACTGTGAAGGTGAGATCCACTAAGCATTGTCTCATATGAAAGTGGGTCTGTGTTGATTAGCTTCCTCTTGAGATTGCTTATTAGCTCATCTCTTTGTTTATAAACTAAGGGCATCCAAAATTGTCATATTAATTTTTAAGTTCATCTGTTTTGTCTTAAGTCTGTTTGCAGACATCATGCTTGTTGTTTCAATTTCACGAGCTTCTGAATACTTCCATTCAATCTCTTTGAATTGGCTTCATATAGGATTGATAACATCTTCTGTGAATATTTGGGCTTCATACAGAAAAAAAGTTTAAATGCCAGGTTGCATTGCCTAGACATGTTATATCTGCCAAATCAAACATGTGTGGCAACAACTAAGCATGGTTAATAAGTGAACAAGTTGTTATTAAGATTGTAATTTTTTATTGAAGATGGGGGTGGAGCGGTGTGGTTGGGTGGGTTGGTTTGACTGCATAATCATATTAATTTGAAATAGTTTAGCCTCTTGTCTCTATTTGTTTTTTCAAATCAATATCCATTTGATTATGTGCTGTCCTGAAATCTAACTTAGCTATTTACAGTACTGAAAATAAGATGAAAAAACTCATATAGAAGGAACTGGCAAGGTTCTTTATCATCAAATATGTAAAATTGTTAATGACTGATAAATTTTTTGTTAGCTTTTGGCTTCATCATATGGTTCAAGACCTCTAAGTCTCCAATATAGTCCCGAGGAACATAACTCATCTAGGGAATGGCTTGAGCGCTGGACAAAATTACGGTTCTGGGAATCGTATGCACAGCAAAAGAAGAATGCTGAGAATGATATGGTTCAAAAAGTAGAAACTGGGCAAGGCAGGCGAAAACGAAGTGTACGGAAACTATCCCATGCTAATGCTGAGAACAGTTCTGGTCATTCAAATAAAGATTCTGAAAAACCAAAACGCAATCCAAGAAAACTTTCAAGCCACCCAACAGATTCAGTTCAGGAACAATCTCAAAATGGAATTGAGAAAGTAAATCGCAGTACAAGAAAAGTTTCTGATTCTACAAAGGAGGCACGTGAAAGATTAGATGTTGATAATGGGAAACCAAAGCGCAGTGTTAGGAAGTCATCTACTGTCACTTCCCCTGAAGTTCGAGAGAGCACTAATGATATGGTGGTTGCAAAAGCATCTAATGTTGATGCAATTACAAAACTTCCTGCTGTAGCTGGTCATGTGGGCGCATTACAGGAGCACCATGATTTGGACTCACAGCCTATGGGAAACAATAGTAAACTTGAGGATATTCAAGAGGTAGTTAAGCAATTAAACCATGAGGAATATGATACAGGCAATGAGAATCAGAAAATCAGTGATAGAAGAGCTTCATTTCCTCTAAATATTGAGAATCAGGAGAATGGAGTTCGTAGTACACCAAAAGTGCCTAGCTATATGGCACCCACTGAATCTGCAAGAGCTAAGCTGAGAGGACAAGGATCCCCTAGATTTTCTCAAGATGCAATTGAGAATATTGGTATTACCAGAAGGCATTCTCTGCCATCTTCTACCAATGGCAAGTTGGCTTCAATGTCTCCACGAGCACAAAAACTGGTCAATTCTGCTGGCAAAGGAGGGATGAGAAGTGACAGATCTCTATCTGGTTCCAGAGATGGTTCTGGTATGAACCTTTGAATCAATATGTTTTTTCTTTTACCTATTTGCATTTATGGTCTGGTCATGTATCTGGTATCTGTTGATTGTTTTGTCTCATAATATGCAAATTATTTGCTTTAATGGAAAATTTGTGCTGATATATATAGATTTATACATGAGTTTCAATTTGTTGTTTTATCCCTTGCGTTGCATTATTCATAATATTCAATTTAAGGGACTTTCCTTATTAACCTTGCGATGTTTTTTAAAAACTATAAAATCTGTTTAGAATTGTTAGGTTAAAAAAATGCAATTTCTGTTCTATTACTACTCATCAATTATTATATTTTGCCAGTTTCAGATAAGGCGGTTAAAGCAGACTGGAGGAGGTGATTTTGCATGAGAAATGCTCCATAGGGATGTTATACTGCAGTTCAGGTAAAAGAACAAAGAAAATGTGATTTTTTTACCGTACATTCTGCAAGCTAGATGATAATTCTCTTAGGTTTGTTAATCCTGTTTATGTAATTTTCATAGTAATTTTGAGCTGGGGCATTATGGTGTTGCATATTTAAAGGTCATTGTTTATGGGTTGCTCTTAATTCCCTCATGCTGTGTAACTCTTTTTTCTTTTTCCATGTACTGATTCTCCCACAAAACCTGTAATTTTTTGCTTTGGTTCTTGAAAAGTGGAGAGCTACCCTAGTCTAATTGGTTAGTCTTATTTCCGTTTTGATGTTTTCGAGTCAGAATGAAGGGTTTGACATTTATATTTCAATATTGTGCTGCTACTCATTTGGTCTTTTGCCTGTGTTAACATTGATGATATTCAATCAAATGGAACATTCTAGTACAGGAAAAATGCAATGTTTTCTTTTTTTTTTTTTTTTGGTTTAAACGTGAGATATTCAAGAGGGTAGTTAAGTGCTAATTTTAAAAACCATGTGACGGAATATGATTAAAGGCAATGAGAATCAGAAAATCAGTGATAGAAGAGCTTCATTTCCTCTAAATAAGATTTCATGAGCGCAATCTAGTGAGTGAGAAATGGAAGTTCGTTAAGCTACACCAAAAGAGAGTGTGCGCATAAAGCTAATATGGTCACCCACTGAATCTGCATGATGGCTAAGTGTGCGAGAGGACAAGGATCCCTACTAAGATCTCTTGCTTAAAGATTGCCAATTTTGATGAACTTTATGGTATTACCAGAAGGCATTCTTCTGCCATCATTCTACCAATGGCAAGTTGGCTACAATGTACTCCGCGAGCCAACTAAAAAAACTGGTGTCAATTCTGCTATTTGGTCAAAAGGGTGGATTGTATGAGATAGATGACTAGATCTCTATTCATAGATGTTCCTCAGATGAAGATGGTTCTGGTATGAACCTTTGAATTCAATATGTTTTTTCTTTTACCTATTTTGCGATGTTATGTCTGGTTCATGTATGCTAGGATATCTGTTGAATTGTTTATTGAAACTTCATTATAATATGCATATTAATTTGCACTTTTAAATGGAAAATTTGTTGCTGATATATAAGATTTATAACATAGAGTATTCAATTTGTTGTTATTTATCCCTTGCGTTGCATTATTCATAATATTTCAAATTTAATATGGGGAATCTTTCTATATTTAACCTTTTAGCGATGTATTTTTATAAAACTATTAGAATATGTCTGAATAGAATTGATTTAAGTTAAAAAAAATGCCAATTTTCTGTTTATATTACTACTCATCATTAGTTATTATATTTTGCCAGTTCTAGATAAGGTCGGTTTAAATGACAGACTGGAGGTAGTGTGAATTATTGCATGAGATAAAGTGCCAATCTCATAGGGAATGTCTATATACTGCTCAGTTCAGGTAATAAGTAAACATAGAAAATGTGATTTTTTTTACTCGTTACAATTCTGCATGCTCCACCGCTGATAATTCTCTTAGCGTTTGTTAATATTCGCTGTTTCATGTTAAAATTTCATAGTAAATTTTTGCAGCCCATGGGGTCACTTTATTGGTGTTGTGTATATTTACAAAAGGTTCATTGTTATCTAAGGTTGCTCTTAAGCTTCCAATCATTAAAGCTTGTGTTACTCTTTTGTCTTTTTCCTATGATACTGATTTCTCCCAACAAAACCTGTAATTTTTTGCTTTGGTTCTTGAAAAGTGGAGAGGCTGTACCCTAGTTTCTATAATTGGTTAGGTACTCATTATTTCTCCGTGTTTGTATTGCTTTTCTTTCAGAGTTAGAATGATAGTGTGGCTTGATAACATTTAAAATACTATTTTCAGATATTATAGCTTGCTACTCATTTGGTCATTTTGCCTGGTGATTTCCACATTTGAATATGATATTTCAATCAAAAGTGCGAACATTCTAGTTTACAGATGCAAATAAATTTGACCAAAATATGTTCTTCTATACTTTTTTTTTTTTTTTGGTTAATAGAGAAGGACAGATGTTGTGAGTTTGTCCAGGGTGAGACATAATGTCGGAAGGACCAGCGCTCTAGGTCCTTTTATATTCCTTTTTAATTCTTTTTATTTTTTTTATATAAATAAATTTTCTATGAATCCTATTGCCTCCTTCCCAGCTGCTTGAAAACGTGCGAAACCAGATCCCTGTTCCGGTGCCCATGTTTGTGATGAGGTTGGGAGCAATTTTTGATATAATCATCATGGTGTATATATGAAATCCAAAGGTAGTGCCTGTATAGATACAAATTAAATAACTTGACAATTCCTTTAATTTTATGTATCTTTACCTTTAGTCCTTGAAGGTCATAGACAGAACCCTTAGATTCTCCTAAAACAAAAACAACTTAGAGGAAAACCTAGAACACCGCTTACATCCTTCTGTTTTATAGATAGGGTAGAAGAGACTACCGGTTTTACTCAGTGATACAGAGTTAGAACATTTATTGGTTTGTTGAAAGCTGACTTTAATTTTGTATCGTCGTTGTCATGTAAACATCTTTCATTTTTCACACAATAATTAATCTCAGTACGTTCATTTTCAATCTCTCTAACTCTTAAATATTAAGTTTCAGTATTTAGGTGCGCAATTTAATGATTGTATGTTAAACCGAAAATCGTCGAATTGCGATAGATACTATTTGCCCTGCAATGCATGTTTATTTTTTATTTCCTAGCACTAAATTTATGGTTTTAGGTGCAAACCTAGTTTTGGAGAAAAAATCCATAGTTTTTTTTTTTTTTTTTGGTTAATAGAGAGGACAGATGGTTGTGGTTGTCTCATAGCAATGGACGGAGACCAGCGCTCTAGGTCCTTTTTTTTTATTTTTTATTTTTTTTATATAAATAAATTTTCTTACTATGCCTCCCAGCTGGACCAAATCCCTGTTCCGGTCCCATGTTTGTGATCAGGTTGGGCTTTGATAAACACAGAAATGAGGTTCTGTATAGATACAAAATCTGAATTTATTAGTATTTTCCTTGTCCACAGGGTTCATTAGACAGTAACCCTTAGATCTCCTAAAACAAAACAACTTTAGAGGAAAATAAACACCGCTTGACATTCCTTCTTGTTTTTTGTAGTAAAAGACTCGGTTTACTCTAGAACAGGTTAGCATTATGGTTTGATAAAGCTGATAATTTTGTATCGTCTGTCATGAACATCTTTTCATTTTCCCAATAATTACAAGCTCATTTCATCCCTAATCTTAATATAAGTTTCAGTACAATTGTCCCATTAATTTGTTAAACGAAAATCGTCGAATCATGAATTTTGCAATGCATGTATATTTTTTATTTCCTAGCACTAAATTTGGTTTAGTGCAAATTTTTGGGAAAATCCAAGTACATGAGTGAACTGGAAAATTGAAATTGAAATTTGGAAAGAAGAAAAAATAACCTATTATAAAAAATAATAAGAAGAAAAGCGAACTAACCTGTTTTCATATACTTAAAAAAAACAAAACACTCTAACAAAATTGGATCCCGATGGAGCCCAATGATAAGGCCCATGTATTGGATGAAGCCCCGTTTTCCGGTTTTCATGTGTTCTGCCGCGTTTATTAAACGAATATCGCCTAGAAAACGACTTTCCAGCTGTTTACTCTTCTAGGTTAAACGACTGGAAGTAAATAAAGACCAGTTAATCAAGAAAGAAAAATAACCTGTATTTTCCAGACGACAGGTTAGCTCATAGCACGACTGATTAGCGTTGTTCAAAGGAAGGTTGTATTTTAGTATAACTAAATGCATTTTTGGGTAGGCCCTCGAAAAATCAGCGTTTAGGTTTTGTACTCTCAAATCACAATGGTAACAAGAAAAAGCTCCGACGGGAGAAGTTTGCTTCACGATAGACATGAGAAACCATACAGAGCTTGTAATTACCTGATGAAGGCCACCTCTTGGAAAATAAATTTCAGAAACTAAATTAGCCGCAAATGAAGGTGTCATCAGAATCAACCTCTAACCTCTTAATTCCTATACACCAAACGAATATTTTGAAGATAACAATTAAAATAAATTAGATCTCAAACATTAATTTCCTAAAATAATAACTAAAAAAGAAAAATCTAGAGATAATAGTTATCTACAGTACTCTTAACAATAGCTACCCTCTTCCTGCAAGACGAACATTTTTAACCAGCTGATTGAGTAATGAGTATCAAATCATGCTTAATATATTATTATCGTTATTATTGTTATTATCATTTTTTAATAACTTTCTAAAAATGACCCTTTGCTGATCCGTGGCCATAGCAAATGTAATACTCCTTATTTCTTGGTTCTTGCTCATAACAATTGGCAATAACAAAACTTGGTAAACCCTAAAATCGCCATGGCTACACATGTAAAAGGATAAGATTCATGATATATAAACTTTAAATATGCAGTACTCACAGTTTACATATAATGTATAAGGTTCGAAGAATTCAAATCCATATAGCTCCTCCAGGGAATATATGTCAGGTAACACCCGGAGTTCCCCCAAACACTTCAGTAGGGTTAGCATAAGAAATGATTAAACCCTTTACTTAAGGGTATAGAATAACCCCAATGAAGCGGTCAGGGGAACTCCAGGGGACAACTGACGACTTCTTTTTCTTTAATTCTCTTTGTTTTAATGTCTTCTTGGTTAGGCAATGCATTTTCCATCTATTTATAGCCGCGTCGTTGAAGGCTATGGCTATCTCTCTCCCTTTCTTTCTCGTGTTGGATTTGATAGGGGACCATAAAAGAGACCCGATATACTCACGAAACTGCTAGAATTTATGAACCTGGTCTGAATTTCAGACAGTGTACTTCTGTGAAGCGGAGAGAATAACATGCACTCAACTAAGTGGTCACAACAGCTCTCCATACCATGTCTGGTAGTATTAAAATTGTGTCATGCTACGGTTAATATATTTACTCAAACTGTGTCAGATTCCAGGATTTTACATATACAGGGGCAAGATTCGCAAGAACATGCTCAAGTAGTCAAGTGGCCCCAAAGCTCGGTATTTTAGGTATAGCAAATCATTCGTGATTACGAGCTATTAGAAACTGCAGTTGGGTCACTGTTCTTGGAATGGCGTTGAAAACAAAAGGCTGGAAAAAGATTGATAGAGTAGAATATAACCACTCACACCTTTGCACGTATTATTCCCCATCTTCAATTTACTCCACATTTCTGTCTAGGTTCACTTCCTCCACTTTATTTCCGTAAATTTGTCTCATATTTCACTGAAGTTAGACTTGCATTTGCATTTGAATACAATTAAGGTTAAGATGAACTTTGACTTAATGATGTTAGAGTCACCTTTAAAGTATAGGAAAATAGCACAGTAATCTAATCACTGATATTTGTTTTCACATTGTTTAAATCAGTTGCATCCCTTTCTTTTGAATTGAACTGTCAATGTAAAAGAAAATTTATTAAAATTTAAGGTTGTTTTGGCAAAATTCTTACACAGTTTGGAAGGTTAATGTTATATTGCAAAATAAGTTCGTGGGACCAAGTTGATATGATTTAACAACTAGTATTTGTCCCATTGTCTTTATAAATTTAGTTATTCTAGTAAATAGTTGGATTAGTAGAAATAGATTGTATTCTTAGTTGAACGTTACCTGCAAAATTAAGGATTTAAATTCTAAGCACACATTATTAAATTTACTATTCTTTCATAATAAAAAGATACTAAAAAAAAAACATTTCAATTGGTGAATTGAATGATAGAATATTAACTATTTTATGGATTTATTAGATTCTTTTATTTAGGGAAGAAAAATATGATATATAGAAATCTATAAAGAGAAATTTCTCATTTCTTTATGCTTTTATTATGGATGAAATTTAAATGCTCAATTGTATTTAAAAAATATTTTTAAAATATATTGATCTTGTTTTCAACAAAATAATTAAATGTGCAATTCTATGAATTTCACATTCTATTTTGCATTTCATCATTTCACACGAGCACCAAGGATTGTTTTTCTTTGGTGCTAAAAAAGATCACGAAAAAATAAAAAATCCCATTAGCTGATTTTCGAAACCCAATTAGACCGGCCCAGAAATCCCGCAGTGATTTCCCCTTGTGCCTTAACTCTCGGCTTTGGGTGTTGCTGGGCCGGGCTAAGGCCCCTTCTTTACGTGAATTCAAAAGGGTGTTAACGTGCATCACAATTTGGGAGCCGAAAGATATCAAGCTCTCTTAAATGATACCAGAAGCTATTGGCTCCTTGTTACACTACTGCTCCAAAATCAAAGCATTGAGGCATGGCCTTTACCTTCATGCCGCTGCTTTAAAAACTGGTATGCTATCTGACGTTGTTGTGTCCAACCATGTTCTAAATATGTATGCAAAATGCGGCAAGATCACTTATGCTCGCCAGCTGTTTGATGAGATGTCTGAAAGAAACCTTGTTTCTTGGTCAGCTATGATTTCTGGTTACGACCAAGTTGGACAGCCTTTATTGGCATTTGACTTGTTTTCTCAAATGCGGCTTGTGCCCAATGAATATGTACTTGCCAGTGTTATTAGTGCATGTGCTAGCCTTATGGCATTGGTTCAAGGCCAACAAATTCATGCTCAATCTTTGAAGTTTGGCAGTGCAACTATTTCTTTTGTTTCCAATGCACTCATATCAATGTACATGAAATGTGGTCAGTGTAATGATGCTTTATGTGTCCATGATGAGGCATCTGAGCTTAATGCTGTCTCTTATAATGCTTTGATTGCTGGATTTGTGGAAAACCAGCAACCTGAGAAGGGAATTGAAGTTTTTAAACTGATGCACCATAAGGGTTTTGTTCCTGATAAATATACTTTTGCTGGGATGTTGGGAATCTGCAACAGTTCTGATGATTTTTGGAAAGGAACACAATTGCACTGCCAAGCGATCAAACTTAAAATTGACTCTTCTGCTTTTATTGGAAATGTGATAGTAACCATGTACTCAAAGTTTAATTTGATAGAAGAAGCAGAGAAGTCCTGTAGAGTAATTGAAGAGAAAGATTTGATTTCATGGAATACCTTGATCACTGCTTGTTCTCGTTGTAAAGATTATAAAAAGGCTTTAAGTGTTTTCAAAGAGATGTCAAATGAAAATTGCGTGCAGCCTGATGACTTTACATTTGCCGGTGTCCTTGCTGCCTGTGCTGGACTCGCATCAATACGGCATGGGCAGCAGATTCATGCTAATATGATCAGGACAAGACAGTACCAAGACGTTGGAGTTGGTAATGCCCTTGTCAACATGTATGCCAAATGTGGTTCCATTAGAAATGCATACGACACATTCAGCAGGATGCTCCATCGCAATCTTGTTTCATGGAATACCATCATTGCTGGATTTGGAAATCATGGGCTTGGTGTAAATGCCATTGAACATTTTGAGATGATGAAGACTCTGGGTGTAAAGCCAGATTCTGTTACATTTGTTGGATTATTAGCAGCTTGCAATCATGCAGGGCTGGTGGAAGAGGGCCAACTTTACTTTAATTCTATGGAAGAGACCTATGGGATTTCCCCTGATCTAGAGCACTTTTGTTGTATTATTGATTTGTTGGGAAGGTCAGGGAGATTAAAAGAGGCAGAAGAGTACATGAAAAAACTTCCTTTTGGACATGATCCTATTGTTTTAGGGAGTATGCTTTCTGCAAGTCGGCTGCATGGAGATGTTGTTATTGGAGAGCACTTAGCTAGACAGCTTCTAAAACTTCAGCCTGTTACTACCTCACCTTATGTTTTATTGTCAAACTTGTATGCTGCAAATGAAACATGGGGTGGTGTTGCTGAGGCATGGAAGATGTTGAAAGGTAGTGGATTGAAGAAAGAACCCGGCCATAGTCTGATTGATGTAATGGGAATTTTTGAGAAGTTTAAAATGGCAGATTTTTCACATCCAAGGATTGAGGAAATAAAAGACATACTCGAAACTTTGAATTGGGCAGTGAATGAAGTTTCTTCAAATCATTGAAGGTAGTAACTAGATTACTTTTTATTTTCAGTTGCAACTCTTCCTAAACTTTTATGTGCATCAAAATTGAATCTATCACGAGCTTTGGTATGAAAAGGGCCCAGTCTATGTATGTCTACAGATCATTAACATGAGATGTGTCAATGAATGAACAAGATACCTCCTCAAGTTGTAGATAAAAATATGGATCCTTATTTGCCCCTGAAGTACTGGGAAATAGAAGCCAGGTGGTTGGTGTGCTACTAATGATGGTTCTTTGATCCTGAAACCAGTGGAGTTGATCAAATGATGCCTGCCTGCCAAGTATATGTGCAGCTGATATTGGTTAACACTTCATGTAAGTTTTGCTTTCACTTGATGGAGCTTCAAACTAACACTGGCTTTTCTTACAACACTTATTGAATCTAAACCGAGCTAAAGTTTCTGCTTCTTCTACTTCTTTATCTCTAGTCTCAGCGTGCTAATACTTAAATTCATGACAGCTTTTATTTCTATTGTTCAAGTATCTCTGATCCTTTCTCAGGGAAGTACTCCTTTTTTTTGGTTTTTTTATCAGAAGAAAGTAAAACAATGCTGAAGGTAATCACGGGAGTCTTTACAGAGGTAGATAGTGAACTAAATCTACATTGGCAGTCAGTGCCAGAGACTTCTCTAGAGTTTTCATCTCTAATCCAGAAGTAAAATGGTGGTGAGGAATCTGATTAACCGCTCATTTCTTTCTATGTTATGTGCATGAACATCATTCTTAGAATCTTTATTTTGGTGGAATGTTTTGCATGATCACATCTCTTCTTCTTTGTAATTCTTTTTTCTTTTTCTCTCTTTTTTTTTTTTTTATTGAACTTGACTTTCTGATATTTTAAGGTATCAACATGTCAAGAAGTTTTACACTTTTCCCCCTTCTTTAAGAAGTTGACTTTTTTCTGCATTATTGTCTGGAATGGACATCAAGGCTCTGACTTCCATTACTGACAGAATAGAGGCAGGGATGCTATTGTGACCACTTAAAAATTATTAAAAAATGTTTTGGCAAGACATCAGTAACATACTTATTTACATAAATCATCATTCAGTTTATATATACATCAATTGCAGGGCTGCTCGCCTTCCAACATGCCTCCATCATGAGGAAGCATGTTGGTCTGCCATTCGATTGCTCCGCTTTGAACATCTAGCTTTGCGGCACTGCCTCAGAAAGTACAGCATTGAATAGTTGGTAATGCTTCTTCAAGTGATGATACTCCAACATAAAACCCCCTAATGCACATAAATGAATAAAAACAGAATAAGGCAAAGGAATGTGACATGATGAGATCCCAAGCTGTAAATGCTGGGACGTTCTCGTGAATACCTCATGTCATTTCTTCACTCTCACTAACTACCTTATTGAATTGTTGGCAGGTCTGATCAAGGGTGTTCAACTGGAGCCTCTCATATTCTGGATGTGGATGGATTAGATACACAGGATGTTACGGTAAATTTATTATATGAAAGAACTTGAGAAGAATGCAAGATCTAGGAGCTTGACTAGCCCCATATGTAAAATGTCCCAGATTAGGTGATCAATGCTTGAGGACATGGATCTAGCCGAGTACGCCAAACAAGCCACCCAGCTGACTGAGCGACAGCAGCAGGCCCATAAATTGGAACAATGAAGGGGCTAGTGGCAATTGTTGGGGTTCTTGTCACTGTTAATTGACTGAGGTTCTGCTTCCATATTGGAGCACCTGTAAAACCATTAACAGCATACAATTATTCATTCCATGATGGGAAATAGACTATGCTATTGGCTACTGATGGAGTTAGCTATGTCTTTACCGGCAAAGGAAGTCCATTTTAAATGGGTTTTTTGACTGTCAATCGGTTGATTACCACCTCCTCATAGGCACTTCTTGTTTTGCTGATATCTGCTCTGTGATTTAGCCACTGAAAACACAGGAAATGTTAGAACGTTACCTTTGAAATGAGTTTAATTTGTGTTGACAGGTGAATCAAATGGCTATTGCGTCGACATGGACGGTTTCCCTGTAAGAATTTTTTTATATACAATATAAAAAAAAGAATAATAAAAAGCTATTGCCAAAGCTGAAAATTAGCATAAAGCCATCACAAAAAAGCCAACCATATGTCATGATACTCATGGCCTTAATATTGTCCATTTTTATGAATATTTGAGGAATGCAAAATAAAATAAAATAAAATAAAATAAAAAGGAAGCCATTTCATATACATTCCTTCTAATATATCTAGTCCATGAATGATTTTTGACTTCTATTGGATATGGTGGTGCAACCTAGATAGCTACTTGTTTAGGGGTTTGGATGCCAAACTTGGTTAGAGTATAGGTATTCCTGCGTTCCCTCATCCTAGTCTAGCAAGCCCTTTTCTTCTCAATATTTTTCCATTCAAATGTAATTAATTTGCTGTTATTTTCCTTTCATTTTAATTAAATTAGAAAAAAATTTTCCTCTTCATACAATTTTAGGAAAAAAAAATTTCGTCGTCTGAAACAAAAAGAAAAAGTTATTTGCTGGGATAAAAGGATAGATGATTTTAAGTCAATGAAGTAAAAAGGCAGCTGTGAAATAGGTTAAATTCTCCTGTTGCTGTTGCCATTGCAGGCATCATGCCAAGCGAGAGGTGCCCTATAACTTCTCTGATTATGGAAACTGGTTCCTACTTCCTACACAATACTGCCTTCATCTAGCCTTGTCAAATGGCACCCAGAGTTCCCCCAAACACTTCAGTAGGGTTACTAATTATATTATAAGCAAACGGACATTCCCCCAATGAAGTGGTCGAGGGAACTCAAGGGGACACCTGACTCTTTCTTTCTCTTGTTTTGAGTTCTTTGTTACATAAAATACCCTAGCTTCTGCGTATATATATAGGGAACTGAAGATTAATTGTTGGTATGGGACCGTAAGATGTAAAGACACATTCTTGAATTGAGTTGCTATAGTAGTGAACCTGGTCTGCTTTTCGTATTGAATAAATAGTGCTCCAAATTATAGAATTTAGCCAAGTGGACACGAAACCATTCTCTGCTCGATCCCTTTATTCTCTCTTCAATGTATTTTAACATGATAAATTGAGTTTACCTAAAATTTTCTGATTAATCTTACTAATTAGTTTATTTTTTTCCTCCCTCAGAATTGAATTACTAATTACATGGTATTAGTACCTATCAATTTGCCAAGGTGATAAGGAAAGGCTGGATTAGAGATAGGAGGGAAAAGGTTAGCTTGCTGCCGCATAAATCACATGGTTATGTTATTCTCTCTACCTTGATATCATCCACAGATCCGTCCAGGTTCACTACCCAAACGAAGCTCTGTACTTGTATTTCTCTTGTATATATTCTTTAGAAAAGGACATTAGGGTTGCCAAAAATCGAAAACCCCTTTTACCCAATATTTCCTTTTTTTTAGAACACATAAGATATAAAGTCAGTGATGTTTTTTATTAAAATTATGACAATTTTGATAATACAAAGGAACCCATATATCTCACAAACACTTGACACTAAACAAGCGATTTGAGATTCCGATATATCTCCTCGTATTTTATTCTTAATTAATTAAAAGGTATTTCACATAACCCAGGAAGCAAAGAGTGAAGTGCCTGCAGTTCAAATAGGGTGGAACATCCTTGCCACACCAACTGTGTAACCATTACCAAAGTAAATGCACCCACAGTTAGCTGATACGCCTCCATACACAGTAGCCCCAGAATTATACGACCACTGGATCTTCCCATTTCTTGTATCCATTGCATATACAGGACCATTAGGAGCCACTGATTATAGTGACAGGGCCATGGGCAGTTTCGTTGCTAGGGTTTGCTGTTGACCATATTATTTGGCCTGAGTTTGCATCGAAAGCCACCCATTCTCCGCCTGTTGTCGTGACGTTCGAGGGTGCAAGAGTGAAATTTTCTTTGTTGCTGTTGGCAATATCTGTGTACACCGTCTTACCATCTGTCGCTGCACCCTATTGCCGTCTTCCTTCATACCCGCCTGGTCCTGCTCGCTGCAAAACTCAAAAAGCATTCTGTTATTCAATCTTTCTTTTTAAAGTGTATATATACTTTTAATACTTACTTTGGACCAAACTACATCACCAGTATCGCGATCCAGAGACCAAGCAAATCCACTCTTTTGCACAGCAACCACAATGTCACGTTTAGTACTGTTAGCAACTATGCTAAGTATAATAGGTGCCTCTCCAAAATCAGCATCCAGGTTAGGACCAGGTGGACAATCTGGGTTATTAGGTAGCAAACAAGCAAAATAAAACACATCATATCCACCAAGTTGTCTAGCCCATGCAATCTCTCCTGTGTCAATTTTGAGAGCCAAAATTGAGTCAAAATGGACGTCTGAACCAACGCATTTGTCAGGTTGGGTTGGTTTTGTTGTCTGATTATTTTGTGCCTCTTGACATTTTGTGACCGCAGAAGGAACCCTATAGAGGTTTCCAGTTGCCACATAAACAAGTCTTCTATCTGTGTCAATTGATGGGCTGCTTCCCCAAATTGCAGCTCCTGAATAGCCTCCTAATTTGCTTCCATTATCAGGAACCATATACGTTCGCCATTTGATTTTACCTGTTAGAACGTCTAGCTCTGCCAAGCTGCCTCTAAAAGTGCAGCATTGGTTTGCTGGTAATCCTTCCTTTAGTGATGATACTCCAACATAGAATGCCCTGATTAGAAACAAAAATGGACCATAAAACAAGCATTAAAATTTAATAACAAGAGCAGGAAGTTTGGACTAACCCCCGGTAAAATGTTCCAGATTGTGTGATGATTGCTCGAGGACGTGAATCTAACTCAGTAAACCAAACAAGTCTTCCATTTAATCGATCCACAGCAATAACAACAGCAGGTCCATAAATTCCAACAATCAACTGGTTATTAGCAATTGTAGGAGTTGCTCTTGACACCGTTACATTAACTGTAATTCCAGTGCCATTTAATCTTGTTAATTGACTAAGATTCTGCTTCCATATTAAACCACCATTAAAAGCATCTACAGCATACAAATACCCATTCCATGATGGAAAATAGACTACTCCATCTGCTATTGCTGGAGTAGCAGATATGTCTTTACCAGCAATGAATTCCCATTTTAAACGCAGATTTTTTACGGTTGAACTTTTGATTTTTTCTTCTCCAATTGCGTTCCTTGTGTTTTTTATACCAGCTCCATGGTTTAGCCACTGAAAACACATGAAATGCAAGAATAAGGCATTGAAATTAGGTTAATTTTTTTGGTAATTTTTTATTATTATCACTACTTACAGATGCAAGAGCGTCATCAACCATTGACAATAGACATAATAGAATAAGGATGACCAGAAAACTAATGATTCCATTGTACTTCTGGGCGATCTCAAAAGAAGCCATGCCTTTTCTAATCAGTTACTGGTTAGAGTATAGAGGTCTGCCAACGATCCCCACATCCTAGCCAAATTTACTTATTTAGGCAATTTATTGATATTTTTTAAGAATTACAATGTATTTTTAACGTAATATAACATTGTCACAAACTCAAACTCGAGATCAGATTAACAAATGGCTAAGCCACATTCCCTTAAAAAGAAAAAAAAGAAAATTCATTCCACAAGTTACTGTTTGGTTCATCAGTTCATACCGAACCTAATAGCTAATCAAAAGTGTTCAAAAAGTTTGAGTGGCTACTAAATTTAAAACGACAAAAAAATAAAAGTTTTATATTATAGATAAGGTGATCAAAACATTATCCATTAATTATTGTGAAATGCTAAACATTATATCTAAAATTATTATATAGATTATGTTAGCGAATATTATAATTAATACAAATAGTATTTTTTACATAGTTAAAATGCTAAAAGCTACCTGTCAACCCGGTGGTGGTCTGATTGATTTTCTCACTTACGTGAGGAATGAGAGGTTTCAAGTTTGATTTTTTCAACTGCAGTTGTTTTCACCAATTTGGTGAGCCAAGGGAATGGCTATCATCTCTTGTGTAGCCTACAGTACCTTAAAACTTGTTGCCGAACTTTATCCATTTATCTTTTCCATTGCAAATTTTCAATTTTCTGTTTTTTTTATTTATATATATAATTTTTCCTGATTCTTATCTATGTTAGCGTTTGATTGGTATCTTTCACGTGGAATCTGAAAATGAAAGGCTAAATACAGGTGGAGACGAGAAAGGTACATATAGAATGGCATCCAGCCACTCACTTCAGTATTATTCCTCCACTTACCCGCATTCGCGTCTAGTTTCAATGCTCATTCCTTTATCATCCTCAATATTTTCTTCCACCTGATAGTAAGAACCCTAGCTATAAATACCACAACCATTTCCAAGATTTAACCATATAGCAGCAGTAGTGAAAAATCAATTATCATTGTCCCCAAGAGTTCCCTCGAACACTTCATTAGGGAGGCCTTATTACTATTGTTTATACATAATTAAAAGTTTAACAATCTTCCAACTGAAGTGTTTGGGGGAACTCCTGGTGTCATTTGATACAAACCAGTCAAACAAGGCAAAGGGTTCATATATTTTTAGCTTTTTTCTTTGGAAATTCTCAAAAAGAAAAGAAAAGAGTAGTCGTTAATTCAATCCTTAATTTCTAGAAGACAGACACTCCATTATTGTGAGTATTTACTAATACATCTTGGTTATGTATGTCATTTATTCTTCACAATTTGGTCTCTGTGCACTGTTGATTTCATGTTCATCAATTCTACTTTAGTTGCACTCACTGCATGACCCTAAATTCACACTTATTAGAAGTCGTTTTAGTGTGAATATGAAAATGTACAGATACCAAATATCTATTAAGGTGCAAGTTTTCAACTAATTTGTGCTACAGAAACATTGAAACCTTATATCCAGGCCCAGAGCCTCCCCAAAAAAAGATTTCTGGAAAAAAAAGAGCTATGTTCTTAGTGAAAAAAAAAAATTATTGAAATTTGAGGAAGTGACTGCATGCATATCAACTACAATTAATTAACTCTACTATAATAATCTTATTTTGCTTAGTTGATGCAGTGTATATATATATTTGGGTGGAGCTGAGATTTGTCACAATAAAGCTGAAAGGAATTACTGAAAAAAATTTAGAGCAGCTAACAGAAGCTTTAATTTATTTATGCTTCCTTTATCATTTTTCTGAGTTTTCGGAGGGGGATTAAGTGTGACAATATATAGATTTGTCTTGTATATCTCAACATCAAGAAACCCTAGGACAAGATATACTTCAGCATATATATACAAGTCTGCTTTTGGGCTTATTAATCTAATTACAATCTTGGTTTTAATTATTAGCAATTACAGATAATCTAGTGTGTGTGCATTTTCCTTTTTTAAGCTACAATAGATAATTAACCTATCATAAGTTCATAACATACATTTATTAATATCACTATAAGAATACGATATTAAACTAAATTACAGAACAAGCAAAAAGATTAACAAAGAAAAATATATCGATATATGATTACAATTCAAAAAGATCATCAATTACAATTATACTTTGAAATATGTTCTCATGTTTACAAATTGAGCAAAACCCAAAAATCCAATTAACCCATACCAGAAACTTGATTAGTACATTATGTCTGATCAGTAGGCATCTCAAAACGGCAAATAGGACAATAATGGCTATTCTCCAGCCATCTAAGAATACAAGTACCGTGAAAATGATGACTACAAGGCATGCTTGCACCAAATTCTGAAATTTCTTCAAAACAGATACTGCAATCTTCGCTTTCTCGCAGTTTAACACACTTAAGCAGCCTTGACTTGCGTGCAGTTGGCACCATGCCGTAGTTTCTTGCTTCAAAATCCAATCTTGACTCTGCCAACGCTCTATTCATCTCCTCTGTCCTGTCAATAACGTCGTGAATTTTCTCTACTTGAATCAATAAAGGCAAGGCCTTTCGCTTTTTCGATATCCAAGGAGTCATTGTTCGGACCAAGTCGATTATCGCCGAAGCTAATCTACGATGGTGTTGTGAATCGATCCTTAAACGAGTCAATTTAGAAGAAAGACGTTCGCACACCAGGCGTTCGTGTTTGTTCTTGAAATATTCAATATCAGACCAAAAAGCAACTGTGACTGGTTCGGCGGTAACCCCTCCAAGAATGGTAACTGTACCATCAGGCGATATAAAAATCCTCCGGTGGTGGACTTGGTAGGAGAGATTGAAGAAAATCTGTAGAGATGATCGTCTCCTGCCAGGGTAGTAGAGTTGCTGGGCAGGGATTTCTCCGAATCTAACAGAGAAACGCAGACGCTCCATTCTTTCCTTGTGGTGCTTTGATTTCTTAGCTTGTGTGGGTTTTGAGGGAGGTTTTGTATTATGAAAGTAGAGTTGTTCTTCTTTGGATATATATAAATGTAGCTTACTTGAGTAGAAAGTAGTAGTAATATAAGTAATACCTTGGATCCTGCATTAATAAGGAAATCCTTATCCTAGGCTACTCAGGATTTCCAGCACTTATTACGTTTTAATACTAGTTTTTTGGACCAAACTAACTATACCACCACGTGGACAATCTAGGTTAAATTGATACGAACAATTAATACTAATGCTAATTGAAAATTTAAATGCTACTCACTCCATCTCATTGAAACAATTTGAAATTGCTGAAAGGTTAAGAAAATTATTTAAAAACCTTAATTCAAGAAAAATTTTGCTGAGATCTATCAAAATAAAGTAATCACAAAATTTTGGAGCAATTACCCGAGATTTTCTTTTTTTTCTTCCCTTCTTAGTATTGGAAGGCGGATTTGAACATCAACATGAAGATTAGTGAAAAACCCTAATACAGTTGTATTTCAACATACAAGTTTACTTTGGACTAATTAATCTAATTTATGATCTTAGTTTTAATTAGGGATTATCGATAATCCAGTGATCTTGGTTATAAAAAAGGTTATGCAAACTTGACCCTAAGCCTTTTAAGCCATGGCCCAAAACTAGAATTGGACTGCCAAGTTCAACCCAATCGCATAAAAACATATCACAAGTTTTATAGCAGAAACATATTTTATTCATTCAGTTAGATATCTATATCCTGTTAAGAACTAGCAATATAATAACAACGCTTCTACCTCTGTCTTTAGTCATACAAGGCCCCTAAACCAAACAAATTTTTAAGGAACTATAGTAACGATATAGAACATATGGTCAATGTGATGAGCGAGTATTGGCTGTCTTCTTGAAATCAATTTTATCAACCTTTACTTCACCATCGATTAGTTCATAAACGTAAACCACTACACGCAGGCCATCGATGTCCATGAGAACAAAGCTTGGATTTGTGTCGTAAGTGACGCTACTGTAGGCACCAGTGGCAGAGCCTGGATTTATAACAACACCTCCCTCATGCTTGTAGGCTTTGAACTGATGGGTGTGACCAGTTACTAGGATGTCAACATCCAGTTGTCTCTGTAACATTGCCAGTGAATCCAAATCACCCCATGGAATTACCTTTCGAAGATAAATCACAAAGTATAAGCAAATGAAACCCACGAGCTGAAAGTAAGTTAGAGAATTTTTCACCATTCTAATTATTATGGAGACAACTAGTCCCTAGAACATTTGATCTTATCACTGAAGAACTGGAAATAAAATCCATACATTCAAGTGGCAAGGTCAAGCAAACGCAAGGCATAGACAAATGAAAAAACAAACCTGATGACCATGGCATATTCCAAGCTTAAATTGGCCAATGGTGAGTGTTTTAGTCTCTGGATACCGTGAACCTTCATCATATTCACCACGAGTAATATGCAAATCAGGACAAAGACTCTTCAAATAATCATGTACTTCCTGTTAATGGAAAGATATATAGTTTTAGAAAGAAGGTAGTGTTTCCACGAAAGATGTTTAGAATTTCAAAATCATCCACCATTATCCGTTAAAACATTTGTTGGACCAGAAAATATCTAGAACTAAAATATATGTAGCAGTATCAGAACAAAATCAGGTTAATAAATATCAACCCATAATCTCTTCAAGGTCTCAATAAGAAGCGATAGATTTCATCAGAAGAAGTACAGGGAGGTGAATAGAATCTAGTAGTCCACCATTTAATCACGGGTCAATTCAAATCTAAATTATGATGATTACACAATCATGAACCCACAATTAGAAGATCCAAAGTAAAAAATTATCTGTCAAAGATCCTTAGGCTCATATAAGATTCTGATAGTACAAAGAGTATCCTTGGTGAAACTAACCGTGTTGTTTGAAGTAAATCAGTCGTACACTTGAACAACTATGTTTCTACTGGGGAAAGGCTAAAACAGAAGGCTTCTATAATATTTGGTTCTCCAAATCATGCAATAAATTATTCTGGATGAAATACAGTTTATCAAATAGCCTATACTGAATTAAACATTATCAATATGAACAAATATATTGGAAAAAGTGCAATCCCTAATAGAAACAAGGACCAGACTTTGGTTTTTCAAAGCTAAATTGAGAATCAAAAGGAATTTTAAGCACTTTGACTATCACAAAAAAAATATATATATAATTAGACAATTACCATGAAAAGCATTAACTTTAAGCAAGAGGGAGGAATTAAATCATGTTGATAGCTAGTAATCTGAAGAAATTATTAAGTAAACTGCAAGAAAAAACTGAAGGGCAAATATGTGCAGACTTCGTGAACAAATATAACTAGTAGAATAAGAGGTAATTACTTTAATGCAGAGATTGCCAGTGCAAATAATGTGTTGAATCTTGCCAGGAACAAGCATGGACTTGAACTTTGGAGGCAGATCAGCTGCTCTATGAGGTATGTGAAGGTCTCCTATTGCTAAAACCAGCACCATATCTATTCAAAACTGGTTAAAAAATCGTAAAAATCATCATCACAATCTGCATATATTTAAAAAATAAACCAAACCCAAATCAAATTCTTCAATTTGATCAAAATTCAGAGTCGCCCACATGAAAACTAGTTCCAAGTTTACTCAATTCAATATTTGGCATAACTAAAGAGGTGCCACCAAACAAAAGAAACAAAAGGCATTATAGTGAATATTTTGGGAATTCGAGTTTTTAATTACCTATTGGTCGTCAACAGTTGAATTGAAATTAAGCCGATCAACAGCAGCAACAAACCATGTCAAGAGGCGGGACTTGTCGTTTGGGTCTGGGACACCAAATTCAACTGTGAATAAAAATCCGGAGTCTGTTTTGGATTTATTGGGCTCCTGGTTCTCCTTGGGAACCTATAAATAAAATATAATATAATATGGGTACAAGAAACTGGCGAAAAGTTCAGATTGGTACCAAGAATAAAGTTTTGAGCTTTTTCTAGTCCAATAATTTCTTCATTTGTTGCATATTATAACCTACATCACTTTAATTATTTAAAATATTTAACTAACAATTTATATAGCTAATTTTGAATTTTCTATTAATATTTTTTTTTTTTCATAAAATGTCTCTTTTATCTGATAATATTCCAAAACTATCAACTAATCCTAGAAATTTTTTTTTTAAATACTAATTTATTTGACCACATGATTGGAAGTACTTATTCTACCAAACTATAATATTACCTAAACTCAAATCTAAATAGCATATTAATAAATATCCACTTTGTTCCTACGCCTTTTAATTGATAATTAGCTTTCATAATTCGGTTGGCAAATGGGAAATTGTCTAAGGAAACATGCTCCTGACCCCAACCAACCAGTAGGTTTGCTACTTAGTCTTCTTATTACATGAATTGTAAGTAAACAAAATTTTTCATGTGTTAAAGTTAGTTTAGTTTACCGTTAAAAGCAGTTGATGGGATTTCTTATGGCAAGAAGATCAAGTCTAAATCACATAAAAAGAAAATTTCTTCAAATGCTCTAAAAGGTATATATCTACTGTGCTTTTTTTTTTTTTTTCCATGCTAATTTCTTCTTTTTTTTGTTCCATTCTTGACTTAGTAATGTTGGTTTTATAATACACAATTATGTTATTATTACACAGAAAATCGAGGCAGAAATGAGGAACCCAATGATTTCCCACTCCAAGAGAGAAAGACATCATCGAAATCGCAGAAAGGTTATAACTTTTAATCTTTTGTATTACAAAACAGACATTCAATCAAATTTGTTATATTGGTCTATGCATTTCTTGATGCAGAAAGGCGTGGTAAGGATAGAAAGAATGGCAGTTCCCAGCCAATACAAAGGATTGGTCAGTTTCAAAAGTGGATAAGGAAGAAAAAACTTTAAATGCTTACAGGTTGAACTGCTTTTACCTATAGTGTCTTAAAGTCTGCAACCCAAAAATTTAGAGAGAGGAATTTAATCGGCGAGGGAGGTTTTGGTGATGTTTATAAGGGAAGTATCAACCTTTTGCAGTATGGATGCAGCTAAACCAAGTGATAGTGATGGTTTTGCAATTGCTGTCAAGAGACTCAGAAGTGATAGACCACAAGGCCATGAAGAATGGCTGCTCTAGATTTCTTTCTTATATTAATCTCTGTCTATCTGGAGAATACCTGGTCCATTCACATTCATTTGGGTTCATCTTTCACTATTTCAACAGCACATAAAAATTGCTCGTTTCAGAAAACAATTTCAACCTTAATATCAAATGGGTTTTGTATGTTAATGCACCGGATCGACTGAATAATTCCCCATCCGCATTTTTTCTTTTTCTCTTGCTCAACTTTGAGAATTATGTTTGTTGTGCAGAATGAAATGAAGTTTTTAAGCAAACTGCAACATCCAAATATAGTAAAGCGAGTAAGTTACTGCTGCGAGTGCGAGCATAGAATATTAGTATATGAATATTTGAGTAAAGGAAGCTCGAGGCTCATCTTTTAAGAAGTAACAGAGAAAGATTATACATTCACTTGCTAGTTGCTGTATATATGAATATAATAAATTCGTTTAAACAGAGCATGACACAGAGCTTGACTGGAGGAAAAGAATCAAGATAGCTGTGGGGGCAGCCAAAGGTTTAGAATATCTTCACACTCGCGGGCTGCCAATCATACATCGCGATCCCAAAGCCTCCAATATCCTTCTTGGCTCTGTGAGTTCATGCCATTCTGGTCCGCTATTTGTTCAATTTTCAAGTTTGAGAACTATAAAGTTCACATTTTTTTAACTGGAAAACCATAAAATGGTAAACATTGCAGGATTTTTGAAGCCAAGCTTTCAGACTTCGGGTTGGCAAAGTCTGGATCCGGAGGTGGGAAGACCCATGTTACCACTAGAATACTTGGCACTAGAGGTTACTTCGCTCCTGAATGTGTCGCAACAGGTGCTAAATTTATACTACTGTCAGGAAATCGTTGGCATATTGAATAATTTCCCGTCTCAACATGGCATTTACAGCTCATTTGACCCGTATTGAATAACTTCGCTCCTCAGGGATGTTAGGCTAACATTTATGTGATTTACAATTGCAGGTCATTTGACCCTAAAAACTGATGTCTTCAGCTTTGTAATAGTACTCCTAGAGATCTTATCAGGCTGTGGAGCAGTCAAGAAATATTCAGATGATGCGGCTGGAAATCTTGCAGAAAGGGCTAAACCGCATCTTAGTAACAAGTGGAGACTATACCATGTTATTGACAAGAAACTTAGAAGCACACCGATTAAAGAAGCTCATGATTTTGTCAAGTAATTCTCCAATGCCTCAGAGCAAACCCAAAGACACGGCCATCGATGGCCGAAGTAGTAGCTGATCTAGAGAAACTGCAAGAAAGCATGGATAGCTGCAATACAGCTCAGTTGCATTATTTAGGAAGAAGAAAATGAGATCTAAATCTTTCAATACCTTGAATGAGCAAATATCAGATTCTGTTCTCTTGACAGACATGTTTGATAGAATCACAACTCAGTTCAGACATATAGAAAGAGTCGCCCCATAAAGTGGTGAAATTAGGGGCATGTTCATGCAATCATTTTAATGAGATAGACTATACAATCTTACATCAATTGAACTGGATGAAAGAATTAAAAATGCATGCATTATGCAAAAACACTATTGCCACCTGAGATATAATTACAAGATAATTGAAATACAGATTACCCTGGAAAAAAAAATAAATAAAAACAAAAACAAAAAGAAACAAAAAAAACTACACATCTTCAAGCAGGTGGTGATAATCTGTTGAAATCAAAATTGCAGCAAGATACATGCTCAAATTACATTTTACACAGAAAACATGAAAGCAGATGAAAAATTACAGACATGTTTCTACTCAGCGAACTCGTGGAGATTGCCGGTGGGACAGCAATGGGGAAGCACTAGGCGTTAGATTAAGAGGAGAATGGTGCCGTCTCATTGGGGACTTCCGGACAGGTATCTCTGATTGGGAGAATTTTGCTGCAGTTTTTGGGGACTCAATTTGCTCCAATGTCACTAACACCTCAGACATTCTAGGCCTAACTTTGGCTTCAGAACTTAGACACTGTAAGGCAAGGCTAGCAGCCATATATGCTCCTTTCTGAGGATACTGCCCCCCCAACTTCGTGTCCATTATCCGGAATAATTTTCTTTTGTCACCAAGGTAGGGTTTTGCCCAGTCAACCAGGTTCTGCTCCACACCAACCTTAGTTTTATCAACAGCACGTCTCCCGGACAGAAGTTCAAGCAACACAACTCCAAAGCTGTATACATCACTCTTGGCTGTCAGCCTACCTGTTCAGCATTGGAAGCTTTGTTACATGCATACTCTAGGTTCAGATTCTTGAATGGCTTTGGAATACGTATCCAGCATCAGAATGTAAGAGATTGACAAAAATAGTTTCACAAATAACACAAGGAAAATGGTGGTAGTATTATGGACAAGAACTTCACAGACCTGTAGCAACATATTCAGGCGCTGCATAGCCGTGTGTACCCATGACTTGAGTGGACACATGAGTTCTATCACCAGTGGGGCCTGCCTTAGCCAAACCAAAGTCAGAAAGTTTTGCATTGAATTCCTGTATGCATACCCAACATACTATTTAACATCAGAAACTTAATTAAATCTAATGGGATAATATTATTTTTGCAACCTGTAGACAAATAAATCTCATAATTCATCCCAAAAAAGAAACACAATAAATCATTAGATTTCATGCCCCCTTTTTTATTCAACATACAGCATCTAGTAGAATATTAGAAGCCTTGAAATCACGGTATATGACTTGGGATTTTGCATCATGAAGGAAAGAGAGTCCTCTGGCAGCACCAATGGCCACTTTTATTCGCACTGCCCATGATAATGGCTGTGGCCCTCCTGAAAAGAAAAGAAAAAGGAAAATCAATCAAAGCTCACCCAAGTGTTCTTGAATATATGCTCAAGGAGTTGCAACATATCAAAGTAATTTATTTTAAAGTCTGCTAGTAACAAGACATATCCCTACACAGTCAAGACCTAAATTATATGTTCTAGTAGTATGGAGAGCCACTTGAACTCTGCAAGTGGTACTCCAGCATCTATTGTTTAAAATACTAAGGTAAACCCGTTCATCCAAGTCTATGTTTCATTCACGAGCTGAGATTAGTATGCACATCATAGTTAGACATCCTCATAGACAAATTTTGGGAAATACTGACTGATGACTGCTGTGCAAGTAAGGATGCTTTCCTGGCAAAACTGGAAACTAAGGGGTTTAATTGATCCTCGTTGCTAACATGGTAAACTTACTCTTACGCATAGTTGACTACCTTTTATAACTAAGAACAAACTGCACCATTGAAAAGAAGCATGACAAGAGTGGATAAAGAAAGAAATATTGTGAGCAGAGCAAGAGAAATATTGACTTTTCTAATGATGAATAAGCAGATCTATATCTAGAAAACCTGTGTCATTCCCGGCATGGCAGATCATCACCAAAAAGACCTGCCTAAGATGGCAAAGAAAAAAAGAAGACAGCAACATTATATCTGGTGGAAAGGGAAGCCATGAGCAGTTGAGTTTCTTTATGTTAGAGGACCCCAAAAGGAAGAATAGGAATTTCTTAAATCCATGATTTCTATTAGCTTGGCAATGACATAAGGATTGGATTTCTTAAAATGACAAATGTAGAATGGGATGCTATACTGACAAACTATACTAACAAAAATGATTGTCAAATCAATAAACTAGAATGCATTACTTACTTCTGAACAGATGATTCTCTAAGCTCCCTTTTGGCATGAACTCATAGACCAAAAGCCGGTTCTCACCCTCCAAGCAGTAACCAATCAGTTTAACAAGATTTGGATGATGAAGTTGGCCAAGATAATTAACTTCCGTCTGAAACCAGCTAGCTATTAGTAAATAAGCAAAGAGCAATTGAAACATATATATATATATTATATATAAATATTAAATAATATATATATATAATATATATATAATAATAATAACTTCAGAAGAAAGAGGATCATACCAACCACCTCCTTGTGACCCTTTGGAAACCCTCCAGGGTTTAAACTTTCTTTGACTGCTACAACCATCCTGATCCAGATATAATAATAATAACTCAGAAGAAGAGACATACCAACCACTCCTTGTGACCCTGGAAACCCTCAGGTTTAAGCTTCTTGACTGCTACAACCATTCCTGATCCAGGCTTTGCAGCAGTCATTGTGTTCTCATCAATCCATCCTTTGAAAACATAACCAAAACCACCTTCACCCAGAAGACTATCTGGACGGAAGTTTCTGGTGGCATTCCTTAGTTCATTGAATGAGAATGGCTTTAGATTTGGCGATGACAATATTTCACCTTCTGTTCTTGGAGTAGGAAGACAATCAGAAGTGCTCCTTTCACCAGAAGATGGGATGGTCAAACTAGAAGGAACTGAAGAGCGGCTGGTTTTGCTGGAAATTCTTGACGCTCCTGATGCAAGAAAGAGAAAAATGAAAACCCAATTTCAGTAATGAAACAAGCAGTCGCTCCTGATGCAAGTAAGAGAAAAATGAAAATCGAATTTCAGTAATGAAACAAGCAGTGACCTAAATCCATAGACTTTCCCTTTACCACCAGTACCACAGCTCAGCATCAGGCACGAAATAAAAAGATACAAATGTCAATATTTGCATTGCATCCTCCAAAGTCCAAATGCTTGCAGGCTAAACAAACAAGTTCTTAAAATTTAAGCTTCTAATTGAAATCTCTGATGCTCTTTCCTTCTCAAAGTCAATTCATAAATCATATAGATGAGCACATGTAACATTCTTGTGCATGAATGCAATCATGCAAAAGAAAAAAGAAATGAAATTGGAATATAGGGGTAACAAGCCTTTTTAAGCCCTTGCAATAAATACAACTATCAAAACCCTAATCAATCTCATAATTACAGGCTGTATAGATCCACCTACCATAACTTATCCCAAACTCAAACTTTAAGAATTTATTAATCTGGAAACAGCTTCAACGGCCTTGATAGAAGACTAACCAGCTATTCCCTGACTTCCGAGTATAGATTAGCAAAAAAGAATCTATTTTTAGTAAAAACTAAAACCCAACAATTAAAGAAAATTTTTATCCTGTAAAGAAGTTGGACTATCACAGTTATGGATATAAGCAATTCCATATAAATCATGATTTAACCGTGGTAAAAGACCAGAAGGTGGATCTTCAAGGATTTGAACAACCAAAGTATTAGAGGAAGCAAAACGTGACAACCAATCTTCACAAGAATTGGCCTCGCGAAAGAAGTTGGACTTTTGCACAAGGGTAAAGCATTTTCAAGAGCAATAATTAATGCAAGTATCTAAGCTCAATCCCCCCCCCCCCCCCATCTTCACAATAGAATTGGGCCTCGGAAAGAAGTTGGACTTTTGCACTAAGGGGTAAAGCCATTTCATAGAGCAATTAATTTAAAGTGCAAGTATTCTAAGCCTCAATCCCCCCCCCCCCCCTCCCCCCCCCCAAAAAAAAAAAAAAAAAAAAAAAAAAATAAAAAAAAAAAAAAAAAAAAAACCCAACAGGGAAAAAAAATTGCTTCATTGATCGGTTTGCTCGTGTATGTTCAGAAGGAAGAGAACAACTTAATAACGTTCCCAAAATTGAAAGCAAAAATTAACCCAGAAGGAGTATTTTATAACCTTGCGTCCGTATCTTACTTTAGCTGCAAAGAATCTAAGCAGTTTCCCATTGGGTTACGCTTACGCACCAAAAGATACTTACTTTCTTAACTCACAAACACGCAATGTTTTATCCTTCTCTTATGCTTCTTCTAATGCTTCCTCTAAACAACAAAATAGCAAGCCCATACCATAAAACTGCAACTCCAATTCCAATCTAAAATGGGAGAAAGGAAAGTTTAAATACAACAGGTACAAAAACTGGTGGGTTTTTGTTGAAGAAGAGAGTTAGGTTCGATAAGCAAGGAAAAATAAAAGAAGAGGGAAGGTACCCCAGTTTGCCGTTTATGAGATGTCGTTGTGGAAACAGAAAGAGGAAGAAAGTGAGAATGGGTGAAAAAAAAACCAAGGAGACAAACGCAGGAGAGAAAGAGTTAGCCCTTTTTGTGGAATTTTGGTCTATCGCTGTTGTTGAAAAACAGTGTAGTACACGACCAACGTCGTGGGTACTTGGTTCCGTAAAAAATGTACAGTATGCGCGTCCTCTATATCCGCGTATACGTGTGCACCTCTCTCTCTCTCTCCTCTCTCTTCTCTTCTCTCTCTCTCCAACGTCTCTACCGTTTTAGTTGGTTTTGTTTGGCTCTACTGTTGAGTTCACCATTTAATGCCCCCTTTCCTGTATATTTCTGCTAAAATATTCATAAAATGAATAATTACCTTAATTATCCTTTTTTTTTATCTTTGCTTAACTTTCTACCTTATTTTGAATTTTTAAATATTTTTTAATTCGTATGTTCCCCTATTGAAAAAATTTATTTGTTAAGATCAATATTTTCTTTTGCAACATTTAAAAAAAAAAAAAAAACCCAACAGGGAAAAAAAAATGCTCAGAGTTCAGAAGGAGAAACAACTTAAACGTCAAAATTGAAGCAAAATTACCAGAAGGAGTATTATAACCTTGCGTCGTATCTACTTTAGCTGCAGAAGAATCTAAGCAGTTTCCCATTTGGTTACGCTTACGCACCAAAGATACTTACTTTCTTAACTCACAAACACGCAATGTTTTATCTTTCTTCTTCTAATGCTTCTTCTAATGCTTCTCTAACAACAAATAGCAGCCATACCATTAAACTGGCAACTCCAATCCAATCTAAAAGGGAGAAAGTTAAACAACAGGTACAAAAACTGGTGGGTTTTGTTGAAGAAGAGAGTTAGGTTCGATAAGCAGGAAAAATAAAGAAGAGGGAAGGTACCCAGTTGCCGTTTATGAGATGTCGTGTGAGAAAGAAAGAGGAAAGAAAGTGAGAATGGAAAAGGAGAAAACGCAGGAGAGAAAGAGTAGCCCCTTTTGGAATTTTGTATTGTTGTGAAACAGTGTAGACACGACCAACGCGTGGGTACTTGGCTCGTAAAAATGACGTGTGCACCTCTCTCTCTCTCTCTCTCTCTCTCTCTCTCTCTCTCCAACTCTACCGTTTTAGTTTGGTTTTGTTTGCTCTACTGTTGAGTTCACATTAATGCCCCTTTCCTGTATATTTCTGCTTAAAATATCATAAATGAATAATTACCTTATTATCCTTTTTTTTATCTTTCTTAACTTTCTACCTTTATTTGAATTTTTAAATTATGAAAAATTATTTGGATAAGATCAATATTTTCTTTGCAACATTTGCTTTCGCAGCGCATAAATTCAAAAATTTAAATAAAAAATTTTATCTAAATCACTTTTTAATAATTATATAAAATACACATTTTTCTAATAATAAGATTTGCAAAAAAAAAGCCCCTTGTATGTTAATAAAAAAAAACTATAATAATTAATAATATACTGGATGAGAGATAATAAACAATTTCGATTTCAATAAAAATAATAACCAACATTCAATTTTTGAGAAATAAATTTATTCAAAGAAAAATTACACAATCATACTTAAGTATTAACTTTTATCATAATTAAATTAATTTCTAACACGAATGCAAATATAAATTATTTGAAGTGAATTACGTGAAATAATATTTTAATAAATGGATTCTATAATGTCACGTAAGGCCTTGCCTTCTAAATGATTTTTAAAATTTTTTTTTTCTTTTTTTTTTGACCAATAACCTGTAAGTGTGAAAATCTAGCGGAAAAAAAAAAAAAAAGACTATCCCTGTCAAAATTGTGGAAACATGTGACGTAACTTGACATAACGGAATATAGAAGCAAAATACATATTTGGCTCGTGCTCCATTTTCCATTGAACTCATATTTTGCTTACTTTGCTTCAAATTCACACCAAAGCTCAGAATCATTTGCTAGCTTGAAAATATTTAAATAACTGAGTAATCAATTAGTTGACTTAATACAAACTCACATGGATCATATGTTATAACAATAATCATTACTATCTTAGTCACTTTGATCCAATCTTAATTCATACATTCAATTCCACATTTTTAGTCATTATCATTTTACTCATTATAATTATTCTTAATATTTATTTAACTAAATAAGGTAGTAATCATTATGAGTGAGCATAGTGTAGGTTTATTTCAAATCGAACCAAACTATGGTCGAAAAATGCAAACTAAAATTTTTGCGATAGACTGAATCGAATCAGTTGATTTTAATCGATTTTTATTATATCGATTCAATTTTAAATTAATTGATGAATTTCTATGAAATCAACTCGAACCAAATAAATTAAATTAAAACTGAATAAATCGAAGAATGAAACCTCTCTAAAGTAGTTGACTAATCGAACTAAAATTGATTGATTCAGTTCAATCGATAATTTTATACACCCCTAATAATTATGAAACTTTTCGAAATTAGTACGGGTGAAATAGACTCTTTTATTATTTGTGATATAATTTATAGTTGTTATTAGAATGTTTTAAAAAATTGAGTATATGACGTATACTGTACTCTTCACCTCAATTGAATACTTTAAATAAAAATTATGCATTTTTATTTTTTTTGATAAATGATTTATTGTTATATTTTTTATAAAAATATAGAAATATATTATTTTATATTTCATATTAATATACGATTTTCTCTTATAATTTGCTAAGCATTACTTTTACTGTATTTCGTGGAAATAATAAAAAGAGAAAAAATGCGAGGGTATTATGGGTATTAGAAAGAAAACGTCACATATAGTAAGCAATTGACGTCAATTAGGTCCATGGCATATGGTACCCTACCCTTCACAAGTCACGCCACTCCCATTATTTATTTTTTCCATTTGTTTCTGATAAGTCTTCTCCCCTCGTCATTTGTCACCACTACTTCAAACTAGAAAAGGGAATGGTTTTATTATTTAATTTTTCATTTACGAAATAAAAGTAAAAATAAATCAACTAACCATTAGAATATTTTGATTATGCCTTAGACCAAAATTCTTTTCATGTGGACTCTCCTTTCACACCACAGCCTACCAATAGAACATGTTCCAGAAAAGAAAAAGGTGATTCTAAATTGAAAAAATAACTTTTTTTTTATTCTTTTAACTTAAATTAATTTGTGATTAAGAAGAATAATTAAATGGGCAATTAGTGTTTTATGTACATAAGCTTATTATAAGTAGTGAATAAATTCAGTCAACAAATGCTGAAAGGAAGGGAGTTGGGACTTTGAAATGACACTGGTGAGTCTGAGAGCACTTAAACAAGTGATAATAGAGTATCTTAGTTTATAAAATTATGGGAGTTTTCATTATTTTTATATTTGTTATCTTGTTACAATTTCAAAAGGCAAGTAAGGTGGATTGGCAGCACTGCATAATGGGTAGCAACAATCTTTTACATATTCAAACTCCATTAGCATTATAATCTGACTTGCTCATAATTCAATGGTTGACCACCAATTTCACAATGTAAAAGATTAGAAAGCTTTTTTTTTTTTTTTTTTTAATGTTGGTGTTCTCTGATGACTTTTGAATTAGTTTTCAACGTTATATTTATATTTAATTGTATTATTCAATAACATAATTTTTATAATAATTTTTAAAATATAAGCGAGTTTTTTATGAAATGTTAAATATTTTAACATTTAGCATTTTACAGAAATTATTTTTTTTTATAATTATACTCATTATTTTTTTCTCTGTAATTCAACTAAATAAATAATTAATGATTTTTTATCATTTTAAGTTAAATAACTAATAAAATAATTATTTTTACTAAACAATTCTAATTTAAACTACTTTATAAATAACTATCAGTTAAAAATTGATAACTCACTATTAAAAGTTATTATAATAGATAACAGCTTAAAAGTCAAAAATTATCACCGTGCCAAATACGTGAAATTCATCGGACTAGCTGTATTGTCCAACCAACTTTTGTTTTTTTGAAGCAAAAGCTCAAGGCTTGTGCAACTAATTTTTAACAAGTTATTTTTTTACTATGTCATGGCTTGACACTTTCAATCTGTGGCTGACAGTTATGTTCACACGGCGTTATGATATTGGTGGCTTGGCGTTGGCCACTTGGGGTGGTTCTTTGGTCTCTTTCCGAGATGACCCGTCTGGCTTATTTGACGCCCTTTATCACGGCAACAAACAACACTACTTTGCTTCCACTCCAAACTTCTTCAATCAACTCATTTTTGGATTTTTATACACGTCCCAACTCCAAACTATTGCTTCCGTATTCGTGCCTTTGCTCGAGCTGCGAATTAAAACCAAATGAGATCTCATCAATGACATTTGCATATTGACATTTATGCTACAACAAATAACTAAAAAAAAAAAAAAAAAATTCAATTTCGAAGCTTTTTAAGTTTGTGTAATTTAAGTAAATTCTTTTACTTTTATTAATTTATACGTTTCAAAATAATTGACTTTCGCATGACTGTATATAACTATTAAAATCCACAGTATGAACCCCTACTACACATGACACGCTCAATGCGGACTTAAAAACTTACTAATAATTTTGGAGTCAAACTATAAAGTTCAGCCCCATATAACCTATTGATGTCAATTTCTCAATCAACATCTGTTGTCGCTTTGAAGGACTCATACGAAGTTACAGTTATTATAAAATAAAAAATACAAATGATCGATCAATAAAATTAAAAGAGCCGAAATTGTAAAAGCGTCAAAATTAAGATTTTCTATTATTTAATTAGTCTATTCATTGATAAAATTTCCGCTAAACGATAAATGATTTTACGGTTTTATATCAGTTATATATATTTCTTATCTAATCGGTAAAGGTTTAAGAGTTGATATAATACATATTATTAAGTATTATATTCGAATTTGTTTGAATATTGCAGAAACATATTATTTTACTCATTTACAATTTCTTCTTCTATTTTTTCAATTTAAAATCTGCTATTTGTGATAATAAATGTTATTGTAAAATTTAAAATGCCTTATTTTCTATAAAAAAAATTAATGCTGTCACCGTTTTGAGATGGAAAAGTATTTTTATATTGTAAAAAATAGAGATTAATTTTTCTAAAAAAGTATTAATAGAAATTATTAACATTTTAAAAAATTTTGAAAATCAAATGCCTATGAGAAAAATAGACACAAATATCTATTTACTGTTGACATTTTCACAGGTGGCCCATCACATGTTTCTAACCGTTTCATACGGGGAAAAAGAGGAAATAAAACAGAAAATACTTTAGGTCAATACCACGTGGACAAAGAAGTTGGATTGCCACCAAATTCCACTAAACACATTCTCTTGAGATTTGAACCCAAAGGGTTTTTTATTTTTTTATTTTAATTTTCATAACATTCTCATATTATTACTTTGTTGACAAATTTTCTTTTCTTCCTATTCCTAAAATAAAATAAAATCATAATTACTCCTCAATTAAAAGGAGTATGAATTAAATTATCTAATAAAACTTATTGTTGTTTGGATTCTTATTATTAATAAAAAGAGTACAATCATCATAAGTCGGATTTTTATAGCGAAAAAATATCAATATGAAAAATTATTAAATTTTTAATAAAAATACACTCAGAGTAATCTAAGCTACAAATAGATATATAAATGAATAATAAAAATTGTTATATTTATGAAGCATATTTGTTAAAAGGTTTAAATGTTTTAAAAATTTATCGGGACTTTGAAAGGAAATTTATAATATATTAAAACTTTTGGAAAGTGGGTTATTGAATATTTCTTTTTATCTTTTATTTTCTAGAAAATACTTTAATAACAAAATTACCCCCCAAAAAAAAATTTTGTTTGATAGAAAAATTGTGCCAAAGTACTAAGCCTACATTCCTGGGTCCCAAATCCCAACTTCTAATCTAGGCCCAAAATGAATTGGATTGAATGGGCTTGGGCCTTAAATTTAATGTGCCAAGAGAAAAAGGCAAAAGACACACAGAAAATGGAGAGTCCACGTGAGGGGCCACGTTACGAAGCGAAGCCTTGAACAAGTTTGCGCGTTTCAACAGCCAATGAGAAACGACAGATGAAGTCACTGATCCAATAAGAAACATCCACGTGGAACAGCCACGTTGCTTCGCGCTCGTCTCGTTTCTTCTCCCTTATAATTCGAAAGAAAGGGAAATTTAGCTAGGCCGTTAATTTAGAAACGGTACTTGCTTTCCTTTTCTGTGTATTTTGCTCTCTGCTCTCTGCCCCCTCAATCGATCCCTTTTTGGTTTTCACTGTTCCCATTTAAGGTGAAAAGTATAAATTATTATTAAAAAAAGGGGAAAATCCCGCCAAAATTTTGTGATCGGGATTGCCGGCGGCGAAATGGAAGCGCACGGCTTCGGTCTCCGACGAGTGCTTGTGTTGGCCTTCTGTGTTGCCGGGATCTGGTCGGCGTACATTTACCAAGGTGTTCTCCAAGAAACTCTGTATGTTTATTTCTCTCTCTTGTATCATTTTGTTTATTCGTTTCATTTTAGATCTCTCATTTGGAACAAGCTACATTTTTGTGCAAAGAGATATTAATTGGGCATTTGTGGAGGATTAAATCTAATTTTAGTCCAGAATTTGGATTTGGTGAAAAATTAAGGAGTTGGGGTTCTGGATTGGAACTGATAGTTAATTGGCCCTGTAATTTTAAGATTCCAATTATGCATTTTTAATTGCGAAGTGAACGTTGGTTTTCAATTTTAACTAAGTAGTTGGAGGGATGAGGTTTGCAATTTAAATGAAGAAATACGAACATAAGATGCATTTGGCCTATTATGTATTGATTCAGTTGAATGTCATAAAGTAGTTTCTCTCTATAAGCTTACAGTACCTTGAAAGGTTGGAGAATGATTGAATGAACAACACTTCTTGCTTTTCCTGTAGATCAACAAAGCGATTTGGTCCGGATGGGAAGAGGTTTGAGCATTTGGCATTTCTAAATCTGGCACAAAATGTTGTCTGCTTGGTTTGGTCGTATATAAGTGAGTTTCTTTGTACCTTCTTTTGTAATATATATGTTTATTCGGAGAAAGATGAAAATGTGTAATTTAGATGTTGGGGCTAAAATTACTTCTTATTCTACAGTGATAAAGATTTGGTCCAGAAGAACCACTGCTGGGGGTGCTCCTTGGTGGACATATTGGAGCGCAGGCATTACTAACACTATTGGTCCAGCCATGGGGATCGAGGCTTTAAAGTATATCAGTTACCCTGCCCAGGCATGTTGAACTTTTCTCTGTTGTCATTACCAGTTATGCCACATGTAAGTTAATAATGATGTTATCTTAACAATGCTGTGTTACTGGTGTTGTATTGAATTGGTGAGTGTATAGTGTTGAATGTTTATAACTATAAAAACATGGTCCCTCAATCCCACGTTCTTTGTCCATTTCCTTTTATGGGTTGTGCAACTCATTTATGGTGACATCTATTTGTATGTCATATTTATATCAGTTCTAAGTAGTTCTAGATGGTCATGATGGGGCTGAAAGTCCCTTACTGAATTTGCCATTGTTATTTTTCAACTAAGTCTTGCATTGCAGTTATTTTATTCTGATAGTAATAATGTTCCCGGTGCTTGCAGGTCCTGGCAAAATCCTCGAAAATGATTCCAGGTAAGAGGCTGAGAAAGAAGTTCTTGATTGTTTTTGTTTGAATGTCTTTAGCTATTGTTTTTTGCTTTCTGATGCAACAAGTCTTTTCTGATTAATATTCTAGTGATGGTACTATGAAATGAAATTATTTTTTGGCTATTATTTTTGCATGCTGTTTTTCATCATGAGAAAATAATTGGAGAATGATATCCTGTATTAAGGTAATTTCTTTTTTCAAGATTTAGTTTATCATGTGTAAGATCTTTGTAGCCCTTGAAATGTCTTAAGCGTTCAGTTCAATCCATTGCCTGAAGCGTACAGTTAGGTTATGTTGTTTTAGCGCAGTGGGTTTTGTGCCTTTTTACTGCAAATGCAATTTTGGTCATGGTTATTAGTTAATGGAGGGATGTTATTAGTAGGAATGTCTTCAGTCTTAATTGTTTCACAATTAAGAATGACAGGTGCTTAGTGTTCATAACTGTGTGGGTAACCAAGTAATTGGGATCTGACTCTATGGGATAATGGTCAATTTGCTGCATTAAGATGTGTTCAGTCATTTGCAAGAAATTAGGCATTGCGATTGTTTATAAAACTATGTTAATACCTAATTGACTTTTTACCTTCTGCAGTCATGTTGATGGGCACTTTAGTTTATGGTATAAGATACACCATTCCGGAGTATTTATGTACTTTTCTTGTTGCTGGAGGGGTGTCTACATTTGCATTATTGAAGGTAAGCAATGCATTTAGAGAATTTAGAAAAATTATTTTCAACTGCTGAAGTTTCATTACTAACACTTACTCCTCTCTTTGAATATTGTGACTAATTTCAGACTAGCTCAAAGACAATTAGCAAGCTGGCACATCCAAATGCACCCCTTGGATATGGTCTTTGTTTTTTGAACCTTGCATTTGATGGGTTTACAAATGCTACTCAGGATTCGCTGACTGCAAGGTATGCTCTATTGAGAATTTCATTTTATTTAATATATCTCGTTTATTGGTTCTACCATGAAAATTGAACGTAAATTAAACAAAAAAAAAGAAAAAGGTTTTTTTATATGCTCCATTTTGTTCCCATCTGCATCTTCATTTCTCATTCTGTATCAGCTTTTCTTTTTCAGGTATCCAAAGACCACTGCCTGGGATATAATGCTGGGAATGAACTTATGGGGTACCATATATAATATGCTCTACATGTTTGGATGGCCACAGGGGATAGGATTTGAGGCAGTTCAATTCTGTAAGCAGTATCCTGAGGCAGCTTGGGACATTTTTCTCTATTGCCTCTGTGGTGCAGTGGGGCAGAACTTCATCTTTTTAACCATAAGCCGATTTGGCTCCCTTGCTAACACCACCATCACCACAACCCGTAAGTTCGTGAGCATCGTGGTCTCTTCAGTGTTGAGTGGCAATCCCCTGTCAGCAAAACAATGGGGATGTGTAGCCATGGTCTTCTCAGGATTGTCATACCAGATCTATCTCAAGTGGAAAAAGTTGAAGAAACTGCAAAAGAAGAAAAAGGCTACATGAAGAAGAGGGACAGTAACATTTTTGTACTTTTAGTATTTCTTTTCTTTTTCGTTTCCTCTAATTTTTATCTCCGCCTTATTTCATATTGTATATGGCTATTGTAGCCAGAAAGGTTTGAATGGTTTCAAATATAGGCAGCAGCTAGGAATTTGATAAATGTAATCAAAATAGATCCTATACTGAAATGACAAGTTAATGTTAAACTCACGACTTTGCTATTCTGGCGAATGGTCTAAAATTGGGCCGGCCGCCAGTTCAATCCGAATTGTAGCTCGGGGATTCTGGACTTCAGCCAGTGATATTAATCGGTGTACATACAAGGTTAAATTTCTTTTTCCTGTTTTTTTTTTTTGGCTTATTTTTGGCTTCAATACGGTTTGGTTTTGGTTGTGAATGGAATCTCGGTCACCATTATATGTTGATTGTTGACATCACTTGTCATTGCCCGAAGTATAAAGTTCGGACCAAATGTTCAGAAAGTTTATTTAATTGTAGAATAACACAATTATTATTTCATATTAGATCTCTTTGAAATCAATTACAATGATGAATAATATTTTCATCCTATTTAATCACCAAAAAATGTAGATTTATATTAAAAAGAATTGAGTTATTACAAAATCATGTTTTTCTAAAAAATCTCACATTTGAACTTAAAAAAAATATTAAATTTCGTTAAATATTATTTCCAAGCATGAATTTTGACATAATTGAACTGAATACTTAAAAATTGAGTTTCCAAGGGCTAGAGAATGGAAACTTGAAAGCAATTGGCGCTTAAACCAGGCAAATTCTCTTGCATTTAAGTATTTAAGAAGCTAAATTAGATGCTCAATTCCTCTGCTCTGCTCTGCTGTTTACTTAGCTGACCCCACTGCAGTTAGTATATCAAATCAATTGCTGCCTTTGCCTATATCTTCTGCTGATGAAATGATGATATGAGAATCTGCCATAAAAGGAGGATCATGACGAGGGGGCCACGGTCCGGTTCCGGTTTGGTCGACTTTTTGCCGGTTCTAGCCAATTTCAGTTTTTGACATTTGTTATTATTTTTTAAATTTTGATTTGGAACCTGGCAGTTCTAATTGGTTTAGGGCACTAAAAAATGACTGAACCACAGTTCAGGTCTGGATCGGTTCTCAACCATCCTGGTTCAATTTCAGAAATGGTGGTTAGGTCTAATTATCACTATGCTTCCTCTTATTTAGGTGCATGGCAAATCTAGTAGGGAAAATAGCAATAACAGACATACCTCAACATATTTGAAATAGCAAATATATTTTTTATGGTAGCGCTTCTTTCAAATAAATAATAGATTTAAATTCAAATACATTTCCACAATATTAAAAAAATAAAAAAAATTAGGGAAATAATATACATTTGTCACACTTAAGATGATTAGGTGGGGTTTAGTAGAAAAATCAGAAGCTTCAATTTGCAGAGTATTCTTAAGATCAATTTTTGTTTTCATTTGAATTTAAATAGTCAACTATATGTCTATAACTTCTCTCGAGATAAGTCGTTCAATGAGTACACTTTATTTTGTATGAGGTTCCCTCTCCTTCTTTTGCTTTTAACTTTTGCTTGGGTCATTATTATATATGTCTCCCACTTGCAATCACTACCAAATATGAGTCCACCATTCTAATTAACAGAGCTTCTAAGGACCCTTCTTCCCCACAACACTGTCCTTTCCACGGAAGGAAACCAAAAACTCAGAGAGACAGAGCAAGAAGAGTTGGATTGTTTCTTTGATGCCACATCAACACAAGTAGTAATAGTCTTTCTATTCTGTAAGTAAAACCAATTTCCATATCTCTTCTTTCTTCCTTTCTGTCTTCATTTTCTTTTGTCCCTCTCTTTTAATTCAGTTTCTTACATTTATGACAGCAAAAGAGTTAGATTCTAGTTCTTGGAAACAAACAGAGAGAGGGAAAGAAAATGCAGCAATATGGTCACACCGGGCATTGGGCATTTTCTTTCCATTTTCCCTCATTTCCTAGAACTATAGAGCAAGAGTCAAGTTTTCATTTTTCAAGCTTTTCTATGTGTGCATGTTCAATGGTGCACTTTCTGCTGCAGAATTCTCATACTTTGCATGTTAGTAAGTATAACGAGGTAAATGCAAAAAGGGTTATGGTTCAAAAGAGTAAAATGCACACCAAAACCAAAACATATTTTCATTCCCATCACATGAAGTTCTATTACATTAGAAATCAGAAAAGGGAAAAAAAGGAAGAGAAAAGCTTATTCTATACCTATGTGCACACTCAAAAACAACAAAACGGAATCCAATCAGCTGGTTAATCCTCCTTTAACTTTCTTTTTTGTTCTTTCTTCTGCTTCTTTAATCATATATGGCGAGTTGCCATTGTATAATTACACTCTGACTACATACTTATATAGTAGGTTCTGTACAATGATGAATCAAAAGGCCAAAAACTGGATCGGAACATCCGAAACCAAATCAGGACAAACAAAAGAATGACACGCATTAACAAACACACTACTATCAAATGTGAGTATTAGGGTTGTACTCTTCTAGTAAAAAAAAAAAAAAAAGAAAGAAAAATGAACTCAGATCACGGGTTAGATGTGTCTGAGATGCTAGAATGCACCATTGCATTCTAGACATGAAGTTTTGGAATGCAGATCTAATATGCCTCCTAATAAAACTTCGGGCCATAACGGCTGCAATCCTAGGGAACTGAACTTTTAACTAGAGGAAAAGAACTCATTGAATGAGTGATGTCCCTGGAATTTAAAGATGAGGTATAGGGCTGGACAATTTTCTGTTTGTGACAAGGCTCAGAGAGGTTTGTTATAGACTTTGAAGGAGGGCTCTTTTGCAAGGTGGTGGTTGAGATGGATTCAAGCTTGGATTGGAACAAGGAGACTCCACTCCAAGTGTTTTTAATAGGAAGTTCCTTTCCTGCAAAAAAAAAAAAAAAAAAAAAAAAAAAAAAGGAATTGGCTCTTCACTTGGAAAAAATTTATCAACATTAAAAATTGAGAGACAATGCCTCAAAAGTCATATTTCCAAATATCTCACTATGCTTTCAGACAAGACATTGTTTCTATCTATTATCAAATTACCATTTGATCTAGATTTGCTATGCGGAGTAACTAAAAGTGTACCATCCAGTAAACTTTAGTAGCCCATCATCAACAATATTGTCATGGCAGTTATATGCAATCGTAGAACCATACTTGATTTGCTTGAGCTTGTCAGATGGTTTACATAGAGCTATCAAATGATTGCTTAGATAGCAGTTACAACACGTAAGAAATAATTCTTTAGCTGTTTTGGTAGTTGTTCTGATACACAGTAACTTTTTGTCTGAACGATATACATCTCATTAGCAATTTTACAGACTCAGGCTATGAGGATGAATGGTGGTTTAATCTTCTGGTTAGATAAAATTAGAATTGAATAATTGTGTCTAAGGTAAAATTGAAAATAAGATCCAAAAAATGGGTTAATGGCAAAAGATGGAGCAAACGTTATGTAACAGTTCTGCTTGGCATGCAGCACACTTGTGGTTTACCTCCTATGGTCAAACATATTTGTATTCCTAAGTTGACTATTTGCACATAATTCTATGAAGCATCATTCTCTGCTTCTTTGTCCCTTGACTCAAATAACAATTTTGGTCATTTGATTTACAATAACCTAAGTAAGTTTGTAGAGGATGATAGAAGTAGACACAGAACTCAATTCCCTATGTTTCTTAGATTTTGACTTCAGGTTAACTTAGGTGATTTTGAGAGTGGAACCATTCACTATATAAGTATTGCAGGTTAATGCTCTTTAGGATTTCAAAGCAACTTGAGTTTACCCTGTCTTTGTTTGAAGAGTTCTGAAATTATGCAATCCAAATTTGACAACACAGCTTTTTTGTAGTTGTTTAGATTCATGAACCTAAAATTACATTCAAATATGTGAGGGGGAAAGAAAGAACTTATTTGACCGTAGAATTTAAAATATCCTATAAAATGGCATAACTTCAAAACCAGGTCAGTTGAGTTTTCAGCAATATAGTCTAATTAAAAAATAGGCTCACTTTTTAATCGAACAATTTAACTAAAATCAAAACCAAATCCCTCGTTTTTAAATAATTTATCCAAATATAGGATTAATTATTTGACTGAAATGGTTCTAAATAATGCAGCTACCACTGTGTTTGGTTACATCTAAAAATCAAACGTTACCAGTAAACATGTGGTCCTAGACTTACTAACCAATTCTTGATTGGCCAAGACAGAGCACCCTCTCCTACGAATACAACTATGACTAGTCATCTTATAGACATGATGGCTTGACTATCAATATAAAAAGTTCATCTAATCGATTGATAGATAGCAGGCCTAAGTGCTATTTCCTCATCACCTTTACTGCCATCATCTAGACCACTCACTAACATACCAACTTCAGAAGTCTAACAACATTGTTAGTAGTTAGCATTCCCGAAAACTTCCTAGTTAGTCAATAATTAATCTAAAAATAGGCTGAATCTGATGACATGCCTGGTACTGCTGTTACTGATGACTTAATAATCAATGATTCTCCACTTCCTGGTACCATTATTACTACATTAAGGTCCAGGAAGGAGCAAGTTTCAGTATTCATATGACTTTCCACTTCTGTTGTGCTCATATTCAGTAAGGTAACTACTACTGTTAATTCTAATGCTGCCTCTGAAAATCCAGAAATCCTCCTAGTAGAATTAATGACTTCACTGCTACTACTCTGCCGCCACGGTAAGCTTACCACAACTACTAATTCTAATTCTGCTTCCTTGATGATGGGAAAATCCAGAAAATCCCACTACTACCATTAATGGCTTTACTAGTGCAACTAATGCTGCTGATAATAATAGGGTGAAAGCTCATAAGCATTATCAACCACAGCCAATGTGTTTTACATCCCATAGGGTAAATGGTTTGAGTTAAACTTACACTTTCTGAAAATTTTGGGCTGGGAATGCCTGCTGCTAAAGAGCTGAAAAGTGGGGTAACTTGAAGAGGTGAACCGAACTCTGTACTTGATGAGGCAGAAACAACTATATCATTGTTTGCTTGTTCATCAAAAGGTGGAAATATCTCCGCTGCAATAAGTTTAGATACGTCAATTAACACAATTTTATGGGATCGCCTTCCGCATGATAAGTTTATAGCAAAAACTGCACATCTTAGGGTGTTTCATCAGATCAATATTTATTACCTTGAGAAATTCTTGTACACGAAATGATTTCTTTGTCACATTCATCCACATCATTTTGTTCTTTAATATGAACCGACTGCAACTCATTTTCAATATCCTTATGCAGTGCACTAATCTCAGCCTGAGATTGTTCTGTTTTATCAAGGACTGTATTAGGCATGAGAGTTGATCCTGTGCTGTACTCAGAACTGGCTGGAGAGTCCTCGTAGAGATCAGGTTGCCTACAACATTTTCGAACAATAAATTAGACACTTTATGATGTGCAAAACTCGTTTAAACCTAAATAGTAACCATCCAGTAAGTACCTCCATGATGGCTGACTTCCATCGTTACAACTTCTTAAATCCTCAATCAAGTCTTTAAAGTCTTCAAGTTGAAAATCAATGTCAGCAATTCTACATCTGAAGATATCATTTTCTTTCTGATTCAGGAAATCTTGAAGAACCTGAACGTCACATTGAATGAAAAGTATGAGGACATGCTAAATCTCTGTGCCATATCTATTCCATCAATGAGGCCAGTGTAACATAATAAATTTAGGCATTTTTATGCCTGAGCATGTACTTTGCCTGACAAAAAGGTATAGCTATTTTTGCAGAAGGTTACATCTATTCTTTATAAGAATGAATATGCATTTAACATATTCAATCAACTTGAATCCCCACTTGTACCATCCATGATGCTTTCATGCGATGCTCATGTCTGGTCCCTGTAATTTTCACTTCACCTCAATTCTCCAATACTCATGCCCCCTTCCCCTTGATAATCTATCTCCCAGAATAGAGATTCTATATCCGCTACTGAATGTCAGTAAAAGATTCTCCCTAGCCAATTAGATGAGCTCACCTTCCAAGCATTTTCTAGACTCTGGTCTGTGTTCTCTGTATTAACTTTCAGTGCAAGCGAACTGAGCAGCTCCGCCTGTTGCATCAAAGCAATTATCTTTGGATCATCCTTTCTGAGAAATGTTCCCTCAGTTTTACTGTTTTGAGCTGCAAAATGAACAGTAAGAAAGAGGACACGTTAAGATTCATAAGATGTTTGATGAACACAAATGTAACTGATCACGATGTATATTTGCTGAAAATATGTTGTATATTGTGAACCACCGACTATGTTTCCAAGTTATGTAAAGAAATCTAGTTACATCCTAATTTAAAAAATAAAAAATCATTTTTTACGTTGATTTACCATCAACAGAGCCCTCTTTGGCATTGACAGCAGGATGCTGGGCAACAACATTAACATTATGGAAATTTTGAGCCAAGACTGCAAATGGAGGCCTAGGCTGCTGATTACCACATTGCGGGTGCGATCTGTCTGCAATTTTGCAGTGTTCTGTATGATCAGGGATATGGGACCTCCTGGATAACAAGAAACATGGATATTACTATATGAAGTCCTTTTGGAATTGCCTACTATATCAAGACACCTAAACCTGTTGTACCTCGTCTTCTTGGCAGGCAATGCATTTTCTGGAGTTCCATCTGCATTGAACCCATCATGAAAAAGAATTCTTTTGTTGTTTGAGTTGATATATGAATTTTTATTCTCTTTTGCTAAGGCCTCATATTTTGCTCTTTTCTTGCACAGAGTCGAGAACCGATTCTTCACAGCATTATCCGTTCTGTATGATACAAATTTAAAGAAAGATAAGTATATAATCAGAAAACAGAACTTCTGATTATACTGTGGCGAAGATGGTTCATACCTGCCAGATACAACTTTTGCTATTTCTGTCCATCTGTTACCAAATATTTTCTGAGCCTGCAGATCATCTCAAACTTATCAGATATTGCAACCACATCCAACGGTAGGATAACCCAACCTAAACTGAAGTGTAATAGCTGTTTCTGCTCAGCATTTTTGTACTGGAAGAAGAACAAGTATTTCTCAGTCCAGCCTTAGTTGAAATATTCTTTGCCATTTCAAAAACTTGAGATCTAATACCCCCAAGAGATAAAGGAACAGAACACACCACACCACAATAAGAAAAGGGGGAAAAGATAGTATTTGCTTGTAGAAGCACTGTCAAGGCATAGGCAGCTTATACAAGTTATAGAATACTTCACTATAGAATGGGCCTTTTACGATCAATCATTATTTGACCATTAGAGAATAAAACAAGCTGTACAGGTTTATTAAGGCTGCAAAAAGCACAAACAGAAAACCAATTACCTCACACAAGAGCATGTCTTCCTCTGGTGACCATCCCCCCTTTTTGAAATCAGAATTCAAATATGTGTACCATCTACAATAATAATACCAATATTACAAAACAGATGATGCTAATAATTAAAATAAGATTAATAAAAGTCTCTGCTTTCACTAAATAAACAAATAACTACAGTCTAAACAGATGATTAATGGATGATTTTTTATTTTGTTATCACCATTATCATCAACACACCTTCTTCTGCACTGTCTTGTTGTTTTGTCCTTGAATTTAGATGCAATAATCGCCCAACTGTGATAAAAGAATAACAAAAAGAAACCCTCTAAGTTTGATTGTGTCAAAAACTTAATGCAAGTTGAAAAACCCAGATAGCCAAAAAAAGAAAAGAAAGCAAAAATAAGGTAAAAGTTCTCACTTTTCAGTTCCATGTAAGCTAATTTGTTGCCGAAGAATATCATCTTCCTGCACTCACACTATTCCAGTCAATATCTCTTCCAATACAACAAGAAACAGAACAAAAACAGAGAAGAAGAAGCAGGAAACCTGTTGGGTCCATGTAACTATATGTCTTTCCTTCCTCCTAGAATCTTCATTGCCTCCATTATTCTTCTTCTTCGTTTCTTGCATTTTTTATTTACTCACTTACTGACTATTATCCCTCTCTCTCTCTGTTTCCCTTCGACGCTCCCTCCTTTATGAAAACCACTGGCATGCTATAAAGCCGACCCTTTATCAAACCCAAAATAAAGAAATAAAAAAAGTTAAAAAAAAAATGCGATTTCCCTAAAGAGGACCCAACGCTTAGCTCTCTCTTTTCAATCGTTACACAGGTACTGTTTGGTTCAAACAGAGCTCTCAATCCCCATCTCCTTCCCCCTCTGTCTTTCGGTTTATACTGATCTACAGACTATAGAGTATCCACAAAAAAAAAAAAAAAAAAAGAAGAAAAGGCAAAAACGCCAAAAATCACGACTCCAATAGCCAATAACAAATGTGTCTATTGTTCCACCATAAAATGAATCGGGGGCTGGAAATGGATGGTTGACAGATAGAAACGGCGACACTTTGTATACAGGGTAGCTCGAAAATCGAGGTTTGGGATTTCGATTATATTGTGTGTGTATGTATGTATGTATATATCTAGATGAACAAAAAAGCAAAGGGCATATAGATCTAAAATATATTCAAATGAGATCAAAACTAAGTTAGAGAAGAAAGAAAATGGAAAAGAAAAGAGAAGCAATGAGAGGGATTGATTGCAGAGTTGGAACTTGTGGAGATAGTGAGTGTGAATAATGATTTTCTTACGTTTCTCTCTCTTTTTGAAATGTATAGTCTTTCTTTACAAGAAAGAGAAAGAAAGGTTTTTTTGTTTTATATTTAGCTAGTGTATAATGTATTTTTTTAAAAAAAAATCAGAAATACTATTAATTTAGATCAACGGATTCTTGCTTTAGTGCGCGGGCATGAACGCAAGTTTGAAAATAAGCAGAAATAAAAATAAAAATAATAAAAACGCAAACGCTGAAATCCACGAGATTTTGGATGTCATTGAGTGAGCTTCAACAATACCTCCTCTTTGCTACATTAAAAGTACACTACGCTACATCACAAATCCAATATACATATGTAACATAATAATTAATTTGGCATCGGATAGGATGGTAATCTCACATATGTACGCTCAAAAACAAAAAGTCCAACGTAAATGAACGAAATTTCAAGAACCTAACAGGTAGACCTGCAAAGGTTAAAAAATTTAAATATATATTATATAATTAAATAGATTAAATTAACAATTATATAGGGTGAGAATGACATATGAATATTAATAAATATTTTAAATTAAATAATTTTTTGGATATGTTACTTAATCATTTGATTTGAAATTTTTTTTTTTTTTTTTTGATTTTTGAAATTTTTTTTTTTTTTTTGTGATTGAATTTTAAAGGGGGGACATGACCTTTCTTCGTACCTTTATGATTTGAAATTTTTTTTTTTTTTTTGTGATTTAATTTTTTAAAGGGGGACATGACCTTCTTCGTGACCTACCAGTTCAACTCCTTCACAATACCTTCTCTTCATTTCAATTCAATGCTTTGTTTGGATTTTTCATTTTATTTTTCCTCTGCAACTCCTTTTCTCCCAATCATGCAAATTGAGCGACTCCCATTTTTCCCCTTTTCCACTCTGTTAATGGGTAGTTTCTTCACGCGCGTTTTCAGTCAGAGTATTAAACGCCCAGACTCTACTGGATGGAAAGCTGGCCACTTCTTCGATATCATTGGACAGTGATTTACACGCTCGAGGTGCATGGAAGAGATAATAAGAGTTTTCTGACATTTCCAACTAATTCATGTTAGTTGGGGTACGGGTGCCGGGAAGTGTTCGCAGTGACGGTGAGACTGAGAGGGAGAGATTGGGATTTTGAAAATTGAAAATTGAAAATTATTTTTTGTATTGGACTGTATGGTGTTACCTATTTGGTGGTAAGTGTATGTAAGCAGGACACGTTCTTATCGACTGGGAAACCACTATGCTATTTTTTTTTTTTTTCAAATTAGATTTTTATTTTCAGTTATTGTTATGTACACACAATTAAATCCATTTGGTGACAAAAGAAAAATATTTTTAGATTTAGATCAGTCAAAAATTAATTATTTTAATAACTTTCAATTGATTTACTACTATTAAAGATAATATTATTTAATAATTTATTTTTTTAAATTATAAATGATAGAACAAACGCAACGCCACTAAACATTTGACTATTATTTCTCTTTTTTTTTTGGATAATTAAATCTCGAGATTCTTATAATTGTATTAGTGTCAGGGGTGTGGAGTTATATTGTGCTATCAAAATAAAAAATTAAGGTGATGCAAAATAGACTGTAGGAAGGAAATATTTTTCACAGTATTACCTAATTTAACTAACTAGAGAAATGATACTAAAGGTGTTGAACAAAATTTTTCTTTCCAAAACGTGTTGAATTTCAAAAAGGTTGCATGTCTATCACTGAAAATTCAAAATCAATACTTCAATTTCTAGTTTCTAGAATCAGTCAATTTTCCTGACTAACAAAATTCGGAGACAGAAAATTACAGCCTTTAAATTGAAACGAAACCAAAGAAGAAATACATATATATAAAATAAACTCATTCTCCAAATCCAACTGATAAATTGCAATTACATATCCTTACGAAAATGGCTTTGTTGCAGCTGCACACATCATTATAAGCGTTTCTTGTCAAATAGACCATTATTACAGTTGAAAAAAAAAAAAAGAAAAATTAAATAAATTAGAAAATTCTTATAGATAATGAAATGACTTAAACCTAACTACAATATATTATACATGAACAATTTGAACTTTAGTTGAATATTGAATGAATTTATAACTCCACGTGGGCCTCTATTGTTTTAAAATTGAAAGCAATCAAGAAATTAAATTAATTAAGGAAAAAAAGAAATACAAAGTCCAATAGTTCAATTATTCATATATATATATATTAACGCATTCTCATTGTCATACCTAAACTAAGGACTTCATAGTCTTTGAAACCTATGAAGTAGTAGAAGGTATTTATAGTAAACAATGTACATAATGTGTTGTTGTGCCCAATGAACATAACCAAACGGTTTTACCTACCAAAATGCTATTCCACGTGGACGAGACAGGTTTTTGACACGTGGGTGGATATAGAAAAGAGAAATAGCCAAATGGGTAATGCTGTGTTGTATGTGTAGTGTCTTTTAAAATCTGGCAATGGTGGATCCTACCAAGACTGATATATATAATTTAAAAATCTGGCAATGGTGGATTCCTACCCCAAGAACTGATATAAATATATATATATATATATAAATATTATTAAATTGCCAAGTCTTTTTCTTGACAATGAAATCTCCCGCCAAAAAAAAAAAAAAAAGCAGTGTTAGTATTATTTGATTTATATTATAAAAATCAAAAAGAGAATAGAATGTGTAAATTTTTTATTACAAATAAAATAATATATTAAATATTATAAAATGAAAATTCGAATGCCCGGATGGAGAAGAAAAAATGGAATCTAATACCTTTTTAAATTCTCACTTTTACTTTGTACTTGAAATTTGAAATATAGATTAAGAATGGATATGAAACCTTTTTAAATTTCATATTCTTCCAATATTGAAATAAACCAAAAAAAAAAAAAAAAAAAAGGGATTAAGAATAGTACTAAAAATAGACAAGGTAACACAATTACAAAAGACAGTGGCTTTTTTTGGAGAGGGAATCTTATTTATAGTAAGAAAAATGCTGTTAAAAAAAAAAAAAAAAAAAGGGATAGAGAATAGTACTAAAATAGACAGGTACACAATTACAAAGACAGTGGCTTTTTTGGAGAGGGAATCTTATAGTAAGAAAAATGCTGTTCATGTAAAAGTGGAGAAATGGCTAAGAAAGGGCAGCGAATGGGGTCGGTGGCTATTTGTCCCACACGCAGTCATCAAAGGACCAGAAAAACCTAAAAAAGACCGACCCAGTGGAACCCTATGTAAAAGCTTCATTTCATTATAAATATCTATATCTCTCTCTACAGCTATCTTTTAAAAAACTTTCAAATAAAACCCTAATTTTCAAAAAAGAAAAAGAAAAAGAAAAAGGAAAATAGCCTCTCATCTTCCTCTTCCTCCTCCTGCTGCTGCTCCTCCTCCTATTATGCCTTAATTTTGTCATATTTCGGCTTTGAATTATGGTGAACGTACGTTGATATTAGGTCATTTTCTTTTGTCTTGGCTTGATCCTATATGTATATAGCCACTACTAGCAACCACTTTTTTCTGTTTACGTTTTCTTAGTTATATATATATATATAAGATTTTCTAATCTTTGACAAATGGGACGTGAAAATCATTAGAAACGCGTTTGGCTAGGGTCCCATTCCATGTTTATTTTTTGGGTGCTGCGACAAATTTAAATGAGAATGGAGATTATATGCATTATCGTTATGTTGGAGACAATGTATATATGGGTTTTTGGAGAGGGAGAAAAAGAGAAGTGATGGCTATGGTTATGGTTATGCCTAGTAGTACTGATGTTTCTACTGTGACTCAAAAAGTTGGAGATGGAAGAACTCTTGAGAGCGTTTTGATCACATGAGTGAGGCACATTGATTTGACTAAAATGATAACAGAGAAATAAAATAACTCAGATAGGAGGAAACTTTTATTATTATGAGAGGTTTCAAGATTTTGCCTATCCAAACCCACAACATAAGGGGTCCTCAGCTAACAAAGAAGAGACTGCCTCGTGTGCTTAATAAATGTATTTTGATAGTTTAATCTTACATATCTATCCGTAATTAATTAATTCAATCCATCTGTATCAGTGAAATTATGAAAAATGAAAAAAGAGAATAGCCTTTCTTTTCTTTTTCACTTTGATTAATCTAACTTCAGAAACCTATTATTAATTAATTAAGCCATTCTAATCATTTAGTTTATGTTTGATTGTGATAGTTTTGAGAGGGAGCTGGAAACTAATTAATAATTTTTTTATATGTTGAAAAAATATTTTAAAAAAGGTAAAAACGTTAACCTTTTACATTAGGAGACTCATATTCGATCATTATATCATTAGTCTATATTAATTAAAATTAATTTGATGCATAATTTTTTCATTATGAGACATATATAATTAATTTGATTATTCACCTAAGATTAATTAATTTCTACTAATCAACTATTTGGCATAATTAAGATAATATTCTATTGTCAATTGGTGCAAAAAGCTAGCAAGAACAGTAGTATTGTGGCCACCAAAACCATGCAATATTATTAGATGGATGACCATTAGCAATAATGAATGAAAAATCTTTAAAAAAAAAATACAAAGGTATGATTTTGTTAGTGGAGCTTTGGCATAGAGAGGCCCA